TTTGTTGCGATGAATTTTCTCCTTCGCCCATTTCTGTTTTGATTGTTTATTTTATTGTAAAAACAATTGTTGCGATAAATTATTTTCTTTGCGCATTTCTGTTTTGATTGTTTCATTTTATTGTAAAAATAATTGCTGTGCAAATAAACTGTTATAATTTGATAAATTTGTAGTCTCATTTTGACCTGAAGTGAAAATCTATGGATTTTCACTCGAAGAATATGTTCTTCGGTTGCAATTGAGGGGCTTGGAGGACAAGACGCATAAGTGCAGTTTTTGAAAAAATTAAAATATATCAATAATTTCAAGTATAATTAGTCTTATTGCATATTCTGTGAAAAATTCTCTCCCCAATTCGAATTTTTAAGCACCAAAAAGTCAGTTCGAACTTTCTTTCCGCCAAAAGGTCAATGTAATTTCGAAATTTCAAACACGTATTTCTCGAAATAGCTAAAACCTGCCCTTGTCCTCTAAGCTCCTCAATTTCAATTCTTGATTCTGAACCTATTAATAATAAAAACCTCACTTCGACCCCAATTTCGAGGGCCCAAAAATGGGCCGTTTTTGGCCCTTTTTGTGCATGGCTCCTTGTTGTGCTGTGTTAGTATTCTTTTCTATTGAGAGCGCTCTTTAGATGTTGAGATAGTGAACTTTGATTATATTCTTCCGAATAATTAAATGAGTTAAAGAAAAAAGGATTAAAAAAATAAATACATGCATTCATAAAAGGAGCAGGTTCAACAAAAAAAAAATATTTAAGAGAGCCCCGTTATCGAGGTCTAGATAGCTGAGATTGCATTGATTTTGAAACTGAACAGAAAAAGAATAGATATGTATCTCTATTGCAGAATTGGTAATTTCAGAGGCGTTAAGACAGCGTTTTAAGCCACTTCTGTTATCTTGGCTTTTTGAATTTTGAAAATTCGACTTTTACTTCAATAAATACCCCCTGGCACCAAGTTTCACAAAAATCGATCGACAGGAGCCGCGTATCGTGGGTTCAGCGGACCCTACACCAGTCAATTTACAAACGGCAATGCGCCTTCATTTTCGTCTGATACTGTGCAATACTTCCGAGGTGGAATAGTTGCTCGGAGCGCCTTCAACGGTATCGCTTTAGCTTGATGCCTTATGACGGAATATATCGACGAAAGTACACCCTAGGGTGTGCGCAGTTACACAGATCTCAATACCGACGGTGAGATAAATAACATTCGTTCCTCAATTTGTGACCTTGCAAGTTTTCCACTGCCCATTTTACGGGGGTAAACTGATGTGAACACTTTAAAATCAGTCGTGATTTTTCCGAGATTAGATGAGAAATGTTATTTAAATGTTTCATTCAAATCCACGTGAATGCTGTCGTTAACTAGAGAAAAAGGAGTACGTAGGTAATAGTAGGAATTTTCGAACGAGCTGAATCGGATCGTATAGCCCTTGATGTAGACGGACCTGAGAAGTTGAACAAGTGTTGAAGCAAACTGACTGTCAATACAGTGTTATTGTCATCTCGCTTTTGGGCTTTTTCCTCTTTGATGTAAATATTATAATCTTCGATTATATACCTCCGAATGATCAAGAAGAAATTGAAAAAGAAAGGTAATAGTAGTACTTATTTATTTTGAAGAGGTGCCTTGGCATCTTCGGCCACTCACGCATCTGCAAGAGGAATGAAGAAATGAGTACAAGATAAAATGGGCAAGCTGTTTCAACCCAAAAAACCGAGGAGCGCACAGATATCGAGGTCCTTATTAGCTGCATGAGAATATACAGATTTTTAACGGAAGCTTAGAGATAGACTTGAATGAAACATCAAAATAAAATTTCTCACCTTATCTTGGAGCATATCCGCAGATTTTAAAATGTTCACATTGGTTCACCCGCATACATAGGCAGTGGAAAACTTGCGACGTCGCAAATTGAGGTATGAACGTTTTTTATATCACGTTCGGTGAGGAGAAAATGTGTAATTGCGCACGCATTAGGGGGCCATGTCAGAGGTAATCGTAAGCATTCGCCATCAAGTCGAAGTAATGCCGTTGAAGGCGCTCTGAGCAACTATTCCGCCACGGAAGTATTGCACAGTATCAGACAAAATTGAAGGCGCACTGCCATATGTAAATTAACTGGAATCGTTCACCACCGTACGATTTGCGGCTCCTGTGCGATCGATTTTAGTGAAACCTGCCACATAGGTAGGCATTTTTTATGGGAAACTTGAATTTCAACTCAAATTTTTAAAATTCGAAAATTCAAGATGGTAAATGCGGGCTAAAATGCTCTCTCGCTTCCTGCTCGATCGATCTTTGTGAATCTTGATGCCGAGGGTTTTTCTTTGACATTCAGAATACAGCCACTCGGTGGATGACACTTAAGGGTCATTCCCCCTCTCCCACAAGGGGGGGGGGCAGCCCTTTGGGGGTTTTGAGCCGGCTTTTGATGGCTTTAAGGTTTAATTAAGAGCCTTGTTAAAAATGGGTCGAAATATCCTCCAAAAGATCAATCACTGGAGCTGAAATACAATGGCAAGCTCTATTAGACCATACTATAGGAAGATAACTGTCAAAAGTCTTGGACCTGAGGGGCAAAATCTTGAAGGAGAACTGAAGATAATCACAAAGTGGGTAATGGATGGGTCCTCCCGAAATCCTCGCCAAAAAAAAAAAAAAAAAAAAAAATGTTTGGGATTCTAAAGAGGATACTCCCGCAAAGACCCTTCGGTACGTAATTGGTCTTCATCCGCTATGCATCTTGTGCCTTTGGAATTGCTATATCGACGGTGAAAGTCGGCAATCACATAACTCGATTTGCGACGTCGCAGACTTCCTGTCATACTTTATTCTTTAAACGGAAAACTACTCAACGGTAATTCCTTAAAACTGCCGTGATTTTTCCTCTATGTGCGAGGAAAATTCTGCAAAAACTGCAAGGAATCATGTCCATTTGTTCTCCTCTAAAAAAATAACATAGTTGCGGAGATTTTCAGACACCGCAAACGAGTTATGTGATTGCCGACTTGCACCGTCGATATCTGGCTCGCGCATAGTCGATTTGACAAAATCCGCGGCCAAGTTCTAGGTACCTTTTTTCGTCAGCCTATGCGTTTCGAATTTATTAAGGAAAACGATGAGGTAATCCAAAAAGAATATACACGAGTTATGGTGGAGACAGGAAAACTCTCAGAGACGAAAATTGGTAGAATAATGGTCGTAACTCATGAAATGATATGTAGTATGATCGATGGAAAGGTTTGTAACAGCTTTGCTAGGTAATTGCACATCGACCCTCAAGTGTTACATATGTTTAGATATGCTGCCGAGCTAAGGAAGAACGCCGTATGAACATTCGAGAGTTGCCAAATTTCCCTTAATAAAACATGTATTTTTGACGATATTTATGCGCATTTTTCTTTCAAACTTTCAGATATTTTAGATGGAATTGCGTACAAATTAGTCTGAAAATTTGGGAAAAAAGTATTCTCAATTTTCCCAGTAAATTCGGTTCTTATCGAAAGAAACTTGGCACCGCCCGGAGGCTCATACGGCGTTTTTCCTTAGCACGTCAGTATGGTGCTACTTCTAAAGAATTCAACAAAGCGGAAAAGGTGTTTGAAACAGCCGTCGAAGAGAAGATATCAATTTGGCGTTTCTACTCTTCATACCTGGATCCGAGTCATGGAGTTCCTTCTGCTTTTAGCCTATAAATTGCGCACCGAGGAAAATAAATTAAAACAAGCTCCTAGGAAGAAAACAAAAAAGACCGAAGAAGAAAAAAGAAAGAGATGAAAAGTACAGAGAAGAACTGGCAACAGCGAAGATTGCAATCCAGAATCAATTCCGGGAGCGACTGGACATCTCAGCTGATGTTGTGAAACAAGGATACGGGACAACAAATGATGGAAATTGTGCCAGAAAATTTTTTAAAAACCCAACAATTAGGTACATCTGGAATGACAGGTGTAAGCGAAGAGATCATAGGCAGATTTAAGATACATATTTAAATTATGTCTGTGAACAAAAATCACATAACCCTTCATTTAATGAAAGTCAATATTGTTTTATTTTCAGAGAATTTTTCGCTGAGACAAAAAATTTAATGAAAAGAAGGGGACTCTATTCTCATCAAAATTTTCATGAATGCAAGTTTTAACGAGTAAATTTGCTATCTTTATTTTTAAATATACAGGGTGGCCCAGACCTACCGTACCAGGCCTTTTTTTCGGTTAATTTAGGTCGCACGAGGTGCGGGATCGCGGAGATGAAGAGGGAATCGACCCCAAGGAATCCGAATTTCATGGTCCCAGAGGCCCCTGGGGGGGGGGGGGGGTAAAAGGGGGGGGGGCGTACTTCAAAAGTCAGGGTTAATGTCAAAATTTTGAAATTATTTCAGCGGAAGCAGAACGTACGGAAATTTTTAACTTGAATCGACACCAAGAAATCCAAAATCGGCCCATCCGGGTCCAAAATACCGACCTCTAAAGGTGGGGAACAGAGTCCCCTTTTAAAAGAAATCAAGTTCGTTGAATTGACGTGGGGACTCAGAAAAAATGTGTATTCATGGGTAATCGACCCCAAGGAATCCAAATTTGAGGGTCCCATTGTCCTCAGACACTTTTCTGATGGGGCACAGGGGGTCTCTGAACTTTTAAATTTAACCGGTGGTGAGGTTACCCCTGTGCCCCATCAGTAAAGTCTCTGAGGACAATGGGACCCTCAAATTTGGATTCCTTGGGGTCGATTACCCATGAATACACATTTTTTCCGAGTCCCCACGTCAATTCAACGAACTTGATTTCTTTTAAAAGGGGACTCTGTCCCCTCTGTCGACAGTAACCCTGACTTTTTAGGTACGGGCCCCCCTTTTACCCCCCCCCCTCCCAAGGGGCGCCAGGGGAACTCTAGGACCATGAAATTCGGATTCCTTAGGGTCAATTCCCTATTCATCCTCGCGATCCGGCACTTCGTGCGACCCAAATTAACCGAAAAAAATGCCTGGTACGGTAGTTCCGGGCCACCCTGCATTAAAGAAACTTAAAAAATATATACATCCTACAATATCATATAAGAATAAAAGATGCCTCTCTCTCCTCATCTCCACATTTTATTCTTTTTTTTCTTTTTAAATTTCAGGTCTTAGCTAGCAGTTTGGAAATAGATGTGATGAAATATAAAGTTTACACAAAGGAAACAGCGGAAATTCTGGTTAAATCTTATAAATGGTGCAGTATGACTCCCAAGATGCACAAACTTCTGTTTCACGGATCAGAAATAAGCTAGAGCTCTAGTGCCAAAAGGTAAGATTATTTTCATTTCCTCTCATTTCCTTTCAGCTCTTCATTATTCTGCCAAATGCTTGGTCATTCACGATTAGGCAATTCATACACTTTTTCAACGCATCAATAAACTTACAAACTTAGAACTTAGTTCCCCATAAAAAATGCCTACCTATGTGGCAGGTTTCACAAAAATCGATCGCACAGGAGCCGCAAATCGTACGGTGGTGAACAATTCCAGTTAATTTACATATGGCAGTGCGCCTTCAATTTTGTCTGATACTGTGCAATACTTCCGTGGCGGAATAGTTGCTCAGAGCGCCTTCAACGGCATTGCTTCGACTTGATGGCGAATGTTTACGATTACCTCTGACATGGCCCCCTAATGCGTGCGCAATTACACATTTTCTCCTCACCGAACGTGATATAAAAAACGTTCATACCTCAATTTGCGACGTCGCAAGTTTTCCACTGCCTATATATGCGGGTAAACCAATGTGAACATTTCAAAATCTGCAGATATGCTCCAAGAAAAGGTGAGAAATTTTATTTTGATGTTTCATTCAAGTCTATCTCTAAGCTTTCGTTGAAAATCTGTATATTCTCATGCAGTTAATAAGGACCTCAATATCTGCGCGCTCCTACGCAGTTTTTTGGGTTGAAACAGCTTGCCCATTTAATCTTGTACTTATTTTTTCATTCCTCTTGCAGAGGCGTGAGTGGCCGAAGATGCCAAGGTACCTCTTCAAAATAAATAAGTACTATTATTACCTTTCTTTTTCAATTTCTCCTTGATCATTCGGAGGTATGTAATCGAAGTTTATAATATTTACATCAAAGAGGAAAAAGCCCAAAAGCGAGATGACAAAAACACTGTATTGACAGTCAGTTTGCTTCAACACTTGTTCAACTTCTCAGGTCCGTCTACATCAAGGGCTAAGATCCGCTTCAGCTTGTTCGAGAATTCCTACTATTAGTTACTCCTTTTCCTCTTGTTAACGACAGCATTCACATGGATTTGAATGAAACATTTAAATAACATTTCTCATCTAATCTCGGAAAAATCACGGCTGATTGTAAAGTGTTCACATCAGTTTACCCCCGTAAAATGGGCAGTGGAAAACTTGCAAGGTCACAAATTGAGGAACGAATGTTATTTATCTCACCGTCGGTATTGAGATCTGTGTAACTGCGCACACCCTAGGGTGTACTTTCGTCGATATATTCCGCCATCAGGCATCGAGGCAAAGCGATGCCGTTGAAGGCGCTCCGAGCAACTATTCCACCTCGGAAGTATTGCACAGTATCAGACGAAAATGAAGGCGCACTGCCGTATGTAAATTGACTGGTATAATTTACCACTGTGTAGGGTCCGCTGATCATACGATAAGCGGCTCCTGTCGATCGATTTTTGTGAAACTTGGTGCCAGGGTGTATTTATGGAAGTAAAAGTCGAATTTTCAAAATTCAAAAAGCCAAGATAACGGAAGTGGCCTAAAACGCTGTCTTAACGCCTCTGAAATTACCAATTCTGCAAGAGAGATATCTATTCTTTTTCTGTTCAGTTTCAAAATCAATGCAATCTCAGCTAGCAAGACCTCGATAACATGGCTCTCTTAAATATTTTTTTTTTTTTTTTGTTGAACCTGCTCCGTTTATGAATGCATGTATTTATTTTTTTAATCCTTTTTTTTATTAACTCATTTAATCATTCGGAAGAATATAATCAAAGTTCACTATCTCAACATCAAAAGAGCGCTCTCAATAGAGAAGAATACTAACACAGCACAACAAAGAGCCATGCACAAAAAGGGCCAAAAACGGCCCATTTTTGGGCCCTCGAAATTGGGGTCGAAGTGAGGTTTTTACTAATAATAGGTTCAGAATCAAGAATTGAAATTGAGGAGCTTAGAGGACAAGGGCAGGTTTTACTAGTGCTTTCCTAAGTATGGACTTGGGAAACCCCATAATCAAGTTTATTATACTTTCTTGATACTTAACAATTAAGGGACACAGCTGATCTCTACTTTTATTGAAAATTATGCTTAGTTTTTGTTTGTTTTTTACCTCAACTCTAGTTACTTTTAATTCATTTTGTCACTCGTTGGCCTATCATATTCTTTCTGTTTATAGGTACGAATCCTGTGAATTGAAAAAAGAAGATGATCTTTGACTGTGAGGCCCAAGAACTTTTAATGCCCATCTATCAGCTTGATGACAGCAGTCTAAGTGAAGAGTTTGAAGGGAGTGATAGAGGTGAAGGAGATGAAGAAGAGGACCATGAAAGTAGCGATGATAGCCATAGTTAGGTTTTTTAGTATTACGCTTTCCTGATTGTGTAACGGTGTTTACGATGTTTTTTTTTTAAATAAAGAGAGTAAGAAGAATATACATTTGTATAGTGTGATTAATTTGTGTTTTTATTTGGGAGGATGGAGGAGGTCGTCGCGTGTATGAATTAGATGAGTAATAAACGTTTCATATGCGTCCTTTAAAATTTTACTTGAAAGGAAAGTACCTCAAACACTTGAAACTCCGAATGAAATGAGTGTAGACAGTGCAAACTTATCTGTTGTTGACCAATATCTCTCTTTTTATCCAAAACTGTGCCAAAAGACGTATTTAAACCCGGTAATCAGTAACATAGTCATCAAAAATTAAATCCGCGGCAAAAAATACATAGGATTCATTTATCTTGATATGTTTTATGAGCGAAAATAATATGTAAATGAGCAAACCAAGTCGCCTGAACCATGTCCAGCCTGGACAGCTGAGCAACATTTGGACCACATTTTGCAATAAGGAACCACAATTTCTGGCTCATTATAGAAACAACATAGATGCCATCGGTTTCCTATGCAGAAAGGTGTTTTTACAGGAGAGCCAGAGATAGTGGTTCCTTATTGCAAAATGTTATCCATTTGGCAACACTCGAATAGAAAAGCTACCTTCTAAATTTTTTGTCAAATTTCACTGTCATACAATCCTATTCTAAAAATATTGAGCTCAGTAAGAGTTCAAATGGATAAATCGTTTTAAAGCTGTACTTCACGGTCACTTCATGAAAATTTTAGACTGCTTCATATAATCCAATAAATAATAATTTTTCGACATCTAAACTACTGTCATTAAAAACTGTTATCAAGTCAAGCAAAATGGACTTCAGGTGAAAAAAAGAAAAAAGTAGGCTCTGCCATGGTTCATGAAGGATTATTGAGTCTGCTTCTCCAGTCACAGCAGAATCGTATTTTGATGGTTTCAGATTATATAGATTAACAAAAAATAATAAAATCTGACCAAACTTAAACATAATTAAGAAAGATATCGCCTATCAAAAAACACAGCTGGAAGTCATCTAACACGAAAGTGCATCCTAGGGTTTCTTCTATCTTGGTTTCACCCGTGTTTTATGTCCAGCATCCATTGCAAATGTGAATCACTTATTGATGAGTCCAAGATGGCAATGTCCCATTTTGCCTGACTCCATCACAATTTTCAATTAGGTATGTTATTACTTTATCTAAAAAATCAGTGTCTGCTGGGAGTTGTGGACAGAAATTTAAACTGGAGTAAAACAGGCAGTAACCAAAATTTCGGGAAAACTCATGAAATTTTTGTATGGCAAGTCTAAAAAAAAACTGAGGGAAAAAAGATTTCAGTATTGATTGATTTGAAAAAAAAAAATTAAAATGAAAGAGCAAAAATTTCAGGGTGAAAGTCAAATTCCCCAGGTTTTCACTCAAAATTTCATTTCCTGGATTTTCCCAGTAGTAGAAACCCTGTCTTAGTTTCATTTTGACACATAGTTTTTGATATTACCCGATTTTCCGACTAGGACTAACAAGAAACACACACACGGCAGCTGTGTGAAATATTCATTTCTTGATGAGAAATGGTGTACGTCAAGATGTACCTACTCGAGTCGCCGTAACCACAACATTATTAATTTGCATTTTACAAATGTGACAGTTGACAGTAAACAGGGAAAGGGACCTAAGTTCACAACCACTGAAAATTGAAACAATATATAAGATATCTGAGAACTGTTCAATGAAAATTTTAGAATTAGAATGTCGAACTAAACAAAAGGTACAGTGGTTGGAAGTTAGCAATTTGAAAAATGTAGATTCTAGAGAAAGCTAATTACTATAGAAGAAACCTTTGTTCAGGGTACAAAATTGCAAGAAATTAATGCAACTTTGTCCTTTCCATTGCCACAATTATTAACTTAACCACTTAAAACTTATTATAGAAAACACTAAAACTTGTGGAAACGCGAAAACTTGTGTTGTAGGACACTAGCTAGAAATTTTTGTTGAAAGATCATAATCTATTTTTTTTTTACTTAACTCTGGAAAATGCTGAACGGAAAATTGTTTCTCCTTGGTCTAGTGTCTGTAGATAATTATGAATGGAAAATATCTTCAGCCCTCACAAGAACCCTGCAGGATGCGTGAAAAGAGAAAAGAACTCATTGCTTAACAGTTTCTTACAGTAACTATTATTGTAAACAAACAAATAAAAATGTTAAGATCATAAAATTAAATACAAGTGTACATTTAAAAACACAAATCGATGATTGACAAGGAACCAAGTGTTAACGGAACTGCCTGGCAAGTGTTTTTAGAAGTTGAGACAGAGTCTTTGGATTTGATGCGCTGAAAAAATAAACAAGAACACAATTAAAATTGGGATTTTTAAGTTAGAATGGAATCATTAATCTCAAAAAAAGCCAGCTTCCCTCTTTCAAATATGTGTTAGTGCAGTCATACTACGGTGGATAAGAGGAATACTTGATCCATCAGGACATTTTCAATATTGATTGAAAGGGATGAGCAGTCCGGTCTTTTACTTAAGGGTTGTTTGGCTCTGTAGAGCCCACATCGTTTAAAAGTGCCAATGTACTTTCATTCAATCCCTTAAAAAATACTCTAAGCCAGTCATTGACTCCGCCCTCACGCATTACTTTCCTCAGCTTTGACTGGAATGATTTTTTTTTTTTTTTTTTTTTTTTTTTTTTTTTTTTTTTTAAATACCAGTAGTTAGACTAAAGGTGATAGAACCGACATTTACAGGATCACTTCAGGATGAGCAGATTCCATGCTAGATGAGCTAGGATCAGAAATGGTAGTGGATCTTGAAAAGAAGTGCAGTGAGGTCTGTGTGGATTGGCCTTGTCCTTTACACCAATTTCAAGATATGCAGTGAAAGGAAATAAACAGTGATAAATCTGCTCATGGGTAGAATTAGAGCTTACCATGTCATCCCAGAGTAAAATTCTAATAGTTGTGTGTGACTGACAGTTTCTGTTCCGCCGGAGTTATGTGTAGGTAGTTTTGATAAGGCTTCTTGAAGCCACTGATGTACTGGCTGATGAAACAGAGAAGAAGTAGAATTAAATGTAAAGTCTGTGCTTTTAAATTATTCAATAAATAAATTGAACTACATTAGGCAAAAAGGAATCAAGAGAGATTACGCTTGTGGCTTGTAATTCCTTCCTTCAGTCCCGTCAACCAACAAGCATTTATCTGAGTGCACCAGCTATTAATCAAGGCAGGCTGTTTTCAGGGAAAAATTAGCAAATTTAATACAAAGTACCACTCAGGCAGATGATCTCAACTGTGAGAGGTCCACCACACAAAGCTTCTCTGTCTTTTCAATAAAGTAAACTGTGTTTGTCAAATTTGTTGTTTCTTTCAGTCGTTCCTATCATTTATGCAAAAATAGTAATTTTTTTTTATTATTTCATGTTAAAGATCAGATAATACTGAAGGAATAAAGAAAAAGTCCATTTCTACTTGGCTTATGGTTAAACATGGGCTGGATTTACAATTTTAAAAGGTACCTAGGGCTAACAAGTATTTATTGCCCCCAGGTTTAGAAAATAATGACTTTTCTTTGGTAATGAGATAGCACAGCAGAAGAAAAAAGGAGCCATCACTTTTGAAAATCACTGTCCCCAAAATCCTCGCCTCCTAAAACTCTTGTGCAGTAAGGAATGAAGTTGCTGAAAATGTATAAACTGAATCAGTACCTCCAGCAAGCTCTTTTTTCAAATGAGTAGCTCATCAAAAAATTATTTTGCAAGTCCTTTGAACTAACAAGCCATAAAATGAGACATAGAGCACATGAAGGTACATCCAACTGATAAGACTACTTGTTGGTAAATTGGCATGAAGATCTTGCTAAGCACATCAGAAAGGGCTAAAGTACATGAAAGAAACTCAGATGCGCAGACTGTACTGCTTATTTTCAATTTCACCCCGTCCTCACAAACTTTTTCTTTTCTATCGCACGTGATCAAGTTTGCCCGGAGAGAGAAATATAAAACCTAACCTGAGAAAAAACAATCTTGCAAACTGCAAAGACTCATATGTTTCTTATGTTCAATCAATTTGAAGCATTGGATTTTGTCTTTTTATCTAAAAAAGGGAAAACAAATGCTTCAAAGAGGATTGTTTGTTTCTTGGAGTAAGGTTTGCTTGTGTCTCTCTCCAGACAGACTTGATTGCTGGCAACTAGGAAAAAAGAGTCTATGAATACTGTAAATTTGAGAATGCTCAATGCGGACTACGCAAATTGTAAGCTTCAAAAATTATTGTAGAGAATGAAGTGCTTGACAGGTTTTGCTTTGCAATTCTACTTTTAAAAAGACTATTGTGTTGGCTGTATTTTATGAGTGCAACGGATTGATTCCTTTATAAGTTGCTAAAATTATGTTTCAATAAAATGAAATACTCACCACTTTTTGATATGTTAGTAATTCAAAGAAGGTGCCGGCAATATCCACAATCATATATGAAGGTAGCAAAAATATTGAGGCCTGAATTAGACTATCGACTAAAGATTGACCATGGTTTACCAAGACTTTAACAACAAGTTCTTGCTTGACGGCGCCATCGTTTGAGGACTGAAAATGTCAAGAAATTTCATTATTCATCAAAATTATCTTGAAAATAATTTAACTTTTTTTTCATTTTTTTTTTTTTGTTTTCTTTTTTGACACTTGAGTAGGGAAATTACATCTTATTTTAAAATATGATGATCATTAGTGATTACGAACTATTGGGAGCAGTGAGCTGCTAGTAAAAACTGACATAAACAAAGGTGCTTTTTAAATATGAAAGGAATAAATGTGTATTGAGCCAAAAGAAAAAAAAACTCTGCCATGACCCATTTCTGGAAATATTTACCCACTTATATTTTTACCCTTCTTGCGATAGTTGTAATTAAAGCACTGTAGTCCTGGCACCCTCAATTGACGGCAAATTAGCGACTCCACAAAAACAAGGGTTATTAGCAGGAGCATCAAAAAGTGAACAACACTACTCACAGCATGACATTTTCCACAGGAGATGAGATCACAGAGAAATTTGGTGACAGATGCATTTGCATCTTTGTGGTCTAATGTTACAGAATACACAGCCAGCTGCATGATGAAACTGATATTTTCGTCTGACAATGTCAGAAATGGAATTGGAGCTCTCAGGATAAACCTGCAAAACAAAACAAAAATTCTCAAACACACAAAAATTTTAAAGTGAGGCTTCAGCAAGCCTGAGTTACAGCAGTTCATTCCCAAACTATGCAATGTTCAGGAGTTGGTGGGGGTCTTTGCTGACATTACATGGGGTGGGAATGTATCAAGCGCAGCATTAATCAACAATCTTGAGTGTTTTCCCTAAGTTTTCAGAGTATATTTTGGCCATCGTCTACACGAATTTACATGAATTGATGCTTCAGTAAAAAACCACTATACAGTTGAATGTACAGCGATACTCATACTGGTTAATCCTTGTTAGATAGCTACAGTGAAACCAAAGAGTGAAATAATAGCCTACCTCTAGCGCCTCAAGGCAACATTATTAATTGAAAGAACACCATGAGATAAAAGGAATTAAAATCTAAGAATTTACCACCAACATTGACTACATGGTGATGGCTACACTGTGTGTGGAGCATCACCATGTAATCATTGTTCGTGGTGGGTAAATTTGCAACTTTCGAGATAATTTTCCTTTTGTTGTTTTTGAGCTGTACAGTGCAGAGGCGTCCAGCATTTTTAGTCATTTTGTGTGAATTTCAACTTAGTCTTTGCATTATGCCTTTTTTACCATGTCTAACAGCTATCTCAATATTTTCTGTAAATTTTTTTGTTTGTAGTCTGGGAGTGAGGGAGGGAGGTCTACTTCAATGTTATATAATTTAGGAAGGCATGGCACAGTGACATGGGGCATTGCTAGGTAATATGTGCTTCCTCTTCAAAATTTCTTTCGATAATTTTTGTGTCACAAATCATACTTGTGGTGAAATTTTCATGAGGAAGTAGGTATTTAGCACCTTGTCTAGTGGTCCATTCAGCTTCAATTTAATTTAAAAAACAACATTAGAATACGACTCATGGAGGGTGCTACACCTGATACATAACCCTAAAAAGCATCAAATCAAATACAAATACAATATACAAATCATTAGCTCTCTGCTGAGGAGAAATGACTACCTCAATAACATGTAATTAATAATGAATCTTACAAACCTTTGGCATAGTCTAAAAAAATCATCTATGGTGTCTGGATGATGTTTAAGAGTTAATCCACTGATAGGCTGACCATTTTTCTGCAGGTGCATGAACGTTGGTGGAATGAAGGCCTCTAACATTTTCAATAATGGTACTTGATTGCTTAAGTCTGCTCCATATTCGTCTACTAAAACAGATCCTAGATACAGGAAACAGCTGTGCTGATGTTCATTGTATAGAGTTACTAACTGAAAAATAAAAACAACAACAGTTGAGTTATCACATCTGATCTAAATCTATATGAAATTAATTGCATTTTGCATTTATTTTGGTGCTTGCCATTGAGGACTCCAGCATGGGTAATACCTGCACTAATGTTTCCTCAATTCCTCACTTTGTCTTTTTCTAGGTTAAATTGTATAAGAGAATTTGTAACACCTGGATAAGGTCTTTTTTTATTAGGGTCAAGCAGCTTAAAAAATGCTTGAGCTCCATGTGGATAACGCTATAGTTTATTCATGAAGATATGAAATCATTGATATTCCTTTTAATTCTATAAGAGAGTCAGTAAAGTAATGTAGCATATTTTGGAATGCAGCAAACTTCAATTAACATTTCTTGATATGACAAAAGTGGTGTAGTGATTATAGCGCTTGCTCTATGATCGGGAGGTCCCAGATTTGATTCCCAGCCAGGTGACTTGAGTTTGATGGTCTCAAACAACGGTTATCTGGAGCTGGCTGGTTATTACAGACAGTAATGCGCAGGATTATCCCTCATGGGATGCTTGAAGTGAAAAAAAAAGAGAAAAAAATCTTCAGATTAACAATTTTTCATCCAGTCCCAAAACCACCCTTTTATTTTTCGAGGTAAATAGTTATTTTGAAATATTTCAATTTGATAAAGGATATTTTACGTCCAAGCACTGTCTTTCAGACGTAAAAAAGCCTTGATTTTACAAATTCATGGGTATTACAGAAATTCCCACATCTATGCTATGTACCTTAAGACAGGATCCAGATAGCTCACTGTCAGACAAAATGGCACAAAGGAATCAAAGCTTAAAAATTAATATGGGATAGACCATTTGAAATACTGGTGGCATGGTCGTTGTGAAGGAGGCAGCAGAATGACTCCACAAAATCTTTATTATGACCTAATTCTACTCGTTCCTGCTGTCTTGTACTTCAGAAATTTGGCGACACTATCGCCATTGACGACCCCATTATTGATCCTCTAAATCCTGCAGATAAGAATCAGAACAAGGAAGAGGATAGGAGTGTGATCATGGGCTCAACCCTCATTGTCTTCTATATTGCAAACAATGCAAGAAAAATTCCCTTACAAGCGTCTTTGACGCACACCAAACGACGAACATGCCCTGTTTACTTCATTGCACAGTTACCTTTGGCATAAACAAAGTGGTGTGAGTAAAGATGTAGATTGGTCAATGGCATAGATCAGTTAAAATTCAACTAATGTCAAATTAATCAAACTCATTTGAAGGGGGAATGCAGTTTAGCTCACTGAAAATTATCTCCCTCTAACGTTGACTCTGATTTTAAGACAACTGCAATAAATTTGTTCTCTTATAGATTTTTAAAATCTTACCAGATTTTCTATGGGAATAAGAAGTTGATTCGAGTGTTTTCCAATACACCTAACTGTGAATCGGAGGCATCTACAACATCGTTCCATTACATATATATCAGCTTTAAAAGTCTGACAAATTTTTTCTAAGACAGGCCAACACTGGAATAAGATAAAAGAGAATAACAATTAAGTAAAAACTCTAAATCTTAAAGGTTAATGTTAAAAAATACGAACTTAATCCTTCAGAACTTTCATTTGTCAGCTTTCTGTGTTTTGGATGGTTACAATGCTTGCTCTGTGAGCAAAAAATCTAGAGTCTAGCTCTCACTTCGGTGACTCCAGTTTGATGATTGCTGGGTCTAGGGTCTGAACGCAATGAATCAGACTACAAGATCCATCTTAAGTACCAAAAACACAGCAGGTAAACATGGAGGCAAAATAGTGTTTATAAGGGGCTTCACTCTCACTTGTGTTATCTAGATGTAATCTGCTGTAAAATTAAAGAAATGGGCAACTAGCCAAGGTAGGAATTTTAGTGTTCTAATATGTAAGTCCTCTTCAAAATTTCATGTTAAACACAATTTGAGCAACGAAAATTATTAGAATCAACCCCTAAACAAAAATTCAACGTTTTTATTTAGCTCTGGATACAAAAAATTAAACTTACCAGCTCACAAGAAGAGCCAAAGTCTAAATGAATCAAATTGCACACTACAACGATTTAGGTAGACTTCTTAATTGATCAAAGTTACTCCGGAGCTCTCGGTTGCTCAAAATGTTTAAAACATCCAACAGAGCCAAAGCGCCGAGATTGAGGTTGCCAGAGACTGTTCTGATAACGTTTATTGTACAATTTGACTCGAGCAGATTATGGTTTTTTTCATGAACAGGAAGTTTGAATTCATGCATTCAAAAATTTTACAAACCAGTACCTCACCTATGAGTTACTTTCATTAATTTTCGTTGCAAAGATTTTGTTCCATGTGAAATTTTAACGAGAAAACAATTTATAATGCTTGAATTTGTACCCTGTCTAGTGGTTCATGGTTTTCACTAAAAAAAGAAAGCTGCAAGGACCTACGAAACTAAAATCCTTGGCAAGAAGAAACTTGACATAGACTTTTCTTGATGGCTTCTGAGCTTCTAAGGAATGCTTGCATGTTCGAGTATTTTATAAAGTGGTTCTGTCAAGTTTAAACATCTACCAGACCAATAAATGAGAACACGAAACTGAAAGTGGCAAAATAACCTACCTTCAACACAACCTCCAGACACGGGTGCTCATGAGAGTTATCAACTTTGGGATTAACAGATCTGAGAATGGCTGCCAGTCTATCCATCCATACACAAGGATTTGCCTTAATACTTTTTATTACATCTGTAGAGTTCTGGAAAAAACGATTTCATCATTACTGACTAAGAGAGACAAATTTTTCATAAATCTCATTTACTTTATTCTTGAGAGGTGAAAACTTTGAAGTACCAGACTGGCTTTACTTGTTGACTGATTTACTGACTGCAGAATCAGAAGTTACTTCATTTATGATCATTCTTTTTGGTAAATACATAAATGAAAATCTGACAAATAAAAACTGAGATTCTTGAAATCACATTCCGAAGGAGAAGGTATCAACTCTCGTAAAAATCACTTTTTGACAGAAGATAGAACACAAATAATTCCATAGAGAGCAGAAATATAAGAGGCCATTTACTGTTAAACTCTCAAACAAGCCTTAAACAAGAGGATTCATCCAATAATTGGTAATAACTGGCTCTACAGGCAAGTTTTCCGGAAAATTTGCAAAATAGGATAAAACAGGTTGATCATTGCTAGTTTGTAATTTAGTGCTCTTCCCTAAGTCATAAATCTATTTTTAAGCCTTATGTTTTACACAGAGACCTCTATAGAAACAATGAAAAACGAGCAGAAAAAAAGTTTCAACAACAAGCAATTCAGGCTTTTTGAAGTTCATCACCGGTTATTTTTGAGCTAAAATGCAAAAAGAAAGAAGAAGGAGAAAGAGCTATTCACTACTCGTCTAGGGCAAAGAGTGCCTTTACTTTTACTTACATTCGACAATTAGTGGGTATCTAAAAAAAACAAAGCTTGGCATCCTCGGGGTGTCCACTAAAACAGGCTGGCCAAAACCCCGTACTTTTAAAGTACTTTTTCATTACATTCCCAAGAAATTCAGTACTTTTAAGGAGTCCGCGAATCTTCGCATTGCTTTGCTTCGCAAAACGAAGCGCAAAGTCGGAAAAGCAAAGATTTTCCGCTCTTTTGGAATCGATGCCGAATGCCGATGATTGATGGATAATTCTCAGCATAAACCGATTCTTTGCGCATGCGCTTGTGGCCGCTCCGCATGTAAGCGCCTTTTCTCCTAACCTCAATTCCATCATCATAAAATTTTTAATCTCCTTGAGTCACTAAGCTTATGTTTATAATCAAGGCAAGAGAACATATTTTAATTTGTATTCAAAGATGATTCTCATGAGAGATATGCCTTCTTTTTAATGGATTTAAAACATGATTAAACTTACATTTAGCAGTTCTACAAGTGCTTTGACTTGAACCTCACACATTTCTCCAAAAACAGGGAGAATGTCATTATGGGGTAGTAAACTGACAGCATAACCTAATCCTGAAAAACAAAATAAACAGGGAAATCATTTTTGTGATGCAAGCTTCACTGAGATATGAAAAAAGTAGAAAATAGACAGCAGGATCAAAATTCCATACGGAGATTGTGAAAATAAAACAAGAGATTTATTTTTTGAATCCAGAAAGCAGTAACACCAAACGGTTAAAACATGTTTTGGAAGACCCTACAAAAGGAAGCGTTATTTCTCTGCAAGGACAATTTTTTGTGCAATTTTACCATTCACGTTGATTTTCATGTACTAAAAACATTGGACTTTGACTAAATGTAGGCCAATGTAAAATAGTATGAAAGAAACAAATGAAAAAAAGTTTTAAAAAAAGAAAAACCTATTTGCAGGACTCCAACCTCAACCTCCAGAACTTAAATGAGCCTTTATGAGTTTTCCACACACTTTTAAAAGCTATGAATGGCTTTGATCGCTACATTTTCCCCTTTCATTTTGAACTTAAGACCTTCTTGATACCATAAGTAAGAAGAAAAGGGAATTTTTAGTCAAGAATAATCTCCAGGTAGGTACGTCGATGTGCCGAAATAATTTCACACAACACTGCAAAATTGAATTTAAAAGATAGTCGATTGACCTTTCTAATCTCTGCACTTAGTCAAGTGACAAAGGTTGCTTTTTCAAGTAGATTGAGCATTCGCCAACTTGGTATACATACCTTTCAGTATTTTGCAGGCGGAATCATTTGAGATTGCTTTTGAATCCAACTGATGAATAATGCTGACCACAGGCAACAGACTTTCAACATGAGGTACAATGTGAGTTTTTGCAACGGAGCATATACTGTGGAACGCATCTGCAGCTGTGTTTGCAACATGGGGTTGCCTTAGACAGGCAATCAAAAAATTTAAAACAGGTTCTGAAACAAATGAAAAAACATTCAATAGGACAAAAGTAGAGGTTTTATTTGATTTTGCATGCAGATGATATTATTAATCTGAGGCTACAACCAAACAGGAATAATTTCATGGAGTACTGCTGGTAAAAAATGATACTTGATAAAGAAGAGAAGTAATTGGGGACCAAAATTAATCTCATCAAAATAATTTTTTCAAGTATTTTAATTCATTTCTAAAGTCATGATAAAAAAAATAATGACAAGGTGCTAATCTGAAGCACTGTTCATGGGTTCTTTTGGACTGAAAAATTCCTTTGAGGAAACATGCATTTTTCAGTGCATATGATAAAAAGTACCTTAAATAAGGAAATATCCGCTTAAAAATATTTACTTGCTTCAGTTCTTTAATTTTTGGGCCAGTTTTGTACAAAATTCTTTGAAAATCCCAAGTTTTGATCTGCTATGTGTCCTGAGTTTATCGGCTACTTTCATTGAAAGTCAACAGTCAACTATTACACCAAGGAGCCTTTCAGAGGCCCCTAGTTTGTACACGGAGAAGAGCTTAGACACAAATACATAAATTGTCGAATGAAATTTGGCAACAGCTGATATCTTTTGGTTCCCTTTCAACAATCACTGCGAAATTGTAACTTGAAAACTGAAGGAGGGGGTACTTACCTACAAAGTGGGGATGAGCATCAATCCAGTCACACAATTCTCCTAACAATAAAATTGCTGTATTCTGTACAGCTACATGAGTTGATTCAATAGGTAACCTTAAGACCGCTTCCAGTACTTCAGGTACTACTTCATTTTCTTTTCTACAAAGTGAGTGAAACAGTAAATTAGAGATGGAATTAGAATTACAGGAAATTTGATGAGCCCTTCACCTACAATTCACCTTTCTGGACCGAGATATGTATCAGTTTTCAAGAAGCCATAAATGACTGAAATAATTTTATTTCACACTTGAAAGTAGTATGTGCAAAAAAATATTGATACTAAAACTTTAGAAACACCTTTTGGTTGGAGGCAATGCAGACTTTCTGTCATACTTCATTTCCTGCATGGAAACTCACTCAAACAAAAATCTTGAAAGCTTCTATGATTTTCCCTCTTAATGTGAAGAATATTCTATGAAAATTTCCATCCGTGATGTAAATTCAAGCTCCTTTTAAAGAATAAAAACTGTGTGGACATTTTGAAACACCATAACTGAGATACGCATTTATGCAGTTTTATCTTTGATATGAAAAATACATAATAATAAAAGCTGATCACATAAAATTACGGTTGTCTGTTGGAGAGACGTAAAAACTGCTGGTACATTTTATGTATTCAGATTCGGAATTCAAAATGAAGGGACCAACACACTTTCTTACAAAATATTTGATGGCGTATATTCAAAAAGCCTAGACTAAAACCAAAGTTTCTTTAGTTTACCTTTGCATCAGTCCAAAATTGCGACCAGCTCGCCCCCCCCCCCCCCCCCNAGTACAAGGGAGGAGCAATGAATAATCTGACCGCATTAAGTAGAAGGGAACCAAGTCACATCAGCCATTGCCAAATTTCATCGGAGAATTTATTTTAAAGTAAGAAACCGGTAAGAGAGTTTCTTCGGAAAATTTCAGGGGATTTCCTAAGTGGTGTACAGCAAATTCTTTGAAATTTGCAAAAAAATCTGGCAAACCGTTTTTCTGTGAAAAAAATAGATTATTCTATTGATTCTGCAATGGCTGATGTGATTTAGTTCCTTTCTGCTTAAGCAGTCCATTTCACTGAGTACCTTTCTGTTTGTGTGATTGAACACTAATAGTAGAGATTCCTCCTAACTTTTTATTTGAAACTTTACTCGATTTTTTGCATTTTTGCTAACTCAATGTTTCTGTTACATGATTAAAACATGTTGAACAATAATGATTCTGACATGCGCTAAGGCACTCGCTAAATTTTCCTCTTGAGCTCCCATTACAAAGAGAGCAGAGAAGAGATTTATAATAACTAACCATATCATAATTTACCAGATGAGACCTCCATAGCACATCGCTAGGAAATAGGAACTAATGAAAAATTCACAGGCTTCAGAGAGATCAAAGAAAATTTAAACATTAGTTAGGAAAATGACTTACGGTACTATATTCTTAGCTACAGCCTTCATGATAAAAAGAGCAGACTCTAATTTAGGCCATTGAATGTTCGGCTTCCAAAGGTACACAGACATTTGTCTAAAACAAACTGAAGATCCAACAATGAAAATTACGTCTTTAATAAGCTCGTAAACTCGTTTCCTGAATTCGCTGAAGTCGTCACCACTTTCTAGTAAGCCTTCCTAAAAAGTAATTAAAAAACAAAGTTAGTAGAGAGAAAAAGTAATCAAAAATATACAAGAAACAACTAAAAAGGAAGATGTAAACAAGACTGAACCATAGTTTACAATATTTATGCAGAGCCAACTTGAATAAAAATTATGATCCTCTCCTGTAAGGCTGCAAAAAAGAATGTTTCAAAATTCCTTACTGTTTGAATTATGTGCACTGATCAGATCTTCTTTAAGGCGTCATAGGTAACATACACTTCCAAAAAGATACTCCTTAGGTAACCAATATGATTTAGGGGGCGGATTGGGGCCAAAAATGCTCCTCTTGAGTAATTCAATGAAAGTGTTGATGAGAAATATGGACGGTGTAAGTCGGCAATCACATAACTCGTTGGCGGTGTCTGAAAATCTCCGCCTCTATGTTATTTCTTTAAAGGAGAACAAATTGACATCATTCCTTGAAGTTTATGAAGAATTTTCTTTGCACGAGAAGAAAAATTATGGCAGTTTTAAAGAATTGCTATCGTTTAAAAAATAAAGTATGACAGGAAGTCTGCAACGTCGCAAACCAAGTTACGTGATTGCGGACGTACACCGTCGATATGATAATGGTGCTGAATCGATAATCAAGAAGAGCTCTCTTTTCTTCCCATGGCCGACCGGAAAATTTTCCAGTATGATGTGCAAAAGCTTACAATTAATAAAATCCTTCCAAATGAATCCAATGCAGCTTTCCCACCTTACTAGAGAACTTTGACGATATGAAAATCATTAATGCTTGAGCCATACAAATTGATTTCAACACATTGCAAACACTTATTGTGCTTTTGAAGTCTAGTTGCACATTACGTCTACAAAGAAAGGAATTGAATTGGTGCAAAAACGGAGGAACGTTTGATGCATTCTTGATTTATAAATACATTTTTCACGTACATACTAGGTTGGCTCTCATAATAAAAGGAAATCAAATTAGATGAGTGAATAATGGGAGACATAACTTCCTCAACTTGGAAACTTTCGCAGGATGACTTTGAAAATCAACATTTACACCCAAAGCTCCAACAATTGTAATGAATATTAGAGAGGATATTCTTCCTGAACTTACCAAATCAGAGTCCAATTCATTTTGCCCTTTTAAAGCGTCAATTAATTTTAAAACATAAGGTTTAAAAACTTCCGTCAGACTGTCATCATTCTTTTGGTATAAGCTGTCAGAAAGTCTATGCCAAAAACTAAATGTAATTGATGCAACCTAAAACATGAAAAAATACACTCTTATCATAATCAAAAATAAAACTATAGAAAATTAAGTTTGGAAACATTTGTAAAATTTTTAGGGGAAAAAAATAAATGAAGAAGAAGGGAGGATTACTGAAAGTGATTCAAGGATTAATGTGTACTTTTGTCAAATTTTGTAGGTTCAGATTGACAAATATATTTGCTAGCTCCTAAAAATCTGATAAATTGGGATCTTACCACAGTATTTTGCACTGGTGCTTCAGTCATGAGCAGATCAGCGATGAAAAATATAAAGTCTCAATTCGTGCACCAAATATAAACTTTTTAATTAACTTGTTTCTACTTTTTCATTAAAGAGGAAAAAAGTTGGGCATAAATTGACAAAATTTACCTCATAATCATAGTGGGTAGCACATATCAGTAGAAGATCAAGTGTCTTCATAGAAAAGTGATTAGTGTTCATTTTTTCAATGAAAAACTCCGCTAAATCAGTAAATATCCTTGCATAGTTGAGAGCTCTGTTAAAAGAAACAAAAGAAGAAAAAATTGTTACTTCCTGAAAGCTGCAATTGTAAGAGTGTGTATGGTACAAAAACTGAAATAGGCTGAGCAAAGACCTAACAGATTACTATCAATAAAAAATTATTCTCTACCTTGTCTCCATGAAGACGTCTCAGCACTTAGCCAGGGCATACTATTGCTACTTTAATGATTTATTGGATACTACACAAACGCTTAATTGAAAGCCTCATATTTTGCAAGTTCTTCAAAGAGAGTAATTCCTCTTGACTTTTTTTTTTTTTTCCTTCATTAAATATATAGAGAACTACAAAATATTACACAAAATATTAACCCTAGCTTGACTAACTTCTGACAATTTAACACAGAAATCCAAAACTAAAGGATTAATCATTGCTCATTCATGACAAAGATCGGAGCAGTTCTTCCTATAAAGCCTGCATAGCTTCGATACATGAAAAATATTATGTTAAGTTTAAAAAAAAGCTAAGTATACAGTGACAACTAGAGCAAAGCTAGAATTACAATCTTCTGTAATTTTGATGTTCATTCACAGAAATAGTTACGGAGGTTTTAATTAGAGTCAGCTCTGAGACCTGTTTGCAGGTGTCTTCATGGCTCCATCAAGGATGGAGACGAAAGTGACGAACGAACTGCGAGGGGGAGGGGGGAGAAGGCAAACAATTCAGAATCCCAGATGTGGAATCCGTTTTTGTATTCTATGAATGGCCCCTCAGAGTTTTTTTATCTTAGAAAATAATCAACCGTAAGAAATGCTGTTGCATCAGTGGAGATAAATACCTCTGACCTCAAAAGTGGAGCCAAGTACTTTAAAAAAGTAAAACATGCTTGCATACTCACTTCTCTTCTTCCTCTCTTGTGCTGACTAAATGGAAAAGATCCTTCAAACTTTCTACACCTAAATATAACTGAGTATCGATTTCACTTGGATAATTTTCATCAGTCTGGAGGCACTGAAAAAGTGCAGAGAGACAATCTCCTGCAGATTCATGGAGTTCCATCATACCCTGTGACAGAAAGAATAATATTAAACAAGAGGCACTAGTTCAAGATTAATATTTTTTTACTGGCTCTCCTTTAAGGACAAATAATTAGTGGCGTCACTTGTCGGATGGGAAGGGGGTTGGGTTTGAAGTAGCCCCCCTCCCCTGTTTCAGAGAGCCTAAAGAAATTAGGAAAATAGATAACAGGAAGAAAGAAAAAGAATGACGGGAAAAAGACAGGCTTCCTTTTTTAAATCAACGTTAAATATCCTCATCATGCAAGTTACTTACTTACTTAGGTATTAGTTATTCTGACAAGCATAAAAAAAGTTATTTGCCCTCTCAAGATTTTGATGAAATGACACCACTGTAAATGATATCCTATGCAACAGATAGAGGCTACTTTTTACATGGCAATGAAAAAATTTCTATTCGTATCCTATCAACTCATATGATAATTTTCAAAAAGCAAGGGTTGGGCATGCTCACAAACTGAACTGAGGAAATTAGGTTTTTGATGGTTTAATAGTAATTAAAATGCCCCGCTCAAGCTCATGTGTCCTCATCAACTGGTTAAGTTACATCAGTGGATCTAATGATCTCACCAAGATAGGCAACTCAACCAATAGCAGGAAACCTACAGTTGGCTTTGTCAATGGTAATGGAGAACAGTTTTAGCAAACGTTGGTCTGGACTAATACATGAAAAATGATCTATTCAATTTACACAGACATTCCAGAGCCACTCAATCAGATTGTGTCCACAGCTAACTAAAATTGTAAAGCTATACAATGATTTTGATCAACATTGGTTTTTAAACCAATGACCACAGTGAGGCAGCAAATAAAGTTCAAATTTTGCAGTTTTTGTAATTAGCATCTGCCTGAGGCAGTCAGTGAATCATGCCCAAAGTATTTAATAGGCATACATACTTCCTTCTCCCTTCCTTCAATACATTTTTGAAGGAGGTACAGCAAATTTTTTGAATTTATGTAATGGATAGAACTACGGGTAGGGTTTTAAAATGCAGTTAGAAATTCCTCGATCTGAGGTCTGTTGGAGACTTTCATTGAGGGTGCTGATTGGTTTGGTCGCATAAAATGAAGGAGCCCTTGTGGAAACAGGGAAAACTTGGGCAACCCTGTTAAATTTTGTCCCTTTTTTCATTTTCACAATATTTTAGCAGTGGAAAAGTCCCATTTCAGGAGGATTACTCCCCCCTCCGACCGCCCCCCCCCCCTTAGAGATGACAAATCATAAATTTTGGTTAAAATGGGCGATGGCCAATTGAATTTGTGGGAGGGCAAGCTTTCTACACACCTGATCTCTTTCGCACATAAGATGCACATGGAAATTATCTGGTCACATAAAAAACAAAACGAATCCTAAAAGTGTAACATTTTTTTAAAATTTTTACGTCAAATAAAAAAAATAAGATTCTATTTAGTCACCCTGAATAAATTTTCAAGTCGATGGTTGGGTGAAGTGTTTATGATACCACTACAAAGATCTTCTTGGGTAATAAAAAAGAAACTTACATCAGGACTACTCAACGTATGGAACGCAAATTTGATGATAAGATTGTCAGCTGCTTGGACAGGAGGCACAACGTAGATTAACACCCATGATGTGTAACACTGCAACACTTTGTTTTGGATGGTTACATTGTTCTCAGCATTCTTCAGGCAAACAGTCTGAAAAAAATAAAAATTACCGATTACTTTTACTAGAAACACAAAATATAGATAAGTAGGCACTTTCCATGTCCAGTGTTTCTAAGAAGGGCGAAGAAGATCAGGAGCCGTCTGTGAGGTCAGAATCATTTTTTCTTTCAGGATTGAGACTGAGAAAAATCAGTTAACTGCTAACTTTCAGTGTCGGGAAACTTAAACTGTAATGTAAGTTTTTAATATTCATTTTTATAGCTGGAAATTTTTAAGTAAAGCATCTCTCACATAGTGGAATACAAACCAAAAATTCGAGAAATGCGAAAAATGGGTGATCAGGCTGTTTTTGCACAAGCTTCTTTGACAAAAACAACATACTCAGTAGAAAACAAAGGGGTGAGAGATGATGTTACATTTGATGCACATGTAATATGTCAATAGCATAGTACTATCCATTATTCTCGTTGCTTTTTTTTGTTTTTCGATATTTTAGTGCATTCAAATCTTGACCTTTAAAGCCAGAATATTTCAATCCAGTTTCTCCAGATTTACTTGAAATTAGTGGCATTTAAGACTAAATTTATGCAGCAATTTAAAGTAATTTTGATCTTCACATAAAAGGCTGTCACTTTATTATCACTTCAAGATGAAAGCAACATTGTAAAGGAACAAACAAAAAAATTAATCTCTGTTAATATTAATTGTTTTGGTTAAGAAGTGACCCTATTAATATGCTGATTATTAGGACAGCTTAAAAAATACCTAGTTTTTCGAACATGTTAGACCAGAGAGAAAATATAAGATTGATAGAAACATTAGGAAAATGTGAGCACAAATTCGACAGGATTAATACATACCCAACATTCAAATAACATGGGATGGAATGCCCGGAATTGCTCTAGAACTTCTTGCCTCCTATTTTCTCCTAACCTTAGTGCTCTTGAATTCAGCTCTTCTGGTAGGACCTTGAGGATTTCTAGAACCGCTCGGGAATTGACAGGGTTCAACTGTGTGATGAGTTCTGAGATAGGATCTTTCCAGCTACTCATTTGTAGAGCTAAGTCAGCCACAGCTAAGCACAGCTACAAAATTATAAAGTATTCATGAAAAAATGAACCAACATAACAAGAAATTAAGTGATCACAATAAAAAACAGTTTATGTGCATTGCATTACCTGCTCACAAAAGAATGAAAAGTTGAAGGCATGATAAAGGAGAGCAGGGTTTCCATGATGTTTAATTTCTTCAATTTCTCCACTTGTCCTGGCTTTTTATGCTTTTTACTGATTTTTTAGTTTCCAAATTCTGAGAATTGCCTGACCCTCTAACGAAACTTCCACTTGATTCTGTTTTCTTTTGATTATGTTGACTTTTAAGTTCTCAACTTTGCATGCATTTCCCACTTCTAGACATTCACATTGGGGAAAAAGGTACTCAGAAGTTGTTCACACTATCTTGAATGGCAACAACTGAAGTTGCCGAGCCCACATGTTATTCTTGAAATTCCCTGACTATTCCAGAGACCTGCAAGTCCTTTGACTTTCCAGGTTTTTTGGACGGCCACAAACCCTCGAACGGAATTAAAAGACCTTGATTCAGAGCAAGATGACAAGAAGCTGTAAAACAAAGCACTAGTCATGGCTCTGTCATACAGAAAAAAGTGCATATTTACTAGCGAATTTCTCAGTTCCACACAGAGTCTATAATTTTAGGCTACAGATTTACAAATTCAATTTTTATCTAGATGTAGTATGAGTCATTGACATTGTCCTCTTTCATTTTGGAGGGTTTAATGGTTTCACACAATCAAATCATAGAAAAATGGACAAAAAGTTGAAAAAAATTTGCTTCATTCCTTTTAAAAAAGTTTTGATAAGATCTTGGATTTATCTGTTCTGCACAGCCAAACTTTTGAGCTTTTATGGTAAAAGATACTATAACAGTAATTTCAGCCGGTAAACTGACATAAAGTGTATGGTTTTTTACAGGATAAAGCCATATTCAGGTGAGAAAACGTTGAAAATGTACTTCTTGAACTCGATCATGATGATAATAGTAAATTGGATATCAAAAAAGTGCGGCCCTGTACAGACCATTGACCACTTAAAAGAGGAAAAGAAACAGACGGTAAATGTTTTCCTCTAATTTTTTTGAGGAAAAAAAGGTGATGAGATTACTTACTAACCTGGGTGACAATTGGAGGACTAGTTGCGTGATCAATATTGGCAATGTGCTTCAAAAGTGAGTCTTTCAAGCTTATCTGATTTTCAAGAGGAACTTCATGGAAGGAGTACTGGATCTTTGTTCTCAAAGTTTGCGCAGCAAAATAACAGCATTCAATATCAACTTTCTGGTACAGCATTTCGTCTGCTATTTTCCAGGCATAAAGCTGGAATAAAAAGAGAGAAAAATTTGAAATTTTAGATGCAATAATTTTGAACATTAATAGGGATCATTTTAGTACCTAGCTGCAAGCATTTTGAATGAAATGTAGTGCCAGTTTCAGTGCTGTAGTAAGGTAAGAGTAGTCTGCTGTCAGGACTAGAGTCCCAGACCAGGGAGAGGTGGGTCTCCATATTCAGCCAAACTCTTCATGCACACATAGAGAGCAAATACATAGCCGTGTTGTAGTGATTCTAGGCTAGGAGTCCCTCCACAAAGTGGCAACCCTACGAATGCAATGGGTCAGTTTTGCTGGTCACTGAATCAAGTTTTGATGCTTGATTCTTGTACATGAACGAAAAGTAATAAGATCCATCCAAACAGCAACTTTCTACATTCAGTTTTAGCCGAGATATCGTCCTTTGAAAAGTCAGGTTTTTGACATCATCCACCGCAGTTAGTGACTCCCTTGGTTTCTTTAACCCTGCTTTTATCAGTCGGTGTGACACACATTCGCACTGGTGTTGTTCAACGTAAAACTAGAATGAAAGCAAGGTGGAAGAAACCAAGGGTGTCATTACCGCAGTGGATGACGTTAAAACCTCGACTTTTCAAGGGGCGATATCTCGGCTAAAACTTAACGTAGAAAGCTGCTACTTGGGCTGATCATATTATTTCTGGCTAATCTACAAGAATCAAACATCAAAACACAATTCTATGACCAGCGCAACTGACCCATTTCTCACAACATGTGAATGGAGAGTTTAATCGAGAATCAAGGTGGACTCGCAGCTCAGTGTGGGGAATCTTCCCCATTGCAGCTTAAACTTAAAGAGCTTTTATAGATCTTCAAAGTTTGTTTAAGGGCAAACCAGAGGCACCATCATGTTTCTAGGGAAATTATCCAAGAGGAAAAGAACTTAATTGCAAACTCTTGTGGTATACTGCAAAAGCTCCAGTTAAAGATTAAGACAAAACCAATCGACCACATCAGAAATGCATCCTAAATATACAAATAATCATCAATAAAATCAAGGGCTGACTTCCTAGGTACAACTTCCTTGTCGTTTGTATATTTGGTGGTACCTTGAAAACTTTCCGACAAAAGTTTCAAATTCAATACCTACACTCATTATGACAGCTATCTCCAAATAAGTTAGTCAACTTTAAGAATGTTACAGGAGATCTGATAAATTGCATTTATTATTTCAATACTACTTAAATTGGAGATGGCAGAACTTTCATTGCACTTGACAAACGCAACACTATCAGTTGATCTAAGCCTCTCATTTCTAAGCTTGTATGACATAATTGAGGTAATATATATATGAAAGCAACCCTTAAGCCTGTGACAGATTTAATTTAATGCAAACTTCATGCCATAATACAGAGCCGCAACCAGCTTCCAGTGACAACAGAACAGGTCAGACGTCAAAATGAGACCAGCTGATTGAGCGAGCAGCTTACACTCAGCTTTATCCTCCGAGACACTACCTGAGTGCTTACACTCTCGTAAGAGGCACATTGGCTGGTATCTTTGGCGAGAAGTGTGAGTAATTCAAAGATTCTTCCTTTGGTATGAGCATTTCGAGAGACTAACCTCAAAGCCCTGCTACCTGTCCTTGTTTACAATTGGATGACAGGGTTCGTCTCAGGTGAAGAAGCACAACTGAGTATGGCTTCATCTTCAAGGTTATCGGAAAAAACATTGGGAGTAGATTAAAGATCACTCCAGAGGCATGAATGCAGAGTGAGCAACGAATGACTACAAAACCAGCCAAGATTCATTGCATACTCGGTCAACTAAAATTTGGATTGTGTCGCTCTCAGGAGCAGTGGACACATGGAATCACGAGTTCGTCAAGAAAGAACCTCGGTAGGCCCGAGGCGGATAGGGGATGATTAAGAAGTGGTCAAGAGAAAGAAGTAAACCTTAGTGTTGAGAACAGGAGGTAAACACTGAAGATTGATAGTTAAACTTACGGATTTTTGAAACTCTCCCAGCCATAACGACGCCTTTTCTTTCTCGGTGACATTGGAATCCTTGAATAAGGTATAAACTGCTTGATAAACCGTTTCTATAGAAGGAGGCTCCATGAGTTAACATTAATATATATTGCAAATATTCAGGATTCACTGAATTTAAAAGGAAATGCTAGAACCACTTAGTTCAGAACGTATTCAAATTTGAATTCAGACTGGACAAATTAGATAAAAACACCGTGTGACGGCCATTTTGGTGATTGGTGGAACCGGGTGCTCAAGATAGCGCACGATTTGAAATTGAATCGGTCCATATGAATCTGCCGCGGGTTTGGCGCGCGCGCGACTGCCTTTGCGTCTCTATTACGAACTTTAGTAAATGTATTGAAAATTGAAAAGAGGAAATACAGATTTCGTACCAACGTGCTGCAAAATTTTATTTACAACGCCAAGGCCTCTCGGCACACGGTGCCATTTTCAGAGGCGTAACAAACTTTGGCTAAAGTAGGTAACCGCAGATAGCAAAAAAAGCACAGCTATAAGCAAACATGTTTAAGAAGAGATAGCACGATGATTTTAAATAGGGAAGAAGCTAATTTTATTAAAATATCTCGTATTCTTCGGTAAGTAGTGATTCTTTTTTCATCCTTACATCTCAATGGCCTTATTTGATCAACTTCAAAATAATGATCCATTAAATTCCATGTTCCTAAAATTATATTTGTTGTGCTTGTTACTAACGGTTGAAGCAACTAGTTCGGTAGAATAAATCTTTCCAAGGCGATCAAATAGAAAGAAGTAAGAACGAAACTGACTCTCCTTCAGAATTCTCAATTTACGCAGGTGGATACTTTACAGATTGCGATTTTGCCAGTTTGAGTGGTCGAATAATACCTGAAAATTTGGAAAAATTGCAAAAATGGAACCGCAAGAATAAGGAGCAGAATGCCAGAGAAAAGTTAAATACGGCACAACATCAAGGAAGATATACACCACGAGGTTCATAAAGTCACTTATCGATTCAATCAGAGCTTAGGGAGCGATATAATTTTGTTTTTCGAATAATAATTTTTTGGTCGCCCTCCCGTAGGATTAATTGAAAAAAGTTTTGCCCGAACACGCAATTGTGTCCGCGTCTAACCAGCGTCGTAGGCACATAACAGACGATAGCAAATCGTAGAGAAAACATTATTTGCGGAATCCCCTGGTAAAAATTGGCAGTAGAATCTGTGTTCCAAAATACCATAGACCTACGGCCGGCTGTAAGATTTCCAATAGCTTCTATAGCCGGCAACACAATTTCTTATAGCCTTTTAGAGCCGATGGCGATTAAGCCTGACGATAAAGTGTATGCTAAACGTTACTAATTACGGATGCTAGGACTTAGTGAGTTATTGGACTATACCGCTCTCTTTCTGGGCCGCAGTATCTTGATTTATTTTGCGAGGAAACCTCCGTACTTTTGAAAGATGCCTGCCATTTCTAATGTGTTGGAGCGCCTTCAATTTCGTATGATACTGTGCAATACCTCTGGTGTGAAATAGTTGCTTCAAGCGCCGCGGCGCGGCGGGCGGGCAGCCAGCGCTGTACGCGCATTGGCGCCTGCAAACCTAACAGGGATACTTCACGCATTGCGCAATGCGTGAAGTATCCCTGTTAGGTTTGTAGGCGCCGGTGCGCCGCCGCTCCGCTTTGTGTTAGGTTCTAATATTTAATCTCGCGGAGTCAGCGTTTTTCAACTCATGACTTTGAAATGTTTGCACACTCTGTATGGATTATTCTCATTTTAATTGATGGAAAAAAATATGTAGTAAAGGAAAATATAATGTGCGTTTTGTAAATATTAAGGTGATTCCGTGCAAACTTAAGGATTTACAAAGCACAAGAATTTCTACTCAATTTCCTATAGCCTTTTACAGCCGATGGCGATAAAGCAACAGCCAGGCGATAAAGTGTAAAGCCCGGCGATAGGAACTATAGCCCGGCTGTATAATTTTTTTATCGCTCCGTGTAGCCCGGCCGTAGGATTTTTTTCCAATTTCTACAGCCAGCTATATGATTTTCTATCGCCCTCTTCAGTCGGCTATAAGAACTCCTGTGGTATTTTGAATCGCAGCTCCTATCGCCAATTTTTACCAGGGTCGTAATGAACAAACACCTCCCGTAAAAAAACCCTTGAGGCTCTCAAATATGATGTTAAAACCATTCTTTTTTTGTAAAGTCCTCCAGAAAAGGCATCAATTCAAGGGGAAAATCTTGAAAATTTGAGTAAGTGGAAGATATTGCCGCTCCATGAGCGGAAAGGGCGTAACTCAATTTCCTCGTGAGCTGCATACCGCATCTACTAGACTCAAAGATATTTCTCGTGGGAAGTGCGTATCAACGTCTGGGCAACGGTATCACTTAAGGAGCTTGGCTCGGAGGACAAAGCGAATAATTGCAGTTTTTGCTACTTCGAGAAATACATGTTTGAAGTTTCGAAATTACATGGATCCTTACGGCGGAAAGAAAGTTCGAACTGGCACTTAGATACTTAAAAATTGGAATTTGGGAGTGAACTTTTCACAGAATATTTATTAGGATTAGTTTCACTTGAAATCATTGATATCACAATTTTTTCAAAAACTGCTTTTGAGCGCCTTGTTGTCCTCCACAGTGGCGTATTTACCGGGGGGTNGGGGGGGGGGGGGGGGGGGTTAAGAGAAATCAAGGGGAAGGAAGAAAAATCGGGTGAAGAGAGAACACTGAAGATATTTTCCACGCACCACAATTATTTGATCAAAATTTTTGGATGTAAGGAATTGGAGAGTCTAACTATCTCTTTTTTTCCTCAGGGAGTCAGTGGATTTTTTCCATCTCATACTTAAACAAAACATTCTATTTGGTCTTGCATAAATGATTTCCATTCTTTTAAGGTCTTTTTGGGGGAAAATAGTGGAGAGCCTCTTATCATTTCTCATGATAGAAATTGTTATAAAGTTGGATTTTACGGGATTAAAATCCTGACAAATTTCCGGGGGAGGCCCCCCGGACCCCCTGGTGGGAGGTTTGTCCCCCCAGAAACTTATCCTGCGTACGCCATCAGTCCTCCAAGCCCCTCAATTCCACTTTTTCTTCCCATATACCGCGCAGTCGGTGAACTTGCAAGATTCCGGTAAGCTTAACGGCGTTGGCAACGACCCTGCTGTTACCAAGTGAAAGCTCTCCTCTGAGCTGTTGTGTTGTAAAACGACACCGTTTTATCAGCGCGCCCCTATGGTACCTGGAGTAGCAATCCCAGCCGAGCCCTGCGTTTTTGGGAGTCGGGTGAAGGAGGGGAGGAGAGGAGGAGCCCGCAGGCCGCTCGCCAGCGAATTTCCACTTTCACTTACGGAGGATTAACTAATTCTGCAATTTCAGCTCCGATACGGGCGATCGGGTCCTGGATCCGTCGCTTCAGTCTGATACATGCTGCTCATCCTCGACGGATCAATTCCGATTTGTGAAGGTCGATTCCAATACAGTTGGATAGAATTTTACGATTTACATTCACGTTGCAAAGTGAACTAGCTGAGCATGAATGCAGCTGACCGGATAGACATACATCGAACTCAAAGGTTGGTGATTGCGATTTTTGGATAGTTTTTAGACCATATCTATAACTGTTCTGTTACAATTAATATGAAGTGGTGCGCTCCCTACTTAATTAGACTAAATTTTGCAATTAGTAACTAAAATTTCCGTCTTAGTTTAGAAACAACGTATGTGCTATTGGTTTCCCTATGCACATACGTGTTTTTATAAATGAACCTGAAAGTGTAGTTCCATATTGCAAAATGAAGTCCAATTAGTGATAATCATTGCCGTGGACGAGTCTTCAGCGAGTATTTCATCGAACCAGTGAAGTCTTCATCGCAGTGGGACCCAGTTGCTTGACAAGTACAGGATATTCTAACTGCTCTTCCCTACAAAGAGGTCTTTCGGCATTCCGAAATGAGCCGGTCCATGACTTTTGACGACTTTTTAAACTACATTGCAAAAAAAAAAAACGTATCATTTGAAGGTTGATCGCGTCTTCTGAGGAAAAATTGATAGTAAATAAAAAGTGAAGGGATTAATAGATACCTACATAAATAAAAATAATGAAAATACAGGGGCCGTCTACATTCCGTCACGCAGTAGTGGAAGGAAGGAAGTCCGGTCCCGCGCGACGGGAAGAAGAGATTTATTAAGCACAACACGTGACGTCATGCAAAAAAAAAAGACGTATAGGACGAAGTAGGTAGTTGGTTTCCCTTTAAGAATTTTCACAGTAGTTTTGAAAAATGCCAATTTTATGAGCCCAAGTAGCATTTTCATCTACTTTCTAGGTGGCGCTCATCAAGAAAATGTCTACTTTCTAGATAAAACAATTTTCTTGAAAGAAAATACATGTTTTCCTTGCATTTTCTTGAAAGGAAACATTTAGAAATTGGCTAGAAAATGATTCTACTTCCAATAAATTTTCTATCTTTTTTCTAAATGGGAAGTTGACAGAAAGTAGACCTATGAAATAGATCTATTTTCTTTGGTCAGACTTTTGACTCGCAATGTTTTTTCTTCCTATTTTCTGGATAACTCTCATTTTCTTTGTTTTTTCTAGAAATTTTCCTAATATTTTTTTTCTTGAAAGAAATTCTATTTTGCTACTTGGGAGGGCAGGAGGGAGATGGAATCAAACAAAGTGGGACGTAATTTTTTAGGGCAAGTCAGCGCTGCGTGACGGGTGCTTGATGGATGGAAAGAGCAGAGGTTCTTGAATTTGGGGTGTTGTAATTTATGAAAGGCCGCAGTTTAGAAGAGTGAAAGGAAGCACTTTTGAGGCAAAGGGTCTTAGATAACACCTACTTTTTACTGGAGAGTTGTTGATGAATTACGTGACGCGATTTTTCTGACTTTTTAAAACCAACCCACAACCTACCCCTTGTTACGCGATCGTAACGCTGGTCCATACACTTCCAAAATAATTACGTAACATTTGCCTCAACATCCCCCCCTTTTTCACGAAAAAAAATTCGGGAGCAATTTTCCCTCTAAAATCTGAGGGAGAGCATGGCCTCTCTTAACTGGAAGGCTCTGTACTTTAAGAGACAAGAAAGAATTTAAAGAAAAAAAATGGCATATAAAACTTGAAAAGAAAAAAAGTTGAAATCCAGTAGATATGCACGTATGCTGTTTCTTAACGCTGAGCGTGATTTTTTCTAGCTACTTGTCACGTTCGGTCACAAAATTATGAGGACTCAACCACCCCTGGAGTGTTACCTCCGTAGATGATTATGGACAGCCCCTTGATGAATCCTAAAAATATTTCACCAATTTAAAAAACCATACTCTATAAGGCAACTTTAAGTGACGAAAAGCTCAAAGTTTTATAAAAGATAAAACTCAGGGCCGTAACGAAAGTGCAATTCGTGGAACATCGGGCGAACTTGTTCCAGGAACTATAAATATAACGTTAGATTTAACTTGTCCTTTGAACCCCCAGTTCGTGGAACTAACGCGCCCGATAAGCGCGCGCTCGTGAGGAAAATGCCTAATACTTGTGCAAAATTCCTTGGAATTGGTTAAAAAAAAAAAAAAAAATTCTTTCATTTTTAGGTGAATTTGAGAATGAAATTTATGCATCTTGGATATTAAGAAAAAGAAGGGGAGCTGGTGCAAATTTCATTCCTAATTCCAGCGACAGATTTTTTTTCTTTCTTTGTCCCCCTCCAATAATATGCGTTTATGAGGTTCCAGTTTTGATAATACTTGGATTTTTTTTTTTTTCATTTATTTTTTTTTAATGATTTACTCCTGAGAATGGTTGCTTTTAAGGATCATTGCTCATGCAAAATGTGCCACTGGGAGGTGAGTTGAACACTCAATGGGTTCAGAGGATTTCTGATGACCTCTCATGGTTTGTTTTAAAGATGTGACAAAAACTTAGGAAACTATGTCAGTCTTTGCCAATGCCATTGTATCCACCATGTGAACAACTCAATCTCTATCAGGTCATTCTAAACAGATGAATCGGTATCCAAAATCAAAATATATGGCTCGTTGCCAAAAGTAAAAAATCTATAAGCATGTATTAAGAGTTTCAAAACATTCAAAAGTTGCATGCTAGTTCTGATTTGTCTCCCTGTTCTTTGTTTTAGGACCACGGATGAATGAAATGATGAGCTGACAGTGATAGAAGAATCTTGGGATTGAACAAAATCCAGAAGCATAATAAAATACTAATGCCTGAGCCAATATGTTTGTATTTCCTATCTACCTCATTTTTATGATGACATATTTAAGAGCTCAAAAACCAGATCAAAGAAATTTATTCAATAATGGAGGCTGGATACCAAGAACAGATCTTGCGAGTAATATTAACTCAAAAAATCTTAAACAGACATCCAATAATACGGACAAAGCATTTGTTCCGTTGGATAAACATGAAATTAATGAAAATATTGATTCCTTTACAGATTTTGGTAAGGATCAAAAGAACGATAAAATTGTCATTCAATCAAGATCTCTCTACAGCAGGGTAAACATTGATGGAGGAGGAGTTTCCAGTTCCAAAGATACACTGATGAGGAGAAACTCATTTGAGACCCAAAGCACGAACATACCTTTGATTGAAACTTTCAGGGAAAAATTTCAAGAGCAAGAAATAATAGCTAGAAAAACTGATACCAATGAATCCGAAAAAAGTAAAATTAAATTTTTGATTGGTGCCAAAAAGGGACATGATTCATCCACAGAAAAGCATCAGATGACTGAAAAGGATGCAACTGTTGTCCGATATAATGATGAAAAAACTGAAAAGACGAAACAGAGCTTATCTTCAGCACAAAAGTCAAGAGACGCAGGATCAAATAATTCTACAAAAGCATCTGCATTAAATAAGATCTCAGATCAATTAAACTTGACAACCAATTCCACTAATATTGTGGCCAAAAACTCGACTGGAAAAGTGACAAAAATTGATATCAAGCCACAGCAACCTGTTTTGTCTGGCGAAAAACTCTCTCCGCCTTCATTAAAAACAAATAAGCCACTTAAAAATGATACATCAATAGTGTCTAGATTTCGAAAACAAGTGCTAAACTGGCAGAGTCGAGGTCCTCCACGATTTAGCAGTGTTGGTGCCTCACATAGAATTCCACCGACTCACAGCTACTCAACTCTTGCTCTTCAAGCACCAGAGCCATTTTCACAAAAAAGGACCGATTTTTTTTCACAGAGACCATTGAAATTAGCTCAGCCATACCCTGCACATAGTTTTAAACCCGGAACACCTGAATATTTGCCTGATCGAGACTTTGGTCTTTTCGATCGGCAAGACCAAGCAGGTCAGTTTTATCCTCAAGGATACCTTGCTCAGCCACTACCAAACAACAGTTCATATTATAACACGCCAGTGGTGAATTACTATTATCCATCTGTAAGTTATCAGCCAACTAGAGCGCCACAAGTTGAGCTAACAACACAAGCGTATCCACCACTGGGTGTACCATCACAAACCTACCAGGTGATTTTTTACAAAGATTTATTGATTCTTCTGATCCCTTACTCTATTTTCCACCTCTTCTCTTTTTAGTTGAGCTTTAATAATTTCAGTCAATGAGATAATTCATAACTTTCTTTTTCTTGAAAACCATTTATTCTTTACCTGGAACATGTAATATCTACAGCCCTCCCCAGAGAATAAAATAAATAAATAAAAAATCATTGGTTACTTTCAACAAATTTAGGCTGTAAAATCATTCCATTTCCCTTGCACCCACATTAAATTTTAATTTCTTTGAACTTTTAAAAACAAAATTCTTTAGGTTCCAGGCTACCAATATGGTCCACCTGACCAGAGCTACGGCCCCCCAGAGCTTCCAGAACTCCAGCCAATTCAAGAGGCAAAGCCATATCGACCTCAAGGATACTTTAGGATCATTCTAAATGATGATAGGTGTGTGATGAGTCGCCAGGTTGGAGCCGAGGCACTCATCGATGTTTCACTGCTGTTTAGGAGTCAAAAAAGCCAGCTGAAAAATTGTGCCCTAATGTTCTCATCAACACTTAATATTGCTTTATCAAGTATGGTCCAGTCAGATGACAACATTACAACAGTTGATTTGGTCCGTCAGCTAAATCTACGACTGTTTACCGTCCTACCCGCTGGCCACATCTCAGAAATTAAGTCCCCGTAAGTAAGCTAGTAAAGAGAGCTCTTTAACTTAGATGATCGTTTACAGTAAGGTGACTTAATTGGAAAAGTAGACTGTAAGAGAGGAAGACAAGAGGGTGAAGGCGATCCTAAATAAAAAGTACATGTAATCAAAAGAAAAACGAAATAAAAAATAATGCAAAAAGACTTGACATTAAAATAATAAAATGATCAAACTGACAAAAGGAACAGGAGAAACTAAGCGTCTTCAAGGTGCAAATTATTTTTATAGATTTTAAGAGAATATATTTGTTTCAATTTGAAACTGCATGGAAGAGACTCGAGAGGAACCTAATCAAGCATTTTTTTGACTGCCTTCCTTCCGCTCTTCGATTTTTGCCAAGTAACCTGAGTTTGATGGTCTTAAACAAGAGTCAACTGGGGTTGGGTGTTAAGAGACGCGAGGATGAGGATCAGAACGAGCCCCTATGGGCTGTTTTAAAATTGGGTGGGGGGGAAACTGGGGTCATAACCCTCAATATATTACGGTACTTGCTAGTTTAATCAGTTTAAGAGCTACAAATTAACAAGATTTTTACCTTTTTCTAGATGGTACATGGATGACACATCACCTGGCCTGACATTTGCAGACACGGGGACTATAATCATCACGTTTCAGCCTAGCACACCTCTTAATTTTCGACTTCTCATATTTTCCTACAGAGACACAATTCCTCGCGTTCCAGGAATTGTTACTTCCGTTCTTGTTGCCAATGCAACTGCGCCCTTCAGTGAGACCACTCTCGTAGAAATCCCAGAGTCTACTACTCAGAAACAGGATGGACTATTACCTACCACTGAGAAACAGGATGAATTATTACCTACCACTGAGAAACAGGATGAATTATTACCTACCACTGAAAAACAGGATGAATTATTACCTACCACTGAGAAACAAAACACAACATCATCCACCACTGAAAAACCAGACGCAATGGTATCTTCCACGCCAGAACAGGAGTTTCTTGAAATGTTATAGTCAAGAAAGAGTTAAATGACAACAGCATAATGTTTCAAAGTCACTGTTATGTTGGAGTGAATCTTTCACTTCCTAGATATAAGGTTCTGCTGAACACAGTCTTCAAAAAAAAGGCATTCCTTGACATTCACACTGATTAAAGATGCAAAGCTTGATTTAAATTGCTTTAGATGGGAAAGATAAACAGTAATAAAATTTCCTGTCGTTCTGACATCCTGCCACTAAATTAAAAATGCATTTTCATTGTATTTTAATTAATTTCAGTGCAGTCTTCAAACAGAATTTTGAAAACTTCTAGGATATGAATTGACAAAATTTCGACTATTTTCAGTTTTTCTAAACTACGATTTTCTATAATTCAGTTCCATTGATAAAATTTTTCCTATGAACTGGTTGATCAAGTCTCAACCAAAAAATTTGATATTTTTGTACAAAAAATGAAAAAAAGAAGAAAAAAAAGAAATACACACAATTAAAAAAGACTTTCGTGAAACATTCAAACCATTTAATTTTTTTTTTTAAAAAAAACTTTTTCTTTTTACAAATTAGACGGCAATGACCATAACTTCACTATTGTATGGACACTGCAGAAACATACCGGTTATTAATTAATGGGTAAAAAGTTACAGTATGACTAGGAAACTTGGATACATATATCAGCCAGCAGTATAAATTGAACACAACTTATGACCCCAAGTAACGTTTACGAATCAATTACAATTAAAATTTCAAATTACAGAAATTCCGTCCAGCATATTGTACTAACTTCAAGTTGATAGTGAAACGTTTAATGATAGATATTCTTTGATCTGAACATCTGAATTGTACTTAGAATAATTGGTGAGCTGAGTTGTGTTCACAAAAGTTGGAAATTAATTTAGTACAAGTTTGATGAATTATAGACTTTTGTTGATTTCATTCAAATTTTAAGTAATTTTGATAAGCCCAGTCTCTACTGTAACGACACTATATGCAGGAAGAAAATGCAGACGGAGATTAAAACTGTGCAGAAATTATGCCAGACAAAATTGTCCTAACAACATAGATGTAACTCTTTCATAAAATTAAACAGACTTTCATGAGCAATTGCTAGGTTTAAATACCAGTGAAAAAAAATCTGCTCTGATCATTTGACTTCCTCTTCAAAATTAAATAATATGTACCCATCTAGTACTTAAAACGTAAATTACACAAGTGTAATGCCACTCTTGAGCAATGATGCAATAACAGATCTATGCGGCCCAGAGGTTTTTGTTATTTCGGGTAACAAATGAAGAATCTAAAATTTATCTGGAGGATTTAAATTTTTTTTAAAACCATTTCATAATATTTTCCTGCTTATATTAGGTGCTCATTCAAATTACTAAAATCTCCCTGATGGCTTTATTGATCTTCCCAAAAATAAACATTTGAAATGTTAAAAATTTGTTTTTCCAAGGCCTGAAGACACATGGAGGGATACCGAGATGGTGAAGCATGGCACGACATACCATGACTTAATTAATTACCGCATACAACTCCTCCTTTTTAATTTATTTAATTTCTTGAAAGAGCATCTTTTCAGAAGACAGCCCAGAGAATCAGATTAAAGTCATTGAGGTTACTTACAGGTATCACGCATTTTTCTTATTTTTCAAAGGGACAATTGCTATGTCAAGGGAGGGCGGGAAACGCTCTTTCAGCCGAGCTAGACTATGTCAGCTAGACATCTGGACCTGAATGCGATAGCAGATTTCTACAATGGATGCTCGTTCTGATAGTAAAAAGTCCGTGATGAGAGAGTCAAGTGGGTCATTGCACCGTGCAATCTGGCGCCTCATCATCAATTTGAAGTCTTCCCTTACATTTTTGTCAACACCTCGAGTCGACATCCTCCTTTGGCTGGAAGTATAAAATAGTATTACTTTACGCCACAAAATGAAGGTAATTCTATGAATAGTTTTAAGAAGAAGAAGAGAAAAAGTGTGAAGACAGTGTTTCTTTGAAAAATCAAATCATCATTTTATCTTATTACTGCTACTTTCAAGTTTATTTTAGTTGAAGGTTCCTGAAGGAAAAACTGAGGAGAATATCAGACGTTAAGATGGGAGAGGCAATGAAAGGGTACTGAGAGGGATAAAATATCATCGACTTAAATTAAGCCCTGTTTGGACGTAGCAACATTTAAAAAAAAATAAAGGTTGGTAGCAGTTAATTCCTACAGAATTGAAACGCAGGCCAACCTTAATACTTTTACAAGTAAATTGCATTTTCAATCTGGAAATAAAATCAGCTGTATGGAAGCTTCTCATAATGACCAAAAAGATAATTCAACCTGTAATTGAGATTGTTGTTATGATTTTGATAATGTTCATAAATTATCAGCCCCTGCCACTGGTGATCAGTTTCAAATCGACCAAAAAGAATGGATAATAGATAGTACAGTTAGGAAGTGCAGTTCTCAAAGAACCCAATCATCCACTCAGAAAATCTCCCTACCTAACTATTACAAAGCAGTGGGCGGACTGAATATAGTCCATTTGACAGGGTGAGAATTGAAGTACTGAAAGTTTTATTTCCTCATCAAAATTTCTTGCAAAACATAATGAACATATTGAATATAAAATTAGTATATTTACTTCTCACTTAATAATAATATAGAATACTCACTTTAAGAGTTGATTTGCAGATGGGACTAGAATATCCAGTGAAATGTTGCCTCCCTGTTCAGTTGAAAGAAAGATGAACTCCTCTAAAATGGTTGGATTCACCAGGTATTTTGTAAAAACTGGGTAAGCGAAGGCTTTGCGTTGCGCTATTTCTTTCAGTACCCTTGTTACAAGAGCCTCTTCCTGTGGCCAGTCAAGTTGACACAGAACAAGCAAGTGCCCCAACGCCAGATCATAGTTAGAAAATAGCGTCTTGAAAACACCTTGCTGAAAAAATCAAGTTGAGTTCCATTGCACAGATAAGGATAAAATGTTCAAAATTTTCTGTGACCTATTAAGCATTACAAGTTCACAATTGTACTGGTCATGTTTAATTCAATTTCTGTATCAGAAAAAGATGTTTTAACATCATAAAATGATACATTCCTCTTTATGGAACTATGTGCCTTCAGAGATTTTAATGACTCATGCGAAAACGTCCAATTTGATGCTTGATTCTTGTAGATTAGCTAAAAATAATGAGATCTGTCCAAACAGCAACTGTCTACATTCAATTGTAACCAAGCTGTCGCCCTTTGAAAAGTTGAGTTTTTGACGTCATCCACTGCGGTAATGACACCCTTGGTTTCTTCCACCTTGCTTTCAACAGTCGGTGTGACGCACATTTGCACCAGTTGTTCAACGTGAAACTCAGATGAATGCAAGGTGGAAGAAAGCAAAGGTGTCATTACCGCGGTGGATGACGTCAAAAACCCGACTTTTCAAAGGGTGATAGCTTGGTTACAATTGAATGTAGAAAGTTGCTGTTTAGACTGGTCTTATTATTTTTAGCTAATCTACAAGAATCAAACATCAAAACACGATTCTGTGACCAGCGCAACTGACTCATTGATTGTCGATAACCGTAAAAATCATGAAAATTGGTTTGGTAGAACGTCAGAACTAAGCTTTGCCAGAAATGAAAATTTAGAAGGCTTAAGAGTTTGTTGTATAGTCTGTTACTGTGTCATGGATACTGCAATACTGCATGTAATTAGCTTTGAGCTATCTATTCATTGTAGCACAGTGTATATTAGTGTTTTGAAACTCTGAAATGACGGACACTGGATGCTTTGACGCAAACTAATTCCAAATGGAACAAAACTATTGCCATTTTTGTTTCTCTCAGCTGCAAACGGTAAAGTAAAGACAGTTGTAAGACATGAAAATCCACTCTCTCAAAATTTACTTATTGTTAGTCATCTAAAAAGTAAGGCCCTTTAAATTTTCAAAAAATGTACTGATTAACAGCATAAGATCTTTTGCTTTACATGATGCCCTACTTACTTTAAGTGTAGCTATGAGCAATTTGCAGCAGTACTGAATGAGAGGAAGTTTCACTAATGGTATGTACTGCAGGTGTCTTCGAGTTGTCACAGAGGCATTGATTGGAGGATGACTAGATTGCGAGGAGGATGGCAAGCTGGCAGCTGCAGCTACAACTTCATAAAGGGACTCCACTGATAACTGAAAAAAAAAGCGATATTAAAGTTCCTACATGCATACAGGGGAATAGAATACAATCTAATTTTGTAATCCATTGCTCTTTCCTACTTACTACCAAATAAGGAGAGCCCCAAAGATCTGACAGGCCTTGTAGACAAAGTATTGATTAAAGCACTACACAATGGGTTTTCTCTATAAAATTTCATAGGTAAAACAAATCACACAACAGGAGTTAAAAAATCAAGCCTTGAACAAGATATATGTATTAATGCTTACAGTCAATATCAGGGCAAACGGTACAAATGGAAATCACTTCAATTGTATCATCTAACTTCCATTTGATTGTACTTCAATATTCTTATTAATATCTCTTTCAAGAGTCGATTTCCGAACTTCGCACCGTCTGGGTTGCTTCTTTTGGTAAGAATTTGAAAAGAAAACATTAGGCATTTTTTCGTACTTCAGAACTTGTCAAGTGGCCAAATTCCCTCAATCTTTCATCAAATCTGAGGGTTTTTTCTTAATCCATGAGAAGATGGCAAAACGATTAAAAGAAAAAATAGGACCCTTCGGAATATTTACAATTTCATTTTAATCGGCAAAATGAAAAGGAAACAACATGAACAAATGAATCATCAACCTACAGTTATTTGAAGACTGAGACTTAATAATTCATTTGACTTCGGTCTCTTTGGACATGTTGCTGCTGAAGGCTAGTCTCGACTTATTAGCTGATGTTGCCCAAAAGTGGTAAAATTTTCATTTGAATTATACCTACACTAAATAAATTGCAAGAGACGGATCCAGATGGATTACAGTTCTCACATGTGTTTACCACAGTTGGACTTCACTGGTCTACACCTACTTCATTACAGCTAACTCCCAAAAAAAGCAAACAGGTGGTGTCCATGAGAAAACTGTCTACAGTGAACCATAGTACTACCATATTGTTGCTTGAGAAACAATGTCAACGATCTGACATTTTTGGCAAACACAACTAAGCCGATGTAATGTGCTCTGTATACAGAGACACATATAATACCTTTTTACAAAATGAAATTTCATGACAGATGCATCTTCAAAATCACACTAATGGGGGTTAACTTCCTTTTACGATTTCAATCCAGGGATGAGCCATCTTTTACTGTAGCACCGAAAGCAAATTGCAAAGAGTCACAAAGAATCTTTAGATTTGCTGCTAAGCGCACTAAGAGTTTGAAATAGTAATTGGACAAATAAAGAAAAATTGTTTTAAAAAATGGACAAAAAAGGAAGCAATAGGCTCAGCTAAGGGGGAAAATACATTGGGAACGATATCAAGAGGGCAAAGTTGACAGGTTTACAAGCATTAATCTATGACGTACTAGTACAGGCATCGCAAAGATAGTAAAGCAAAGGGCCCAGAGAAATCTGTATACATGGCTTTCACCAACAGGATGAAAGTATCAATCGAGAGATCATCTCTCTGTAATAATCATAGGTAAGTGATGAGACTGAACAGACTGACACCTATCTTAAATAACCGACGTAGCTGAATTTTGACGGAGATATCTACATGAGTACAAGAAAAAGGCAAATAGGGTGAATTGAGAAATAAATAGTTGCGTTGACCGCAACTTATTACGAACCATGTACATTTTTTTCCCATGATAGACACTTGCTAATTCTAGTGATCGCTTCAAACTTGCTTCAGTGCCAATGATGTGTTTCAGATACTCATCGTACTCTCCTTCATACAGTGCCAAATCCTGAATAATACTTCCTAAGAGTGGTTCTAGAGCAAGACCTTCATTCAGTTTCTTAAATTCTGTAACAAGAGAGAAAAAACATGATGACTTATGCAATTGATGATCATACAAATACTTGTATAAGGTTTAAAATCAAAATAAAGGGTACATAATGCAGAGCAGATGCTATACCATCTGATGTCAGTTCTAAATAATCTACAGTGAAAAAATAAAATTAACGGACTGAATTTAAGTCGACAGTAGAAAATTAATCTGTCAGCAACTTTTGTTGCCCTACCCTTGAACCTTCCAATTATTGTAAGTAGTATAGCTTGAGACAAAGATTATAGGAAGAAGTAATATTCAAGTCAAGTATAAAAAAAAACAAAAAAAAACCCCAACATTCCCAACAACAACAACAGCAACACCAAACAAATAAATAAATGAGTTTACCTTGCTTTAAGAGCGGATTACGATGAAGCAAGGACCAACATTTGTGTGCTCTTTGGAAATGTTCAATGGCATCAGTATTATTTTCAACAACAGTTACAACAGGCAGAATCTCATCTTCACTGTTCTGCCTCATTTTCTTGGCCGGAGTCATAACATTTGCTTTGATGTCAACTCCTTCATTAATAAAAGTTTCAACCAACACCAGTTCTGATTTTTTATAAGAACCTGGAACAGATAATAGAAAATGCATCATAGTTTCTTAAAGACATCCATTTTCTGTTTTGTGGTACTTTTTTGGAAATCAGCAAATCTTAAGCTTCACCTCTTGGGTAAACATGCAAACCAATGAGGATATGTACTACTTTCTAATTTTTTTTTAGATTCACTGCTAAAATTTAAAGCCGTTTCTAGGTTATACAAGTAAGTATGTGCAAAAAAAAGGGAAGCTTTTGGCTAACACAAAACTACCGAGTTCAAAAATATTGGCATAACTAATGAAACACAAAAAACGAGACAACGAGAAGAACTCAATGTGGAAAATCCACAGTTACTCAGTGGGATGCACATAATTTTGAGTGATTTAGAGAAGCAGTTCTCAACTTTTTCAGGTTACTGACCCCCTACTAGCTCCTACTTGGAGAGCGCTCTGCCCCCTAAAAAAATTACTTTCTCTTTTTCTTACTCCTGACTCCTGAGACATGTGATACTGCCATTGGATTGAGAAGTAAACCGGCTTGTGCCTAATTTTAATGCAAGGCGTCAATAATGTGGCGCATCTTTCTTCCCACGCTGCCATGTTTCCCCATGCACCTTCGTAAAATCTTTTCTTCCCATTTTTACAAAATTCTTACTTCTGCCCCAGACCACCCTGATGCCCTCTGTGGTCCGTAGGTTATGAAAAGCTGATCTATAATGTAATACTTTTGATTATCTGCTGAGTAATTATGGGAGTTTGTTATTCTAGGTGGCGGTAGCCACCCCGGCCCAATCCAAAAAACTCCCCCTAAAAAATGACGAGACCAAATGATCCTAGTTACATAGATAGATACAGATAGATAGATAAAACTTTATTATGCTCCTTTTTACAGTATAACAAGATTATTTAAATAAGTGCGAACAAAAGAAAAGTAACATAATAAAACCACCCACTAAGGTTGGACCTTGTGTCGGGTGGGGCACATCCAAGCATCTTTAGAAAATTAAGATATCCCTTAGAGGAAATCAAGTATAAATATCATTCAATGTGGAATTAAAAATGGTTTATCGTACCTGCTTCCAAAGCGGACACATAACCATGCAAAGTTTGAAGGAACAGAATGGTAACAGCATACGTCATTTCTTCTGCACACATCATCCAGTCAGCAACTGACACCATGAATTGCTTCAGTTGAAAAAGGGCTCGGTCTAGATTTCTAAACATGGAATTGCAAAATGGAATATTAAATTTAGAATTAAAAATGATTATATTACCATTCATTGGATTGTATCTCTGCTGTTGAATAGGAGTGGAGAGTCATGACAGTGAAGATAAAAACAAGGAACAAAATGCTGGGCTGCCAGAGGACACAAAAAATTGAGCTGACAGTTCCACACTCCCTGTAATTTTCCAAATTTTTTTAAATATCCACATGAATGTTCAAGGACTTTCCCCGAGAGGTTATCAAGTTCGCTGAGGTAAAGATTTGTGATTTCAAGCTGGTATGTTGAGAATTCCTTTCTCTCAACCTGGACAAGGTGCGGCAATCAGAAAATTACACCACAATCTGAATATTTTGATACTGACATTCAGAAAGGCACAACATTCTTTGAATGACTACTTTTTTCACAGAACTTGTGTAATAGCTGCAGAAAAACTCTGTTTCCTTAGTCAATTTTGTGGTGAGAGGACTTCCCTGATATTTGGTAAAAAAAGGAAATAACTAACGAAACTTGTGAATTGAAAGGGGCCAGATCTTGCCCTGAACTTCTTCTGATAAAGATGAAGAATGTACTACATAATTTGTATAATAAAAAAAAGACTTTAATATAAAAACCAAATAAATTACATAACTAAGAGTGACAATCCAGCAACAGTTTTTGAAGATATACCTGGTTTCCTCCAAGAGGAAACCAGGGGGGGGGGGGGGGGGTGTCAAAAAGGGGTGTTGTAATCTTGCAGTTTTGTTGATTTCTGGAGGACACCTGGGTGCCTTGTTGCATGGCCAATTTATGTACAGATTAATAAATGTAACTAAATGTGTAATTCAATTACAAATTTTATTTTCTTCAAGAAAAACTACTTATTTTTCGACTTTGACCATCGATAAGTGATTTTTGTGATTCCCTGCAGAGCTTCGTGATTTTGAGTTTTCTTATTACTCAACCTATCTTTTTTTTTTTTTCGTTGAACGATATTAAACTTTTGTGGTAATAGAAAGATTGCTTTTTTAACAGAATTTTGGGATGAGGTTTTCCCTTTTCCGTCTCAATTTTAAAAATTTACTTTTAGGAATAAAGGGGAAATAATTTATGAAATTACAAACAGACAATTAGAACATACACAGGTGGATTGAAAATGTTGCTGATTTCCCAGTGAAGTTTGGTTCCGATAACTTTGAAAATCTTGTTCATTGAGTCCCATGAATTTTGTACATTGTTTTCACTTTCTGGCAGATCCTGTACAAATTTAAAAATGAGTGGATTTAATGACAAGAATATTTGTAGGAGGTATAAAAGATGGAACACATTAAGCGCAAGCAAACAATTTAGAGGAAAGAGATGCAAAAACTACATAACTAAGCAAAAAGTCGAATTAGTTGATCTCTTCATTTGCTTTGGATAATAAAGACCATTTAATTGATTCTTTCAACGCTTAAAAAAAATTAAAAAAATAATAAATAAAAAAGAAGGTTCATTAGACTGCATTTTTTCATCCTGGAAATTTAGTATACATTTTTGGACTTTTAAGATTCTGAATCCTAACATGAATTGTTTGAAAGGACGTAAAATTAAGTAAAATTAAGAGAACGAATTCAGAATTAGAGAAAATACAGCAAGAATAGAATCTGAATACTGTAAGTGACAGATTGGGAGAATAGTGCCAGTGCTACACTATGCCGCAGGTGAATCAAAGCCAAACTCATTATACAGCACTGTAACTCAAATTCTAATTTGTTTTTCCTGACCTTGATTTCTCCTCAGAGTAGTGTGAACCCAGCTTTCTTCTACCATTCAAATTAAATTTTAGACTACTAAGGTGAATAATGAAATGGTAGGAATTTTTTTACAAGCAGTCGGGAGAATAAATTAATGACTGATCAAGAATGATCTCTGGAGTGAGGGGATTACTGAATCAAAAAAGTCCTCACAGCATACGTAGAAAGGACTGGGGCAAAATATAGTTTGAGATGTAAAATTCTTCATTGTTTTTTTTTAAAATTCATTGATAAAAGCATTCTAACCTGTATGATTTTGGTTTTTTGTATCAAATAAGCTACATAAAATTTGATGGACTTATTCAAAAGGGTGATAAGAAGCTTAGTTGACATTTCAATTGATTCAATTGAGAGAAACGGCATCAAGTCACAAACTGCAATCAAAATTAAAAAAAAAATAATTAATTTCTCCTCCAACAAATTGCAATACGTACAAAAAACATTCTATCTAATACAACAAGATTCGGTTTTACGATGTTATGATTTTACGAATTTATGATTTGCAAAAAAATAAATGTATTTCCTCATCCACTGAGCGAGTAGCAGTGACAATATAAGGTCGCATTTGTAATTTTCAATCTGACTCATGGTAGCTGAGCTTCAATGAACATGTTCACTACTCAATTGAATAGTTTTTAAGGGACACCTCTGGTTGCACTAATACAATTAATTTGAAAAGTGTACAGCTCTGCTGCTTTGATGACACATAAATGTCAGAACTTTTAAGGACATCTTCCTTTAAACTAGCTTATTGTAGAAGAAGTCTGATAGAATAAAAAAAATGATGAGAATAAAATATTCATTTTTTCTCTTATCTATAAATTTTAGGGATTTAAATACAATTACTCACCTAGAAATTTTCTATATATATTGACGGGGTTTGAATAAATATGTTTTTCAGCTGAGATGAGTGTTTCCACCAGCTTTGGCTGAAAAAAAAATCAGAAATGGTCTTCAGTTACAACATTAGCATTTACGGTCTGACGATTATTCTATCTTAGTTAAAGAAAAATTGTTTTTTGGTTTTTTCACGTATTGTCCGACTGTTGGTCAAATTCAAAGAACGATCGTTCAGAAAGAAGGTTTCCCTACTTATTTCCTCAAGAACTACTGAATTTAAATCAATTTCAAAAACACCACAAGAAAGCAAGGACTTATAACTTTCTAACAATATGCACATTGGTTTTTGGCTTATGACAGGTCAATCACTCAGAGATTACATTTTACTGTGGGTGCCTCACCCAAATACTTCCTACCTTTTACGAAGGTCAACTTTTGGGGATTTTGAAAGTTGATATGAAGGCTAAGAACTTTCTGCATCACTGAGATGTGATGCTTAATTAATGAAAAAAGAACTCATTACATTTTCTATTTTCATTTTGATGGCAACACAACAAAAGATAAACTGTTAAAATCTCTTGAGATGGTCGATAAGAACACACAAAATCAGCCAAATTTAAGAACAAGAAATTATGATTTATTTCTGCACGATTCTGATATATTCTGAAGTTGAACAGAGCCTTCCTTATAACTCTGGGAGCAAGAAATTATCATTGGTGAAAGTTAGGGAGTTTGTTCACATGCAAATTCTTGCTTTAAAAAAATGTAGCATTTTAAAGTTTTTCTTAAATGTTGATCTCTGCAATTCTCATAAAATTCCTTTTTTTCTACAATTGAAAAGATAAAATAACTTTAACACCAAACTCGTGACTACAATTCTTTCAAGTAATTTAAACATTAACAAATACTTACAACACTTTCTTGCGCAGTTTCTGGAAATTTATTCAACAGTAGGAGAGAAAGACGACAGTGTTCCATAGGATCTTCAGAGCGATCTGCTGCATTTTGTAAGATTTTCAGCTGAATATCTAAAGGAACAAGTTACACTAATTTTAACTTGCACTCACCAAGTAATTAAGGCACTCATCTTACTTCACTAAAAATCGAGTCTTGGTTAATTTTTTACTTTTGAGATATGACTGAACCCAAGAAAAGTTTCAAAAAACACTGAACTGTATTTCTTATTCTGTGGGGAAGGGGGATGCTAAGTTAGATTAGAATGGTTTTTAACTTGATAAGTTCAGTTAGAGGTGCTTTTCAATTTGCACAAAATACCTCCTCAGAGAGTAAACTATGCATGTTCACCATAATCTTAGAAATCAGAAAAATAAATTTTGCTTTGCTTCTTTTATAAAAAGACAAAATTTAAAGAAATCAAACTTATTTAAGATACCTTGGTTCCCACTGTAGACTATTTAAGGTACTAAAAGAAATATTTTTTTGTAAAACTCAATACTTACCATATGGGATGTTCTTGAACATTTGACTCAGAAATGCAGATTCTTGAGATTCATTGCTAAGGACAGAAGTGATCTGAGCTACTTCATTCCACAAACGAGCCTCCTTTGGAAAATTGATGTAACTGAAAATTACGAAGTCGAAAGTTGTAGAATTTCTTAGATTAGAAGTTGACATAACTTTGACAGCAGAGACATTATTGAATACTGCCTCTTCCCAGACACAAGGAAAAATGATGAATGGAACTTACAGAGAAGCATTACTTAGGATGTAAGATAATTAGAAAAATATGTGATAATTAGAAAGCTTGTGATACAATTAGTGAATAAATAGACAGCGATTGAAGCACATGAAGCTCTAATGGTCCTTGTTTCAGGAAGATTGTTGTGCTTTGAAGTTCTCTGAAAATTGAATCGTCAAATATCGTTGTTTCCCAGACAAAGGAACGTAACTCCGTTCTGATATTGCGAAATCGATTCAAACAATTTTTTACTCGCACAAAAATGACAGGGTAATCACTATCCGAAATTTTGCCACTTGTTTACAGAAATTTGAGGACTAATCTAAAATACTCGCAGCAAAAAGTGTCAGATACTTTCCGAGTCAAAATGCAAATTTTAAGAAGAAATTTAGCAACATTAATGGAGTTACTTAGATTCAACATAGAGATGAGGGTATGTGTGATGTGCGATTAGGCTGAGTTAATGGAGTGCGAAAAAAGATTGTGACAATACTTTAGACACCTCCAAAATTTTTAGTGAAGCAGGAACAAAGATAAAAATTAGATACTTACATTGTTGTGAAACATTTGGCTGCTTCCTTTACATTTCCAGCACTTTTCTCGATGCGGTAAGCTTCGAACTGAAAAGAATAAATAAAATAATAGTGCTTACAAAGTACTTGCAATGAAGGCGGAATAGAATGCACCAAAAAAGAAGTAATTAAATTGCTTGCAGATGAATAAGAAACTCTATTAAAACCCTCCAAATTTTCACTCGGAAAGCAAGAGAATGATGAGGAGGACTGAAGGTACTGTGAATTGTGAAATTGTGTGATGAGTAAGGCAGTTTTAGAGGTCAATTCATAGGTGGAAGCACCTCTCTCCGTTGCTGTTTATTATTTTCTGTTCTTGGTAAAAAATGTAGAGACCTTCAACATTACCTGAGGGGAGATGCATCTTCTTGGAAAAAGTGTCTCAAAATATCAAATAGAACGAAATTTTTGATAATCAACACTGATTATGAATAGTATACTACTATGGAGTTGCTTTCCTCATCTGCTGATATGTGCAAGTCTTACCTGAACACCAAAGTTCTGCGGGAACAATGTCTTGGCTGTTATCATCCAAGCTTTTGATGCGTGAGGATCTACCTCTAAGCAGTTTTTTGCACACTGAACAACGTACTCTTCTTCTGATAGAGCCCGTGAGCTCTCTGGTTGCATCACCATTATGTCGCCCGATTTGTTTCCTTCGGGTGATTGCTGTTACTCAATTGCTAACCTGGAGGGAAATGAGAAAAAAATTTAATTTGATCGCTTCTAAAAAGAGAGTTGGTTACTTGAAAATTAACATCGAAAACAGCTTATCGTAAGTGAAGGTTTCATTAAATTTCTGGCCACAACTTCCTGCAGACCGATATATATTTTTTGTAATCCACTGTTGTAACGCACACTTTTCAAAAATAAAAGAGAGTCATTCAGCCGGGAACTCGGAACTAATGGCATACTCACATTTTGATCAAAATAAGTTATAATGAGTGAGTGTTCTAATGTTCTAATTGAACTTAATAACTTTTCGCTTACTTGACAAGCGTGATGTTTGAGCAAAGATGGGTTTGATTGCCATTAAATTGATCTTCAAAGTAAATGTTTACAGATACAGCAGATGTGTTCTAGTAAAATAGAAAACTACGTACTTTCCAGTATATATAGACATGGAATTGATATGTCACCCAAAATACAGAAAAATGTGATGAAACTTTAAAAACCTCTGCACCTCCAAAATAAAAACCATGTAAACTAACCTAAAAAGTCGACTGTGATTTGTAAACAAAGTTCTGATGCACAGTGAATGAGAAGGTATTGAGTGAATCTTTCCGACTGGCGACTTGGACGGTCAACCGTTGGAATTCGGCGATTTACCCCGAATCTCCACCGCGGCGGTGCATGTTCGGGGATCGAGCACCTCAACGTTTTCATGTAAACAACTAAGATGGCGGCGCATATTGCGCGGGTGTTTTGAATTTATGGATCGCGGGCAAGATCCACACTTTAAGCGGACTTGAAGCAACCACGTACTTAATTAAAATTTACATTTAAATATTTTTATCAAGTTAATATTAATTCCTGATAGTCGAATGAAGGAAGTTTTCTCCCGTTAAGACAAAAGCTGCAATGTCGCCGTTTATCAATGCATTCTAGGAGAGAAAAAGTAGCAGCCAGAAGAATGAGTCTTGAGCGACCATCCTCAGCATTCATTCCTTCTTTTCAGAGATTTTTTGTCATCAGTTATCAGGGATGTAAAATGAAATCTAACATGATATGAAAGTACACAGATTTCTTAGGAGGAGTGTACACCACCCATAAAATTATCTTATAATAAAATTAAGAGTTTGACTCTTATTTTGTTAAATATTGAGATTTTCTGATTCTACGCATTTCACGGCCTACTGAGCCTATTGCAGAAGTTATACTTTCATGAAATTTTACCTTATATGAAATTGCATGCAATTTTGCATCTCTGTTCATTATGGAACCCATTCAGCAGGCTATCAAGACTGAGGCTGCTTTAAAAATGTAAATGGTGCTAGCAAGAAAGGGGTTGGGCCTCTAGGAGGAACATATTTTTTCAAATTAAAATTTATCATGAGGGTGAAAATTCTCACACATCAGGCAAATAGGGATTGTCCCCTCCCCCTTATTCAGAGAGAGTACTAACATTTTTCTGGGACAATTTTGGTCAATTTCACTGTGAAGTGTGTCAGCAGCGCCCAACTCCCTCCCCGCAGGCACAAGACCTCTCCAGTTAGATTTCCCGGGTCCAGCTGAAATGGCACAGCTACATTTAATCATTCAATCTAATCTTTCAAATCTACGTTAAGTCGTACGTTTATGGTAGACTTCAGATTTCGATACTTGTCTGTTACGCATTTGCAAACATTTGTTTTTTTTTGTAACTGTCTTCAAAACACCAGCGTCATTGTCCGGTGGATTTTCCATCAGAGTCTACACACTTAGACTCATCACTGACCAATTTCTCTGGAATATCTAGCATGAATGGTTAAAATGTAGATTTCACTTTGCAGATAAAGTAGCTGAGGGCCCGAAAAAAAAAATTTCACTTATATTGACTTCATTAAAGACCTTTCTGACCTTAAAAGAGGCATGTGGACTTTAGGTCTGGCTGTGTTATGAGAGGCTGCACAACAGAATCAAATTATTCTCTCGAGATAAATTCCTTACCTCTGAACGAGAAAAGCCATTGATTCAGCTTTGTTCTGACCCCAACACAGATGAAACAATCAGCCCAACAGGCAGCAAGCGTCAAGAGATATTTATGCATTTATCCTCTCAGTTATTTGCACTTGGTCTGGAAAATACTGAAATAATGGTTTATACTGCTGAGAGCAATGGAATTTGTTGGATGTTCGACGTCTTTCGCAAATATTGACACATTACGGCAAGAGGCTGGTGTTACCTTTGATGCATCAACGAAGAGGTATCACAAACAACTTCGAAGTTAAAAGTTACAAAATCAAGCAGCGCTACTACATTTAAATTTGAGAATACTAGATATTCATACCAATTAGGTAATCAGAGACGTTTGGTGACTTTTATACGTAAATTCCGGTGGAAAACCCACTCCATGAAGACATTGGTACAGTGTACAAGTGGAGTGAAACAGTTGCAAAAAGTAAACAAATACTTACGTTCGCGTAACGGTGAGCTTAGCTTATGGAGGCTAAAATGGAACGACTGAAACGATTAAATTAATTTTGAATTATTATACTATAATCGATCGGCACACGATGCTTGGGCATGCGATCGGTCATCGGTAGGCTTGGCTTCGTAAACAAATATGGCGGCGGTCCGTCACAACCATTGACGTATAATACAATCTAGACCGCGCATTACGAAATTCAAGCGAGACGATAGGCAACCCAGCAACACACAGCAAGTGTACCGGCGAGACAATGGTGGAATTCGTGGAAATGCCAGCCTTGCCAGTGCCGTTGCCTGATACGGGTACACTTAGCTCGTATATCCGGCGGTATCAACTAGGCTGAAGGCGCGTCTTTACCCCCCTAGCTGTCTTACCTTCCCCGCCTAAAGTCGGGCCCAATGCGCGGTCTAGATTGTATTATACGTCAATGGTCACAACGTTGAGAGTGCCGAACCCCCGAAAACGCACCGCCGCGGTGGAGATTCGGGGTAAATCGCCGAATTCCAACGGTTGACCGTCCAAGTCGCCAGTCGGCAAAACCCATGCACAGTGGTGCCAGGTTGGGCCATGGCAGTGGAGGGAAGTTTAAAACCAAGCAGTCTGCAGTTGGGGACAAAAGACAACGCGTAAGATTATCTCTTGTGGACGTATCGACTTTGGAATCACCAAACCCTGTATATCAATTACAGTGTTTTGAAATTCCCTCTTTTATTTCATTTTTTAAAGGGAAATGAATCAGCAACTTTCTTGAATGTCCACAAAATATTCTACGAGTAGTAAGAGTATGGTTGTAAGCTGAAAGAGGACATCCCCCATAGGATAGGAACAAAACAGGAACTTTTTGCAGGGAGGGGGTCAGAGGGGCACCTAATGGAGGGGGAGGCACTAAATAAGAGACATCCACCATGAGGGGGGGGGGGAGATCCGAAGGACTACCCCAGTTACAAAAGAGGGTTGAATGATTTCCCTAGCTTCCAAAGAAGGACTTACTGGGAAAATTTAGAAAAATCAAGTCATCTCAGGAGCAATTTTAAGCTGGTCTCACTGAAAAATTGATCCCTTACAATTTCAAAGATGAAAGATATGCCAGGCACTTACTTAGCAAAATGCCTTGCTTTTCTTGGAGGGGGCTGCATGCGCGTGCTGAATTAACTGAAAGGCAACTCTGGTGACTATTGGTCCCACCGACTTCAATTTCGAATGTTTCGATGATAAGATGACAGTCAATTTTTGCCTTGACAGGCACTTCAAATCATTTGCTGTAACTGCAGGGCTTAACTCAATAGTGTTGAATTTATTTGAAGGTCTCTCAATTTTGATGATCTGAAAATTAGATGAGCAAATTTGGTTGGTTACACCAAAGTAACAATAGATTTCTGTTTGTTTTTAGTGTTTTAATTTGCTATTGTATTGTATTTTAGGCGGAAAATTCCCACCATCCCAAATACCTACCCTCAGATATTTATGCCTGAAAATGGTGCTCCTGGTTGTGAAGGTGGAATTTTAGGGAAACAAGGAAATTCCAACACAAGAAAAAGAGATTTGATTTTATAAGTTTCTATTAGCACTTGGTGGTGTCCTTTAAAGTAAGGAGACTTGATACTCTTCAAATCAGGGTATAATGACCTTGGAAGGAACCAAAACTGGTTTTACTGTAAATATTTCAGCCAAATGCCATCAATCATTTGTTATCATTTTAAATCATAGATCATATTTTTACCAGTTTAGTAGGGCACCAACCCTTTCTCATTCATGCCACTGGCAGTTTTATGACGTGAGGAGTGCCAGAATAAATCTCGCCAAGGCGGGTGCTGTATAGGCTTGGACCAGCCCTGTGAATACTGGGCATCACTGCTCTGACAGACATACTGCAGCAGCTTTAATAGCATTCATTACCAAGTTGAAGATACTTGATGGTACATCGTAACTGCTGATAGGATTCCATCCTATTTTTAATACAAAATTCCCTCATGCTAATACTTGCATTATTTAAACTATTAAATAAGAAGTGTAACCTAGACCAACCTTAGGTAACTAAGTGGTTTCACTTTACTGGAAACATGATGAGCCAGTGCTACAAATACTGTGCAATACTGCAATAGGTATCATGAAATAAGTACAAACCTCATTAACAACGAGTGTCTATTGTCTGGATTAACAATTTTCAAGTTCTAAGGTACAGTAGAGTCATCCTCAGGAGTGAATTCGCCATGGAGAAGAGTTAGGTATGTCTTTCTGGGCATAGCCGTTGAGCTGGAAGCGACTGAAATTATTGCTCAGCCACCGCAGCTCCTTCATCACCACCCTCTGAAAGAGCACAGAAAAACTCAGAAGACAATATATGCATAATACCTATGAAAATGCAATTCCAGATTTAATTACGATCAAGGAGAGAGAATGATAACTTTATCAAAACTAGGTTGACAGAGTTTTGAATGAGTTAGACAGTGATTATTTTTGAGAACCATTACGCGCTAGCAAATCAAAACATTGGCTGAGGAAAGATACCTCATTACACAAACAAGTAAAAAGAACGAAAGGAGACAAGCAGAGGAAACAGCGAAAGAACTATGAAATTGAAGAAAATTACCGGGAGCATAGGTATTACGATGTGATATAATTACTGATCTTCTCAAATTAAAAGAAAAGGAATGATTGGTTTACCTTCAGTACTGGCATACAATTCTTCCATAAACGAAGTTGGACTGGCAGCGATGCCACTTGCATAAAAATAAGTTATTAAACTCGAAATAGATTCATAAAGAAAAGCAACACAAGTTAGGCGAACCTTGATGAGTGCAAATTTTGATGATTAACCTCTCTAATTAGGTAAACAGACCACGCCGGACGGCTGGGACCACGCGGGATGCCGCCATTTTACAGGATAAGGATAGTGAATGATGAATGAATGATTCACGATCAGTAACCAATCAACACTCGCGTAGTATCGCGGTCAAGGTCAAACTTACGCTACGTTACTCACGAGTTCATTCACCCCATCTACGCACGACATTTGAAAACCTGTCATAATTTCTGATACCATTGCTTGAGTCTTTGAAGCGAAAAATTGGAAAGAGACGCTGTCTTCATGCAAGAGATGAGTATTTACGTGATTCCAACTGTCATTCCGGTGAAATTAATTTTTCAAACTGAAAGATTCAAAAGAAAGTTATGCAAAAACGCCATTTTCCTCTACCCTGGACCCAGTCCGGAATTCGATGTGTTTCCATTCAATGTCTTTGGCCTTGTCTCCACGGGACGTTTTCATGGGATTTGTCCCAAGTTCGAATCGCAGGAATGAAACTTCTGGGATTTTTTCCTGTTACCGTCTCCACGGGACGGGGCTCATACGGTCCTGCGACAAGTTAGGGAGGGAAGGTAAGTTAGTAAAAATCGAGTGTTTCATCGGGATTGAAATAATAATTGAACACGACTGACAATTGACAATTAGACAAATTATTTTAACTAAACAAACACGAACAGTAGGGTAACCAACAAAATATCGTACAGTTCGCTTTCACTTCTTCCTCTCTCAGTTGGTCCTAGGGGTACAAGGACCGGACTTGGTACTGGGAAAAATATTGATTCACTCAAATATTATTCCTGACTTCGGAAGTGGGATTCTTCCCTGGGACAAATCCCGTGAAACGACCCGCGGAAACAGGTGCCCTATCACAAGGCACGCTTTTTCCTGCAGCAGTGGCAAGTTCGAGAAAATTTTCCCTGCGCGAAACAGCGTTGCCAAGTTGAAAACGCAAAAATTTCGTAGCTGATACATAATCTGAGCTATGAAATCGCGGTTGGGGCAAATTGTTTTTAAGAAATTCACAATTTAAAGGTGTCTTCATATTTCTAAGGTGCATATTTCTTCCACTTTGGTTTCATCAATCAGTGATACAGACATATGCCTTGGTTGCTCAATCTAAAACACAGAACGAGAATGGAAGTGATCGCTATATGCACTACCACGGTAGATGATGTCATTCGCTGTGTTTTTTGATGGGCATTGTCTCCGTTAATATTGGATGTGGAAAGAAGTTTGGGATTATTTCGTTAATTCTTCCTAGAATAGAAGCTTAAACCACCAAAACAAGATTCTGTGAAGCCAAAAGAACGCGCAATGCCTTATTCTGATCTTCCCCAAAGAGGAGGGGGGGGGGTTTCCCCGTTTCGAGCTCACCTTTTGCCTAACTATCATGAAGTTGCTATTCTGACGTAAGTGGCGAGGACGTACCTCCCTCTCTCCGTGAGCGACAGAAAACATGACGGACGGTGAGGCTTATCTTAAAAAGATGTTACGCCCTTAAATGAGAAGGACGTCAATTACTGAATGATGTATGCCAAAAAATTAATGAGGAAAATTAAATTAAAAATTAATTAAAATTAAAAATTAATTAAAATTAAAAATTAATTAAAATTAAAAATTAATTAAAATTAAAAATTAATTAAAATTAAAAATTAATTAAAATTAAAAATTAATTGAAATAGCCTTCATGCACACTGGGCTTGTCGATTTCCTTTGACATTTTTGCAGTGGTGAATGAATAGCTAAAATGCGCTCCAGCCAGAAGTGTATTCAGCAAAGGAGTTGCTTTTATAGGAGGATTGAAAACAAACAAATGGTAGGAAATAAAACATAATAATAGGACCTATGCAAAACAATAATCCGGATAGCGGAACTTGGCTGTTTTGAAAACGCCTTCAAATGCGGCGTGATACCTCACGCATTCCGGAGAGTTCAAATAGTTGTATCATTGCGCCTTAGAAATGCGACGGAAGATTACAATTGAAATAGCCTCCATACACGCTGGCGCTGGGCTTGTCGATTTCCTTTGACATTTTTGCAGTGGTGAATGCTTAGCTAAAATGCGCTCCAGCCAGAAGTGTATTCAGGAAAGGAGTTGCTTTTATAGGAGGATTGAAAACAAACAAATGGTTGAAAACAATTAACGAGGTTACCTTACCACATTCGACCATGACTCCTCAAACCATTAAAATTTGAAGTCCATCTAGAAATTGGTCGGAGGATTGGACATCTACCACTACCACCTTGCTTGTCTTGAATTTTTTTGACAGTAGGGCTTCTCAAAGAATGAGACGGAGAAAACTATACCCACTCCTCGCAAGGATCATTTCATGGCAAAATAAACAAGGTCGCAAGAAACCTTTTCAATTTGTTTTTCTTTCTTAGACTTAAGCACTGACCAAGGTTTAGGGGTAATGTAACATTGAGTTATAGGAGGTAAAATAAAATCGAAATAAATTTTATGAAATGTTTTGAAAATATTCCGAAAGAAGCCAGCATTTAAAAAAAAAATAGGAAAAATCCAGGAAAATTGCTGTCCAATAATTGGATCGGATTTAGCAAAAAGGACCCAGCGCGATTACAGTGCTGTAAAAATGTGCTTCTTCGTGATAATCTAAAAAATCTCTCAGAATAGCAAGTAGTTTTTGCTTCCCACCAACAAATTGTTAATTTTAATGGAAAATGATTGTGCAAATTTTAACACTGTACTTTGTATATTGGGTATTTTTAAAAGGAAAGGAGAAGTTGCACGATTTTGAAAACACTGTGATCGCGCTGGTTCCTTTTTGCTGAATGCAATACAATTGTAGCCAGATTCTACCGTCACGAGCGCTTTCGAGTGCTCATGGTATCAAAAGCGCCCTCAGCGGGGAAAACAAACATTTTGTGGATCATTGCTGATGTGCGTTGTACCACCGCACCATTTTTCATGCTTTCTGAACACGCCGAAATAAATAATGGTGAAGGTAATTTATTCTACACGTACGTTAATTGAAAGATGTATCGTCTATTTTTTCAAAGGTCCTTACTCCTGTTTAGAGAGACTATCTCCGCTAGAGTACCTGCATACGGGAGAGTATTGCCATTTCAATCCTTTTACTACAGAAAAAGTGTGCCGCTCTCTGATTGGTCGTCCATCATGGAGCCCCAAAGATGGACCAATCTAAACAAACCCCAGCCCCTCCGCTCCTAGTTTGGCCCAATATAAACAGACAAGAAGGCGACGAAGTTCTATAAAGTTGTAGACGTGATTTTGGATGCGATAGAAATTTTTTTGTGATCGCACCTTCTGAATTGAGTTTGGATCGACCTATGATGGCTATTTTTGCCGAAAATAACCTTTGAGTGTGATTATCATTCATTTCTCAGCCGATAATACGTATACCTCTGGCTCGGGTTTGTGTACATCGGTCCAACTTTGGAGCTCCATGATAACTTAAAACTGATGGACCAATCAGAGAGAGGCACAGAGATGGCAACACTCTCCCGTATTCAGGTACTCTGCTCTCCTGCAACCTGCAACTGCGTGAAAATATGAAAATTTCAACTACCAGGCAACAGAGAGCAGCACTCAGCGGTAGATCTGAAATGTTCGACAACAAAGTAACGGATTTTCCAGGTTGTAGTTTGAGAAATCAGACTGGAGCGAGAAGCGGGCATACGGGCATGAACCAGAGAGCGGGCGAGGTGTGGTGTGAAGTGGGCTGCTTGCGGAGCCGCCGAGTTGTCCCAGTGTCGCAGCCTCGTGTTTAAGTCGTAGCCCGATCGGTCCTCATGGAGTCGCCACTTTCCTACTCCCGCGTCGGAGTCGCTGCTGTCCTCTTGGCCACCGCTTGCGTCGCCGCCACCACTCAGGTCGCTCACAGCGCTAACCAGGTAAGCTCCGTTTCAACTAGAGTCCCTTTACTATGATCCATATCTTCCCAAGTCTCTTCGTTTCGTGGGGCCGTGATTTGGTACATTATGACCCGGTAGCGCACAGTGGGTCTAGTCGATAGGAGAGGCTGGACAATGTTTGGAAACTTTAAACGCTTATAACTCCATTCATACAAAACTTTCACGTTCTAAAAGTGGTTCCATTGATTTTCTCGTGAAATTTTCGTTTTCAGGCACCCCTGGAAATTTAAAATGTGACAAAATAAACATCAAAATTTGCAGTTTTAGTCGAAAATTTTATGTCCAACCTCTCTAATTGACCCGATCCACTGTGTGGCGTGACTAGGGCTCTTTGCGCCCTCAGCCTATCTGAAGCGTTGCGTCTTTCTTCAATTTTTGAGCGCGAGTGCACGCTATTAGAAATAAAACGCTTACCTACTTTGAGTTAAATTCGGGAGTTAAAAAACGAGTAGTGCATACGATTACTGGCCAGAGTAAATGACGTTATACAGAAATCCAACATGCGATACGATATGACAATATAAAATATCGATGGCCATAGTGCGAGACCGCACGTATATCCGTTTGCGACGTTATAGACTTCCAGTTATACTTTATTCTTTCCTTGAAAAACTAATTGGAAATGTGATTTCTTGAAGATTTCCTTGATTGTTCTTATCTGTTGGTAGAATATTTTGTTTTTCTAGTTGTAAAGTTGATTTGTGCGTTCCTCTTCGAAAAAATAAATCAGGATCGGATATTTTGAAACACATCAGTAGAGATACATGGTGTCGCACTTTAGCCATCGATACTGAATGAAATACAGTTTACTCAAAGGAACCACGGGTGTATAAGAAGAAGGGAGGGGATTCTCTTGACTGCAAAGAATGAATCCAGTACACGGGCTCATTTTTAACTCTGAATGATTTAAATTTTAAAATGAATAGATCATAGTAATGTAGATAAATGAACTTCCAAATTTTTAATAGTACAGAATATTACTAACGCACGCGTGCTGTCCGTAAGATGAGTTTTCGCTGGATTTCAAAAATCTTGACGGTACTGAACATACAAAACTAGGTGCCACGAGGTGCCAAACTACACAAACTCGCGGTTAAATGGACTGAATCAAACGCATAGAAGGATCCAAGCACATTTAGGGAGGAAAAGGATTCAGAGGCGGTCATGAAGCCTAACTAGCAGCAAATTTTCCCTTGTTAAAAATTCAGAATCGAGAAAAATATTTTGAGTGTGAAAATAATAGTTGAATTCAAACTCTAGTATTGGGTCTTCTGGGGGTATAAAACTTCAAACCTATTTTCCTCAATTCGATCTTCGAGCAAACAGCAACAATGGCACCCCGTTTTTAGCTTCATTTCTCTTATATAATTAGAAATATTGACTCAATTTGTAACTTAATAAGTCGAGGTACACTTTCAAACCACCTACTCTTGTATGAAAATTAGAGCTAGAGCTCACGAATTTTGTCCTCCATATCGGAAAAAATCACTCAGATTGTTTGTAAGCCTTTCACCTTTTTCTATAGCCTTTTTAGGGTGCCCCCAAGTTTTCTGCGGTTGACTATGAGAGAATTAAATTTAAAACTAAGGAGTACGATCAAAACTACTAGGAGCTATTTTGTATGGTAAAAAGCTTTGCCAGGGACTTTTTTTCAAATGAATGACCTGGGAACAAGTAGAAAAATATGTGTAGAATTGAAAAAACTGAGGAGCCTGGGATCGGGAACTAAAACACCCGTCTTTGTTTATTATTACTCGTCATTACTTCGTCTTTACTCGTAAGGCAGATACATTAAACATTTTCTTACATGTAAAAGTATAGATGAATCAATGATTCCAGAAAAAATTCCGATATAAGTTACCTTAAATGCGAGGTAGGACTGTTGAGAAGAATCTGTAACGTCTTACAATATTTGGGACTTCCCAATGGAGTGGCAAGTTGGCAACTCTGGGACTGGCGCATGGTGAGGCGCGACGGTCAACGTGGGTGCGGTAAACCCCGGCTGGCTTCCGTAAAATTGCGTTTAAATAGAGACAATTAACCCACACGTAACACGTGAGGATTATGTAAATAATAGTTCCCAGGCAGAACCGAGACAGAAAGATCAACAACTTTTAACTTGGAGAACATTCAAAGTCATGTCCTTCAACTTCGAAGTTTGTTGTTTCTCTCGATGCTAACGACGGAGAGCGTTCATTTTGTCGCTTTTTATCAGTAATTTCTGCGCGTATGGGTCACAAGTCACAAAATTGTGTTTGGATCGTAAAATTCTTAAGAGTCGCAAATAGTAATAAGCTTTTTGTGGATGCATGCCGATCCGCTGCAAGAAGGTATAAAAGCTCGGTCCAAACCCGAGGCTATCGCCATGCAAATTAATGGAGGTAGGTATCATAAGATCCCTGTTATCAGCATTTAACGAAAGTTTGGGCAAACTTAATTTACCTAAACTTTCTAGGTCTGGTATATAGAAATGTGCATCCCACCGCTGTGTGTAGCACCTACCACCCTAGACTATGGGTACCCAAAACTACGAGTACTCAACACTATTGCCTAACCAGGACTAAAAGTCAATTAAAGCCTCTACTACCCTGTGTCTTTACTCTGCACTCCTGAGTCATACAGGCTGTGTGGAACCTGCTGCTGCGTATGTGGCCATATGGGTTCCACCCAGGTGACAGTAGGTAAGAGGCTCAATCTTCTGTGTCTCACGCGTGGAGGGTATAGATGAATTAGTATCAGTTTTATCTGAACTTCAGTGTCTCAGATATTGACTCGCTGTACCTTGAAATGTGAATTGTTTCCTCCACTACCAATTTTTAATAGGAGAAAATATAACTAAAGATGATTATTACTCCTTGCCTTGTCCACTGAATTTTTTATTAAGTTGATTTTAGACTACGACCCTTTTGAAGGAGATGATGGACGGTAAGCCGAGCATTACGTGTTAAAATGTTATCGTAGACGATGAGGTGCTGTGCTAAACTACACGTACGAATATCTGATACCTACTAATTGTAAGGTAACGAAACCTAAATTAAAGCTCGTATGGGCCTCGTAGGTAACTCCGATGGTAACTTTCCGGGAAAATGAGAGTAAAGTGACACGCCGCGTTGCCACATGTCAGTTAAAATAAAAACGCCTAAGCGGAGAGAAGAGCGCAAAAACTATTTCCCAAGTACAGTGATCGATGAATACCGATTTTATCGGTTGGTTATCGCGATTATATCGGTGGCAATATATCGAAATATTATCGCATAAAAAATTGCGATACATGGCGATTAAATCGCTACACATCGCAATTTTTGGTTCAGTAAAATCACAATCAATTCTCATCGATAAAATCGCCATTTATCGCGATCTTTATTTCGATAATGTCGCGATGAATTGTCGGACGATAGAAGCGCGATTTTATCGCGATAAGATCGAAGATAATCGCTCAGATGTTGATGATGCTGGCGATTTTATCGCCGATTAAATAGCAATATATAGTGATTTTTCCGCTGAGAAATGCTACTTATTGGGTTAGTTAATCAAGACGCTAGATTAACTGATGTCTATTAAGGTTGTTCAGTGATTTTTATTAACCCTTGGATGCTCAAACCGGGTCAAATTGACCCGACTAGATTTACGGAGCCGGTACTTACGCGCTTTGGACATAGGTCTACAAATACATCGTAAAAAAAATCAATCATCAAATTGAAATAAAATAAATAAATTGAGTGTTAAAACAGTCGAGAATATGCACCACCGAATTCCTATCGGAGTATAAGAGCGAGGAATAGGAGACAGCACTGGTTCTGCCTTGATAGCGAAGAGAACAGTACGTGAATTTCTGTTTGAGCCATGGTTAGCACATGCTTTCATGGGTCTCGAGGTTCATCCCAGCATGCACTTACTGCACTGAAAAAAAAATCTCGGCGTTTTTACCAAGGTCCGTTGGTACCTTTGCCATCTCAATTTTTTTACCAATTATTGGTAATTTTACCAAGACAGACTGGTATAAGCTTACCTAAAAGCCGGTATTTTTACTGTTTTTTCCAGGTAAGGATACCACTTTTATTGGTAATCAATTCCCGGTAACTTTGCCATTTTACCTGGGTAATTCTACCATAGTCGATAAAAAAATATTGGCGTTTTTACCAAGGTCCAGTAAAATTACCAAATCCATAAATGGTAATTTTACCAAGAAAAAACTGGGATCAAATAGAACCCTGAATTTTTGGCAATTTTACCCTTTTCTCGGTAAATACACTGAGATTTTTTTTTCAGTGTGCTCCCTTCGTTATCACGGCAGGGTTGGAGGTCGAAGAGCGCGAGTAATCGCAATGATAATGACGCGTCATACGGACATATGTTTCGGGGAGGGGGAACAATCACAAACAGAAAACAGAAGCGAACACTCAGATCAAACAGTAAAGACCCCACAGCCTTACAGCAACATGACAGCAACCCACGTCTTGCACCGCACCGCACCGGTGATTTAGTGAATGTGTTCAGAAGCGGCGGGTAAGGGTATATAACGACCCGATAAAGACCCGAAATTTAGAGTGAGACTCGTTATAACCGGTATCTTCACTTTTTACGGCCACGACTGTCGCCGGGGCCCGGGGAGTCGTCCGCCCCACTCTTACTTGCCTTCGTCGGCTCTCGATCTTGCTCGGAGCCAAAGTTTGGCAACTTTACTCCATGTCCCGCGCTCGCCACGAAAGCCTCGTTCGGTCGGTCGTCCGCATGTTTCGATGCATCTGGCTTTCACTCGCCGTTACTTGACCGTTTTCTGCGTCTTCGCCGGCGCGTATCTGTGCATATTCTCCTTGCTGCCCGCCGGAAAACACGATCACCAGTTCGAGTGGAATTTTGAGGTTAGTTTTTGTGTGTTTCGATACTTAGCTAGTAGTGCCAACGTCAGCGATCCGAAACATATGGATCAATGTTTTTAAAGTCGGACTCTACACCAATAGGTCTCGGGTTCGAATCCAGAGGTGGTGGCGACAAATTTTCGCTAACAAAGCTAACGAAGGGATCTGCAGAAACAGATTCTACTCGACCTTAATCCTTGAAAATTTGAAGGATTTGAAGCAAGGATGTGCCAAAATCCCCCTGATGTCCACAGACAATAAAATAATCTCTATGTTGAGAACTCATGTCTATAAATGGCTGTAGATTCCTAAGTTACTGAATAAGCAGGAAAAGAAGCCAAATAAACCAGCAAAAAAAAGTCGGAGTCTTCAAAGAATGGCACAAACCTACTGTCGGACTAATAAACGAGGGTGAACTGATAAGACTCATCCCCTTCTTTTAAATAGTACATGTGACTAGATATGCGATGGACTGTCGATGTAGGCGGGGAGTACAATATAGATGCAACTGGTGCAGGATTAACCAAATGCACAGTACAGAACAGTGATACGCAAAAAGGATCAAAATAGGGAAAAAATGAATCGTACAGTACTCAGTAGCGGTTAGACTGATGGTCGAGTTGAGATGAAGATAGGTAACCTAGAGAGAACCCAATCCAAGATTGGAATTTTATGTGCTTCAGGAATTATAATTTGTGCGGCCCTTCAAAAACCCGTTTAACGAGGCTCCTAAATTAGCATTTTTTTGATTAAGGGTTAAATTGAGGGTATCTGGGACTGGGACCCTTGATCTTCTTGGAAACGTGAACCGCCTTCAATATACAAAGTATACAACCGGCAATGCGCTGACCCTTTTACCTGCTAGCATTCCAGCACCATTTCTCCACCTTGTTACATACAGTATTTGGGCCACTTCTTAGTGTTTTTTTTTCTTTTTCTTCTCATTTGGCTACTTATCTACTTATTTTCCGCTTTTGCGTTTCAGCGATTTCTTTTTTTGGTGATTTTGCACTGAAAACACAAGCCCCTTGCAAAGAAAATTTACCACCCAGGCAAGGATCTCATTTGGCGCCCCCTGTATAGGGGATTTGGAAATTCTACAAAGGCAAAGGGGGGTCTGGGGACCCTCCGTCAGTAAATTTTGCGAATTTTCCACTCCAAAAGAGCACGTGTATAGTATTTCTGCATCAAATATGCGAGAATTCAGAGAGGATGCTTTACGGGGCGATAAAGCAAAATTCGCAAGAAAAGATCCGACGGGCCTGCTGAAAACAAATTGGAAAGGCTCGAAATTCTCGGGTGACAGAATCATGCTTACGTGCGTGCGTGAGTCGATTCTTGAGGAGGGTCTAAATTAGTGAAATGAAGAATAGGACTGAGCTCTGGTTATGGCAGTGGTTTTTTTCTGATTTCATGCAATGCTATACATTTCAGCCTTCGTACACGTCCGAAATAAAGATTTCCAGCACAAATGCCGATTTACATTTGGACATATTTCTATCAAACGGAACTATGTGCATTAAGACATGAGCCATGAGACCCATCAGAATATGTGCATAACAGGGCTTACGTCATGATGCACATAGTTCCGTTTGATAGAAATGCGTCCATTTCTGAAAAGGAGCAGACGCATCAAAGTGCTCGCAAATTTTCGGAGAAGCCTTAACTTAAAAAAGAAAGCGAGCTTGCATTTTCTCGTTCACAAGGGGCATCGTTATTTCCCACCCAAAGACGTGTTTTCCCGTTGTATATATTGCGTTCTGCGCAAAACGTCGGATAGAAAACTTCTGGTGATGCAGTATTTTATTTCGTACATTTTATCACCCAGCTGACAAAAGAGCGTATCCACACATTCAGACGACCCCGGAAAAGCATTACATTGTATGGACGATAGGGCTCATTGCAGATAGTGTAGTTACGCCCTTATGCCAGGAGGGCGATGGTTTGTTTGTACCAGCCCGTTATCGCACGGTTGTTCACTGATACCTACTTTTATGAAGTCATTTCAGGATGTGAGTGAGGCTCAACTGATATTTTTCGGGGGAAACAGCAATTTGAAGATTTTTTGCAACAAATTTTGAGCCGTTACGACTGTATACGGAGAGTTTTCGTGTCAGAATTTGAATGATATTAAGCGTGAGCAAGAATTTAGGTTACGAGTGCATACATGCACATACAATGCACTTTTCATTCCCTATCTAGTGTCTCATAAATATTCTCTCCCAAACATTTTTGGAAAAAACAATAGACTTTTTCCATGGATATCAGTAACTTTTGGGCTCATGGCCGATAAGCAAAGAGGAACAATAGGATGAGGAAAACTCATCAAAAATAGCGTTATGGTTTTAAAATAATCAGCGAGGACAAGTTAGCGAATCTCATTTAAATAATCAAGTCACAATGCTTCTTGGGCGCCCAATGAAAGTTTAGAGGGATGCGATTGAGCAGTAATGTCGAAATGCCCGATCTCCGAAGGGTTAAGGGCCTATTTATATGTATACTTACGCTGCAAAATCCTTTCCAGGTACAAAAGGAGGATAACAAAATATTCTAGCTTACTTTACATTTTGAGAACGACGAAGGAGACTTATGATCGACCATTGAGGATAGTTCAATTTTAACTCGATTTCTTCATCTTCTCGGGAATTTTTTTAAATTCAATTTGTACGAATCGGTTTTTTATGTTGTTTCAATGATATATTTTGTTGCTGATTCTCTACATGCGTTCCTCAATTTACGGGCCTCCCTCTACTAAAATACAAATACAATACCTAGTTATTTTTCCGAAATCGAGATCTTATCGTTTGAGTTAGTTTTTCTCTTCCCTCGAAAATGTTGTCACTTTTCTAAACTTTGTCTGGAGCATGCATCTACTACATTTAGATTGCTGGCTCACACTCACATTGAAGCGCTGGGTGCAGAGAGGGTACCTCTCATTAGCAGTCTCTCAGAATCTTCGCTAACGTTGCATCCATTATGATCAAATCAAATAAATGTAATTCGTTGAAACTTTTACTGAATGTTCTCAATGATTTTACTCTATTTCAAAAAGAAAATTGCAAGAAATTAACCCAAAAGTTTCCGTTGTAAAGTATAAATAAACAATGGAGATTCTGAAGCATCGCAACCGAGAAGTGCCCTTTCTACCTAACGCCTTAATTATTGCCCTGAAAAGACAAAAATTCCAAAAAATATAAAAAAATAAATAAATAGATAAATATTAAATAATAAATAATTATTTGATAAGAAATATTTTTTTCCAAAATTTCAAAAGAGATCCTACAGGAGGAACGATGCAAGATTGTTTTTAAAAAAAGCTCAAATTCATCCCAGAGTACGTAGGGGAGGGGGGGGGGGGCTTCTCGAGATATTTTCAACGTTCGAAGGAAACAGCGTTGACAAAAACTTTTACCCGGAAGATAACCTTGTCTGGAAAATTTGATCAAAGATATCGGGACGATACAATTGAGCAGCGATGAGTAATGAGTCGGTTAGGAAGGTTAATGAGGCATGGCATCACAATGAGGCTTCGGCGCGACACAACGCAGATCCGCTTCGCGTGCCAAATTAGTTGCGGTCTCACGCAGTCTCTTTTTTTGTCGACTTTGGCAATAGTTGTCGGGCCTAAATATTATCTCTTTGCTGGAAAATCGTGCCAGAACAGGGCATTGGCAAATTGACACTTGAGTAACAGTCGAGAGCATCACGTTTCAATATTCTCATTGTCAGTGTTGCAGGCACCTCTTGCCATTCAGAATAATTATATTTTTTTTTCTACTTTCAGCACAAAATACTTGCGAATTGTTGCATTCAAAACATCTGGGAAATTTTTATTTTTTTTTGGGGGGGGGGGCATATGATACTATTTCCAGTTCAATGAGGGCCATGCCCCCCTGGACTCCCCCTTCGTTTGTCTATGGCAAGGGAGTTGAGCCATGAGCCAAGTCGAGGATGCCCAGACTGGAGACTCTTAGCATCCGACGACGGAAGAAAATGAAACGCAGTTACTAAAAATATCCCTCTTTACTGAAAATCTTGAAAATAGATAGAAATTTTCCAAGAAGTATACTTCTTTGAAAATTTAAGAAGAATTCTACGGTGCCCCAGCGTGTTTCTGAAATTCTATTCACCTTTTGCGAAATTCTTAGGGTAAATTTTTCACTTTTTCTTACGAAACAAGGGTTGCATGTGAATTCGTAGTGGTTTTTCACGGGTAACACGGGCCTCCTCCGGGGCCCGGGCCCTGGTACCAGGGACCCAGTATCCCCCCCTTGTGGCGGGCCTGAATACGGACCTACCTAAACATTTGCGAAAGTTTCAGTATTTTACCTTAAGTATTGTTTCATCATTCTGGTGACAGTCTAGTGAATTTCCTTGCCAGGAATTATTTCCAGAATAACCGAAGGTTCGTGACAATTATCCTCCTATAAGACGCTACCCAAGTTGCATGGGGTTCTATTTTCTGTGTGCCACTAATTTAGAATTTGTCTATTTCCTATACAGAAAAATAAAATAGAAATAAAATGGAAAGAAAATAGATGTATCAAATAGAAGTAAGAAAATTATTAAAAAACCTCTATTTTCTGGACACTAAATACAAAACAGACAATTTTGTTGTCTACATTCTGTGTTTTTTCTATCTGTTTTCTGAATTTAAAATTTCTAAGAAATAGATAAAGAAAAAATCCAATTTTTCTCTATTTTCCATCAGGTTTTTGGATAATTTTTCTTAAGGAAATAGCCCATTTCAATTAGGTAGACAGAAAATAGACCTATTTTCTTTGCTAAATAGTGACACTCATTTTAAATTTTCTGTCTACTTTCCATAATGCTAGCTCCTTTTCCTTCATTCTTTAAATTTTTTTCATTGATTTTTTTTTTTCATAAAATATTTTCATTTTGCTACTTGGGTAAGTTAAAGACCTCCGTAACCCTCAACATAATGTAAACTCAACGGTATAAGCGGCTATGAACTGAGTTAAATAATAGTTTTGAGCTTGACTGGGCCGCACACTTTCCTCTGTCAAAATTCAAAGTCGTGAAAAGAATATTCTGAAAGTGAATGGGCGTTGAACATTATCTATAACATAGCGTCTTGTGAAGGAAACATTTGGAACATCTCGATCCAATCTTGATGTGGTTTCTTTCTAAAGTCGATTCATACAGCCTTAAACAGATGGTATCACTTACTTCCAGAAATTAGTTCCTCGAAGCATTTTGAGGCTTCGTTATTTTGAGGCTTCGTTATTTTGAGGCTTCCTTGAGGCTTCCTTGAGGTGGTTCTGAGTGATTTAGGGGCGAGATCGGTCACTGCACTGCGCTGCTACATAGTCAGTGTGTTTGAGAGGCCATAATCATCGTAAATCGTAATGTACAAATTAATGCAGGTAAATGATCCATAACGTATCGTAGCATTAATAATATGAGGAGTAAGACATCGAATTTGTGAAGATTTATTGAAAATGATGTCAAAAACTACGATTACGGACGTCTCTCATTCACTCAATATACAAGAGAGAGATATTATAATGCTATCTCTTTCTTATACACTATGAGACGATGATCGAAGTCTATCATGGTACTTTCTAATATACATCGACGGTGTAAGTCGGCAATCACATAACTCGGTTCGCGACGTCGCAGACTTCCTGTCTTACTTTATTTTTTAAACGGAAAACTACTCAACAGCAATTCTTTAAAACTGCCGTGATTTTTCTTCTCTGTATACGAAGACAATTCTACAATAACTGTCATATTGCTCTTCTTTAAAAAAAATAACATAGAGGTGGAGATTTTCTGACACCACAAACGAGTTATGTGATTGCAGACTTACGCCGTCGACATTTTCGTTGAATTACGGCCTCAACTTTAAGAGCTTGTTTGAGCTGGAGAATTGTACATTTCAGGGAAAATTAGAGGGCACTAGTGTGTCTTACGACTTTTTCCTCAAGAAAAGGTGCTTAAACTGCAAATTCTTATGGCATACGCAGTGCTGCCATTTCTCACGAAAAATTCGCCTACTTTGCATGGTGTCTCATGGGAAAATCTGTATAATTATGCACAAAATGGCATACTTTCGGGAGCCGCCCCCCCCCCCGCGGCGATTGTCCACACCCGCGGACTCCAAACGCCGCGATCTTCTCACCTTTATCAAGGATGAATTTTTGAACCGGTACAAGTAATCGGAGGTATGTATGTATGTTGGAGTGGATCCCCACCAGATAGGCGACGGAGAGGGCGTCCAGCCAAACGGTGGGTAGAGGGCATCCGTGAAGAGATGGAGAGATGCCAGCTTCCGGAGGATCTCTACCATGACAGACTCCTGTGGAGAGTAGGCGTCGCAGAGCGCCCTAGCGCGCCGTTAAAGCGGCTTATTCATACATACATACAATGCATTCCTCTTCTTTTACATACATACATACATACAGTCGCTTTTATAGCGCCGCCTCGCGCTCTGCGACGCCCAATCGCCATTGCCCCCTATCCTCCCAGAGATCATCAGGCAATTGGCACCTTCTGATTTCCTCCTCCACCCCTTGTCGCCAACCTTTCACAGGACGTCCACGCCGTCGCCTTCCGGGAGGAACCCAATCGAAGACCTGCTTAGGCAACTGATCATCTGCCATCCTTCGCACATGTCCATACCAGACCAACTGCTTGGACCTGATATCGTGCACGATGTCCTTCTCCACACCCATTATCTCGCGTACCTTTTCATTGCGGATACGCTCTCTTCTCGATATCCCAGCAGACCTTCGCCAAAAGTCCATCTCAGTTGCCCTAAGCATGTCTTCAATTCTTTTCTTGAGTTGCCAGACCTCACTCCCGTAGGTTACGATACTCTTCACGATGACGTTGTAAATTTTTCTTTTGGTCTCCTTGGAGATACTCTGGTCCCAGAGAACCCCGTTTAGCATCGCGATAGCTTTCCTGGCTTGCACATTCCGATCTTTAATTCCTCCTTTTTTTCAGGGAATAAATCGAACATTTGTGGTAGACTATGAAGCGAACGAGTTCCGAAAGGATGGCGAAATATTTCGGTACGTCGCGGGGGAGATGCATTACTTCCGAGTGCCCAGAACCGCCTGGCGGGACAGGATGAGGAAACTCCGAGCGGCCGGCTTCAACGCTTTATCCACGTGAGTACATTTGCCACACCCACACTGCCGTGCCAAGGAAAAACGCCGTATGAGCCTTCAGACGCTGCCAAATTTCCCTCGCTAAATACCGAATTTGCGGAAAAAATTGTGAATATTTTCCCCCAAAATTTTCAGACCATTTTGTACGCAATTTAATCTAAAATATCTGAAAATTTCAAAGAAAAATGTGCATGAATGTCGTCAAAAATACATGTTTTATCAAGAGAAATCTGGCAACTCTTGAATGTTTATACGGCGTTCTTGCTTCGCACGGCAGCACACTGCCCTATTCTTCCGTGCTAAGGAAAAACGCCGTATGAGCCTTCAGGCGTTTCCAAATCTCTTTCGACAAATCACTAATGTACACGCTTTGTGAACATACTCTCTCTAATTTCTCAGATAATTTTGTTTTTACATTGATCTAAAGTGTCTGAAAATTTCAAGGAAAACTATTCACAGCTTTTCTCAAAAATAAACATTTTATCAGAGGAAATTTGGCAACTCTCGAATGTCCATACGGCATTCTTCATATTGGTACGGCAGAATTGTTCTATTTCTTTTATATTCTCCGTGGAGGACAGCATGTCTACGTCGCAAATGAAGATTATAAATATCTTAAATATTACCGTGTTTGTATACGTCGTACGAGGAAATAATAAAACTATGTTTTTTTTTTTTCATTCTACGTAGAGTAATTCGTATGATTGAGCGCGTTCTAATTAACTCTAACTCAATCTACAGAGTGATATGAAAGTCCCGCACCGCCCCGATAAATTTTTCACTAGTTGAAACTTTGACGGTTTGCTCAGGGCGCTATTGTTTTTTGACTCCTCCCTCTTTCCCACTTTGGTAGGGCCCTACTACGGTGGATGCGGACCTTGACTTTTCTTACCAAATGGTAACTCTCTAATTTGGGACAAATCGGTGAAAAAAGCTTGAATTTTTTTTATTGTGTGTTCGAAACCAAAATTTAGTTGTCTATCTATGACTACGTCAAAATTGTGATTGGTCAAAGTTCAAAATTGCCGAAAGAGGTATCTCGGAAACATGAACGGGTTTGCTTCGAACTCAGTATCCGAAAGTTATTTTGGGACGCTGAGTATGAATTTGATGCAGGTTTCCAAATTTTCCCATTCCTCTTCAAGGTGACGGCCTTAAAACTGCGGGAAATCTATATTTTTCTAATGAAGGCCGTTGCTTAGGCGAGGATTAAGTACCAATTATGCATGGAAAAGTGGCATCAAATTCGTGTGTACACCAAAACCTCCGAACATCAATTTCGAAGCAAATCCATTTTAGAACTGGAAAATATCGTTTTTTCACTATTTTGAGGCGGTTAGGTATAGCGATAAAAAAAAGCAAATTCGTTCACAGTTTGCCAAAATTCTATTTGCGGCAATTTTGAACTCTGACCGACCGCCATTTTGAGATGGTGATAGATAGAGATCTGAACTTCGTCAAACATTTACTACTTTTATGCTTTTTTCAGCTACGTGTTACAGAGTAGAAGTTGCCTTTTGGAAAAAAATAGGGTCCGTGCCCCTTTCTTCATGGAGCCCTCCCCAATTTTGACCAGAAAATTCACGGAAAAAACGGTTGTACAATGTACAATTGTACTGCATTTCACATTAGGAACTCCGATTTCTGGCTGCTTTTAAAAACAACATATGTGAAATTAGTTTTCCCAAGCAGATGTGTGTTTTTCAGAAGTAGCCCGAAATTGTAGTGATTGAAAATTCAATTCTTTCGTACGTAATCAGTGCTGTATACAAACATTCATTATCAACATTCTTGGTTAGCGGTTGATTTTAGTAATTTTTATCGTGCGAATCGTGTTCTAAAAATACTTGAAATTTTGAAGAGGAAATAGGTATCCATATCAGACTGCTTAAATTCGTACCTTGTCTAGTGATTCATTGAAAACACGACCATTGTATCATCTAGAACACGTGTAAAAGTCAATGCACTTTAACGTCCGTAAACTGCGTACACTTGTGCGTACGCTTGTGATAACTTGATCATTTCATCTTAATGACCCTACAGATATGTCCACTGGTATGCACATGAGCCATTCCCTGGCGTGTACGATTTCTCAGGGCAAAATGATCTCTTACACTACATTCAACTTGCCGGTGAGGAGGGGCTCTATGTACTGTTTCGACCGGGACCTTACATCTGTGCAGAGGTTGATTTCGTAAGTACAAAATATGCAATAATTGGAAGATCTGATGAATTATTAATTGCATCGATGGCTAAAGTGTCACACCACGTATTTCCATTGCGGTGTTTCAAAATCTTTGGTCCTGGTTTATTTTTTTGAAGCGGGACAAGTCAACTTTATCGCTGGACATCCATGCAGAATATTCTACTGGAGAAGAAAATCAAGGAAGTTATCAAGAAACACGGAAAGAAACAGGATAGTCGACACAACCAGCGGTTGGTGAAAAACGCGCCAGCNAGTTACGATAACTACCGCACGGTAGCTGGCGCGTTTTTCACCAGCCGCAGGTTGTGTCGACCACCCTGTTTTTTTCCGTGAATCACGTTGACTCGAAAGTATGACTGGAAGTCTATAGCGTCGCAAACAGAAATACCATCGCTCCCCTGACGTAAGGGCGTATCTCAATTTCCACGTGAGCCGTACTTCCCGTATAAATCCATACTTTCTGGAGCTCATGCGAAAATCGACGTACGCCCTTACGTCAAAGGAGCGACGATACGTGGTCTCGCACTTTAGCTATCGACATCTCGCGTGCGTTGTTTGTAACATGAAGAGTCACATATGAAAAATGAAGGGAAGAAGACGCCCGGTGTGAGATCAACGTAGAATTGTTCGGAGACACCTAGTATACTGGACTTTCATCTGCTTGGAACAGAATATGCACAGATTCGAATTGTAATCATTTAATTTTAAAGCAAATCATATTTTAGTAATCCCGATTGAAAACTTCTAAAGAATGATAATCCTATTCAAAATATAAAAATATATATAAAAAATAAAGAAAACAGTATATATAATATATCGACGGTGAAAGTCGGCGATCACATAACTCGTTTGCGGTGTCTGAAAATCTCCGCCTCTACGTCATGTTTTTAAAGGAGAACAAATTGATATTATTTCTTGAAGTTTTTGCAGAATTTTCTTCGCATTGAGAAGAAAAATCATGACAGTTTTAAAGAATTGCCGTTGAGTAGTTTTCCATTTAAAAAATAAAGTATGACAGGAAGTCTGCGACGTCGCAAATCGAGTTATGTGATTGCCGACTTTCACCGTCGATATATAAAATATTCAGTCTTCTTCGCTAATTTAAAAATATATTAAACGAATTTTTTGTTAAAAAAATGTAAAAGAAAACCCTAATGATTTATTTTCCTTGCAATAAGATTTTGTCACCTGGAACATATTTAGAGAAGAGGGTGGGTTTAAAGTGATCCACATGTAAGAAAGGAACGGGAAAAAGAAAAAGCGATCCATTTCCCAATCACATGAAAGGTGATCTGAATCTCCATTTTGAATTTTTCCAGGGCGGTTTCCCTCCTTGGCTGCTCAAAATTGATCCAAACATGAATCTCCGCTCAAACGACCCAGGTTANTGCTTATCCGGACCGCACGCCACTGTGTCACCTGGAACATATTTAGAGAAGAGGGTGGGTTTAAAGTGATCCACATGTAAGAAAGGAACGGGAAAAAGAAAAAGCGATCCATTTCCCAATCACATGAAAGGTGATCTGAATCTCCATTTTGAATTTTTCCAGGGCGGTTTCCCTCCTTGGCTGCTCAAAATTGATCCAAACATGAATCTCCGCTCAAACGACCCAGGTTAGTCATGTTTGAAATAACTTTCCTCCCCAGAAACATGCAGGCTAATGAATTGTTGATTCAATATCCTTTAAGGGAATTAAAAAGTATTGAGGTGATTCGATGGACTCCTGATTTTGTGTCAGAACGACATGTGATACATCGCATCTTTTGGTTCCATTTTTTCAACTACTCTTCATTTTTCTCGAATTTTGAGACCTCAATTCTGTTCTCAGGAGACTAAAGAACTCTCTCACCAATTTTGACAAACAATTTCAACGTAATAAAGGCGTGGTTTTTTTTTTAGAGGACAAATATCTCACTCGATACTGATGTCGAAACTGCACTCGAATGCGATACTTTTCCTCTACAAAATCAACGACTTTATTACGTTGAATTTGTTGGTCAAAATTGGTAAGAGAATTCTTTAGTCCCCTGAAAAAAGGATTGCGATCTCAAAATTCGAGAAAAATGACGATTAGCTGATAAAATAAAACCAATTGATGCGATATATCGCATGTCGATCTGGCACAAAAGGTGGCGTCCATCGAATCACCTTAAGACAACCCCAGAGTGAGATAATGATTTAACTGAATTTGAGACTTATTCGCATGCGGAAGAAGTCCATCTCCACTAGAGGATTTAAGAGATAACATATCTGTTTAGTCGAATTTAGATGTCGATTTGTGGTCGACCGAAACCAACAAGACTTGGGCCCTACGTAATCGCATTCATTGGATTTTTCATTTCTTATCCTATTTGAAAACTCCCAAAGCAGATGAACACCTTTCGTTTAAATGCGTCCAATTCCAAATAAAATTATTCTCTTGACCCAATTCATGAATCCTTAATTTATTGCATGATATTTTTATTCCAGTTTACAAGGAATATGTAGCTCGGTGGTACGCGAAATTGATGCCCATGATTCAAAACAAACTTTACGGCAACGGAGGTCCAATTATAATGGTTCAGGTACGCCCTCCATTAATATTGTGTAGTCATCATCTACCTTCAGGAATAACATTAAGCAGTCGTGACACAAGAGCCAAAACGAGAAAAATTACGAACCCTGTGCGAATAATTTAGCACGTGATGCTTTTGGTGTGGAAAGGAGGAGAAGGCGGAGGGGGAACAGAGCACGCGGTTTGATTTGACGCGTACAAAAAGAGAACGGTCTGAAATGAGTGCTAATTCGCTTTTTTGCTAAAGAGCTTCGGAAAGTTCAATTAACAGTAACTAACTGCAGAAAAAGTCATTTTCTTTGAAAAAATAATTACTTTGAGAATCACTCAAAATCTATTAGGTGCCAAAATAGAGACTATGAGAAACAATTAAAATTAAAGAATAAATATTTTAATAGAACCCCTATTTTTAATATTGACGTGCATTTAAAAGGCAGCATGTGACTCCAAAGAATTCATGAAAATAGATGGTCAGTTCCGAATATTGTTTATGCCTCTGTTCATTTTATTATTTTGAAGCACCTGGCGATTACTCTATTTTGCCATCCATATTTAAGACCTTTATATATTGCATCGATCTCAGTGGAGAGTCTCAGTCTACGTACCCTCAGACTTTTTTCTTAATGCAAAGAGAACAGTTTCCAAAAACATTTAAAATGCCTTCATCGTTGAATGCAAGCCATTTATTTGACTCCGTAGATACCAGTGTTTGCATATGTTGTATTTTGAAGGCGTTCCGCCGATACGATTTTATAGCTGCACTCCATGCTTTAGATGCGGAGGTCAAACTTGCCTCATACTTCATTTGAATACAATTTTCTAAGTCTTTCTAAAACTTCTCAAGTCCCCCCCCCCTTGCCACCACGACGAACCCTTGTAATTTAAAAAGTGAGAATTTTTCTCAATTGATCTGCATCACATTGAAAAGGAGGTGCGGGGTAAGCCAATGAACAGGAACTTACTCCGCAAATATATGCAGTTGTAAAAATCGTGAACATTTTTATGTCACCTCAAATTGAGGGGGAAAAAATCAGAAACTTTCATTCAAGAGCACGCTTTCTTTTTCTTTTCAAGAGCACGCTATAATTTTGTATTGTACCTGAAATAAATGCAATCAATATTTACCTAAAAAACAACAGTCCAGGGGTGTTACAGTTGTAAACTGTACAATTGAGTGAAAATCAACCCCAACTGCTTTCAATATTACAAATATAAAAAGTTGTTTCTCCTTTTTTTCGATTACAACTTCAAACCTTTGAAATGCAATAAGCCTCCAGCTAAGTGAACTGGACAGCAGTTATTTTATACTTCGAAAAATTTCGCGTTGTGATTCTTTTGAAGTGCAATAGTTGAGCTTTTGTCTTTTGCCTTTAATTTTTTTTTTTTACGATACAATTTTTTTTAAAAAGTAAAATTAGGCATATTGTCAAAAGCCCAGGCAAACAGTCAAATATTCTTACTTATATTGAAATTTTTATTATTTTCCTAAGTTTAGACAAGATAATTTTGTTTCTCCTGTACGTAAGAATTCTCAATTAAAATATGTATCATACAATAGAGATGATTTTTACCTCTTGAACGAATATTTATATAGAAATTTTCAGCATATCATAAAATACAGAAATTTATATAATTTTACCATTCAAATATGTAAGATGCACTTAAAGAGGAAGGAACAAGGGGACTTCTTAGATTTAATGAGTTTTTTCCCCAAAATATCGACAAATAGTGAATTCTTTGCCATAAACTTACAAAATTTCGTAAACAGTCAGAATTTGACTATCTGCCTAGGCGTTTGATAAAATGTTTGATTTAACTAATTGCCCGCAACATGTCGATCTCAGTCAATAAAATGGTGGCTTTTTACAGGTCGAGAATGAATTCGGAAGTTATCCATGTGACCGGAAGTACATGTTCTGGCTGAAAGAGTTAACGGAAAAGTACGTTCAAGGCGCAGCGTTACTTTACACAACCGATGGAGCTGGTGGGAACTTTTTCAAGTGTGGGCCTGTGCCCGGTGTATTCGCAACTGTCGACTTCGGAAATTCACGTGGTAATGATGGTGCTCTATAAATTATCCAAAATTGTAAATATCCGCGTTGGATCGTGTACGATAGTACATTGGAACGTGGATTGAAGAACCCGAGTAGCAGTGATCGCGATAAATAGCGATTTTATCGATTAGTTATCGCGATTATATCAGTGGCAATATATCGAGATATTATCGCTTTAAAAATTGCAATATATGGCGATTAAATTGCTACACATCGCAATTTTCGGTTGGATAAAATCGCGATCAATTTTCGTCGATAAAATCGAGATTGAATCGAGAATCATTTATCGCGATTCGCGATAAATCGCCGGGCGATGAAATCGCGATTTTATCCCGATAAGATCGAGGATGGTCGCTCAGATGTTGATGATCCTGGCGATTTTATCATCAATAAAAATGCAGTATATCCCGATTTTTACATTGGAAAATGCTACTTGAGAAGTGTGCATATGGCATGTGGTCCGCGATCATAGTAATAATGGACCACACGGCACACGGAAAAAACTAAATTGCATTGACGACAAGACGGGAAGGTCAATGGGTCAGTTGCACTGATCACAGATTGTGTTTTGATGCTGGATTCTTGTGAACCAGCTAAAAATCCAAAAGGTCTGTCCAAAAAACAGATATCTACGTTGGATATTGACCGAGATATCGCGCTTTGAAAAGATCGGTTTATGACGTCGCCCACCGCGATAATGACACCGTTGAACTTAAATGAAAGCAAGGTGGAAGACACCAAGGGTGTCACTCCCGCGGTGAATGACGTCATAAACCGAATTTTTTCAAGTGAAATATCTCAGTTAATATTGGACGTGGGAGGTTGTTTGAACTTTGGAATACGGGAAATGCTGATTACACTGGAAAAAAACACATTGGATCTATATAGGTAGAGTCAAGACTCTTAAAAACATCGACAAGAAAAAATACTCTTTGATTCAATCAGCTTTAAGCTTAAATCAAGAACCCAGCCTCTTAATTTGAGCGGATGTCCTTTTGATTTAAGCTTACATCTGATTGAATCAAGAGTATTTTTTCTTGTCAATGTCTTCAAGAGTCTGGACTCTAGATGCAATGTATTTTTTTCCAGTGTACGCTTTTGTAAGTTGAATTTGATGAGGGAATATGTAATTTGATGCTTAAGCTATCCAATGGTCCATTCCTGAGCTATCCTTAAAATGCGAGCTGATTTATGAAATTGACGGACAAAGCTGTAAACAGAGAGGACACAAGGGATATGGAGAGACCCTATTGTTGGAAGCGGATGGTTGCCATCGAAAAAGAGGGTAGATGATAGACTAGCTAATGGCAACCCACAAGACTTACTTACTTTGATCCACTTACCACTTGAGACCCAAAGTTAATTGGTCCACATGTAAATACAAACGACAATTGCTTACGACGTTTTTGGATGAAAATGTTTTATGTCTTGGAAGAATATGAGGGTTTGCTTGTTTCTTTTTTTTTTTTTTTTGTTTGTTTGCTCCAATGGAGAAAAATATATGATGGCGATTTTTGGTAAAAGCGTCATTTCCATGAGAGAAAATTCACTGAAACTCTCTACACCTCTTTGGTGCAACAGTACTTAATTATCTTTCAAGAAAATCCCATATTTTTATAACTGAACTGGAAAATTTTGGTTTGTCTCAGCTAAAGGATCTCATATTTTTCCTGTGCATGATAACTTCGCCTCGGCACTGGTTTGCCGCAGCGCTTCGAGCTACTATTTCGCCACGGAGGTGTTGCACAGTATCATATGAGATCAAAGGCACCCCAACGTACCATGATTGATGGGATCTTTCCTAACTCGAGGTATATTTGAGTGCCTTCGATTTCGTATAATATTGTACAACACCTCTATTGTGAAATAGTGAAGCGCCGCGGCACGTGGCACGCTGTGGCACGGCTAGCCGGCCAGAACGGAACGCGCATTGGCGCCTACAAACCTAAGGGATACCTCAAGCATTGCGCAATGCGTAAAGTATCTGCTTAGGTTTGTAGGCGCCAATGCGCGTTCCGTGCTGGCTGGCTGGCCGTGCAGCAGCGTGCCATGTGCCACGGTGCTTCACTATTTCGAGGGATACCTCAAGCATTGCGCAATGCGTGAAGTATCTGCTTAGGTTTGTAGGCGCCAGTGCGCGTTTCGTGCTGGCAGCAAGTCGCGTCGCATCACTCCGCTTTATGCTAGGGCCTATTATTTAAACTCGCGGAGTCAGCGTTTTTCAACTCATGATTTTTATATGTTTGCACACTCTGTATGGATTACTTTAATTTAAATTGATAAAAAAAATATATATATGAAAGGAATATTTAATGTGTGTTTTATAATTATTAAGGTGTTTAATTGTCGTATTTAATGATTTTCAAAGCGCATTTATTTTTTCTTTTATATTTTGTGGTTTTACTGTGCTGCAGCGTGGTGTGAGCGCAACCAAATGCTGAAAATAGGACGTATTTGACTCTGAAAGATCGATGTGCAAATGGGCTGAAACCGAAGACTGCGTGCTTCTCGGTTTTTTCCCTATTTTATTCATTTGTGCATAGTTTCTTTCGACACAACTACTGCTCATTGACTTTAATATCGATGGCATCGCTTGGAAAAGGTTTTAGAAATATTTGCCATGTTTTAAAAATGTAAATGTTTTTAAAATAAAGTAATATTTTCATTTAAAAAAAATATTTATAAGGTATATTTTTCATCAAAAATTTTAAGGATGGAAATAAAACCAAATATTCACCCATGACAATTTTAAAAGATCGATCAAAAGAAGGAAATAACGTTTCATTGAAAAAATGAGATGCCACAACAACTCTTCCGTCTCTCTCAATTTTCTCATTTCATTATTGTCAATATAATTTAACGTACGGACTAAAATATGACACTTGGACCAAGTCACTGTTGCTTATTTCACGCGTGGACGTAAACTACTGAACGAAACAGGTGTGCGGAAAATAAATCGTTGACGGAATGCCCTGAAACCTTGTCCATCGCTTTGTCTATAAATTTCAACAATCAGCCCGCAGGGAGCTTTTATCAAATAAGATATGATTGATGCTCCTTAGCCCGTGACAAGATATACAATAAAACAATTTAAAAAAGAGGGTAACAGGGCTAATTTTCGCAAATAAAACCTAAAAGTTTCAGCTGAAAACTCAGCCTTCCTCAGTTGGATAAAACAGTAAAAAGAAAAGTAGTAAAAATCTAAAATAGTACTTGGCTGTCCCTTCCAAAGCGAGAACAATGTTGTTATGAGAGAAATTTTGATTTGTTCAGAAAGAAAAATTTGAGCTTTGAAAGGTACGGCCAAGTACCATTTTAGATTTTTACCATTTTTCTTTTTCTCTTTACTATTTTATCCAAACAAGGAAGGCTGAGTTTTCAGCTGAAACGTTTTGGTTTTATTCGTGAAGATTAGCCTTGTTAACCCGCTTTTTAAATTGGTATAATCATTATTATTGTTTCATTATATGACGGAGGGAACTAATGAATAATGGTCGCTTGTTGGCAGACGTGGAGCAGCAGTGCAAATGGATGAAAGACTTCAACAAAGGGGGGCCGTGTGTCAACTCTGAATACTATGCGGGATGGCTCACGCACTGGGCTGGTTCTTACGAAACGGCCGAGACTCCGAAGGTGGTCAACACTTTGGCCGATATGCTTTCGCACGGTTATTCCGTCAGCATTTACATGATCCATGGCGGAACCAACTTTGGCTTCACTAACGGTAATTTTCAATTACTCCAATACTGCCGTGCTAAGGAAGAACGCCGTATGAACATTCGAGAGTTGCCAAAGTTCCCTTGACAAAACATGTATATTTGACGGCATTTATGCATGTTTTCCCTGGAAATTTTCAGACATTTTAAATTCAATTGCGTACAAAATTGTCTGAAAATGATGGGAAAAAATATTCACAATTTTCCCAATAAATTCGGTTTTCATCGAAGGAAACTTGGCAGCGTCTGATGGCTCATACGGTGTTTTTCCTTAGCACTGCAGAATAGAATGCCGCAATCAGACGCTGAATTTAGCAGCTGAATGTGGAAGTCAACAGTCATCGCCCAACGGCTGAAATTTAGCAACTTCGAGTTATTTTCATCCAGATGTGTATTAAATCTACTCGAATTGTTCAGACAAATTCAAAATTGGTCCGATGGTTGCTGAGAATCGTTGCTGAATTTTGCGCGTCACGCGCAAAATTCAGGCATCGGGCCGATGACTTCCACATTCAAGCCACATTCAGCTCCCACATTCAGCGTGTGATTGCGGTGTAAGTGAGACCGTCCATTGGAAAAGGAACCTTGGCGGCAAAGGACTTTTAAACTGAGTTACTACTGATACTTCTAAAATGTCGAATGAGTGTTTCACGCATATTTTGCCGGTATTGCGCATGTTTAAAAAAACAGGTATAAATGGTGCGGTTCATAAAAAACAGCAAAGAGAAAATCATATTCAAAATATTGATATAACATGTTTATAACTCAAAATTGTCAGAATTTATTGCAACGGCACTCCTTAAGAATGTATTAGATCGCTCGCAAATTATTTTTGAAACATTGAAGCGGGATTTTCGTTCATAATTCAACTTTTGAATGTTCAACCAAATGCATATGATAAAACTAGATCTTTTAACTCCAAATCAGTCCTTCCACTAAAGTCCCTCTTTCTGTAGACGACTTTGTAATACAGGTACGCACCGTAAAAGTACATGCACCTTCGTGTATTAAGTTGTGATCTAATAGTTATAAATTAAATATAAAAACCAGGCTTTTTTGCTTGTACGCATATGAACCTAACCTACGGGCCCATTCACGTATAATAAGAATAATTAGTGTTTTGCAGACGTTATTACGTTAAGTCATATTCATCGTTCGTGAATAAAAAATTAAAAAGTATCAACTCCGCATAATTTGAACCTGATGGAAAAGAAAGACCACCCATTGATACTTTTGACATTTATGAAGTTATAAATTACCAAAATTAGAATAAAAAAGGCTGTGGATTGCTTTTTAGATGAGTTATTCATACTTTCACGGTAGACGTATTTATATACAGTTTACAAACCTGACAGGCTTAAGCGAGGACTATGGAGGGGCTTAGAGGACAAGGCGCGTAAGAGCAGTTTTTGAAAAAATTATGAGATATTAATGATTTCGAGTAAAACTAGTCTTAATGCATATTCTGTGAAAAAATCGCTTCCAAATTCAAATTGTTAAGTATCAAAAAGTCAGTTTGAATATTCTTCCCGCCAGAAGAATCCATGTAGGTTTCAAAACTTCAAACACGTATTTCTCGAAATGGCAAAACCTGCACTTATGCGCCTTGTCCTCCAAGCCCCAGAATGAACGACAACACTAACATTTTCAGATGTTCACATTGTTCTTCGTTTCTGTTTTTAGGTGCTAATTATAGAGATGTCTCCTTACAGAACTTAAACGGGCAGTTTCAACCCGACCCAACGTCATACGACTACAACGCTCCTATCACAGAGGCGGGTGACCTTACCGGGAAATACTTCGCGATACGACAAGTGCTTAAACAGGTGAGGGAGGCCTGCAGTCTGCAAAATTATTTGAGTGATTAAATAAATTGACGCATTAAATACGTATCCTGGCAAAGTTGTTATCATAAATAAGTAAAGTTAGGATCTACAACGTAAAAATACTACGAGTACTTATTTTTTGCGTTTTATAATGTTTGAATTTTTCCGAATGAATTTTTTAAAAGCGATCAAATGATACCAAACGACAAGATGCTACTGATATTTGTATTGTTTTTTCTTCTTTTTAGTAAGCATATATAACCAAAAATACGACCTCCTTTTAAAAAGATTAGGAGAAATTTCCATTGACTCATGAAATTCCCGTTTCTGAAGTCCATACATTTTCAAGTACACAAACATACCTAATTTCAAATACTTAGTATGAAGTCGGTTAGATGATTAAATATGGTGCCTTATTATGTAAACTACCTTTATCACGTCTTTTTCATAAGTTTCCATTATTTTTATGAAAAGAAATTTTTCTAGTCTTCCTTGACAATTATGGTCGAAGTAGTAAAAGAAATTCAGCGAGAGGCTCCTCGTGATAAAATGTACTAACTCTGTGTCGAATACACGTGCCCCTTAAACTGCCGTGCTAAGGAAGAACGCCGCATGAGTCTTCAAACGTTGCCAAATTACCTTTGATAAAATATGAATTTCCATGGAAATCTGTGAATATTTTTCTTCCCATTTTTCAGAGAATTTTTTCCGCGACCAGATCTACGTTACCTGCGAATTTCAAGGGAGAGTTTTCATTACTCTTCTCAAGAACAAACATTCGATCGGAGGAAATTTTGCAACCCTCAAATGTTCATACGACGATTTTCCTTAGCACGGCAGTGCAGAATACCTCAGTTCCTTCCTTTTTTGGGGTAAACGGTTGTGAATGCTCTTTGTAATTTTTTTAACAAAATTTCTTTAGAATTTCATAAAAAAACCTAAATTTTTCATGTAAAGCAAGCATTAGTTTCATTGATTAATTATCCTGCCCAACGATTTATTCAAATTTTTCTCCTGTTTCAGTTTGCAAACGAGTACAAATTAAGTTTCATAAATATGCCTCTACAGAATAGCCCCAAAGGTAATTACGGTTCACTGAAATTGGATCCTTTGATGTCAATTTTCGACGCAGATCGTCCTTCTCATACGGGATGCGTCAGTAGCAAGCAGCCACTGACTTTCGAGGAAGTCGAGATTTTCTACGGCCACGCCCTCTATAGGACCAAACTCCCTGCCGGACTTCGTGGTGCATACAATCTCTCTGTCACGGAGATCAGGGATCACGCGTTCGTCTACCTCGACCAGGGTAGTGGTCCGGTAGGTAATCATGATGTTTGAAGTTCTGAACAAATTGCATTCATGTGAGATACTTGGGAAAGGGAGAAGGGGATTGGGACGCAACCCATAGTAATTTAATGATTCGTATCTTCAAAATACACTATAGTTAATGCCAGCTTGCTAATTGCAGAAACTGATCAACAAAGCGATAGACAAAGAAGAATTAAGGAGTGTGTTAAATCAGTAAAAAAGCCTCATTGAGATAAATAACTGTCTTAACAAAAATATCAACATTAAATAAAATCATCATAATGGGCTCATTTGCGGTATCAAAGTTAAATAACTCTCTCACTAAAAATAGGCGGTTTTATCATGATTGATTTAAAAGATCAACACGTACTTTAAGCTCTTTGATACCATGAATTTTCTAACCAAACTGAAAACCCTTGATTTAGAACCATTTGTGGGCTGTTGGTTGAAATGGGTGGTGCTTATAGACTGAGGAAGAAAATGATGGACTGACTATAGGTTCTCTCTAGGCTGCCGTTAGTTAGTCTATTTCTTAACTCATTTGTCCATTGCAACCACCTGCTTCCACAAATTTGACCCCTCATTATCATTTTTGTCTACTTTTTTTATAGCTTTGTTTGCCGAGTTCAGCAATTAGCTCGCAGACGATAACTGAACGAAAGGGCTAAACCTAATCAGTGAAGGAGAGCCTAAGATCATTTTAGTAAGATCAAATCTGAGGATTTATTTTGAAGGCCAAACGCTTCATTCACCGCCTCTCTCAACGAGGATCGTTTTTAAAAACAGTATGAAAATTGACTATCCTGGAAATGCAGAGTGACCACATATTTTGCACTTATTATTTTTTAGGTACCTATTTAAATTTCTCTTATTAGGAATTAAAGATTGATTTCGAAGATCTTCGAGTGAAATTTCTGCTCAAAGTTTCAGTCTAAAGTTTCACTCTAAAGCATTATAGATGCGCGTATGATACGGAAACCGAATAAACACTGCTAAATTACGGCAGGCATCTATTACTGCTCCCGAACCGCTCAAATTGCGTGCTCGAGTTTTGAAGGGGATCTGATGGAAGGAGAGGCACTGTGAGAATAGTACTTAATATGCGAGTAATTTGGGCTACTCAATCACATGATGATACTGAAGGTGTTTGATAAAAGTCGAACATTTTTTTAAAAGAGATTTGGAATTTCTTTAAATTTTTTTTGAATGCCTACTTTACCTCTCACCCTTTGTGGATCTGGCAGAATATATTTTCCGCACAAAGTACATCTGTGGTAATTTTTCCGATTATCGTTGCCGCACAAAATCATTTTCATATCACCGAATCAGATCTCAAACATCTGGCAACATCTACTCAACATTACGTCTACATCAACTTCAGTACATTTTTAATCGCGCATGTTTCAAGTTTTATATTTTAATCGTGATATTTGGTATGCATTTTTAAAGCGTGTCTTAAATCGATATTATGCCCGAAAATTTGAGGATAATTGAAAGCAGCCGGGGTAAAAATATGCTAGTTCATAAGAATGTGAAATGCTGCGTTCACTCGTTTCTCTTAAATATGCCTCATATTTTTCTCGACGTTGCCACTTAATACAGAACATTATTTGTGCGGCAACGATAATCGGAAAAATTACCACAAATGTACTTTGTGCGGAAAAGGTAGCCGTGGATCTTGATCGAACGCGAGCCGGTGAGTGCAGCTAAGGTCATGTAGAATTGGCGCAACCTCAAAACCTACAAATGATTTTCTTGAGAACATTACAATGATTATTTGCAGCGTATAACTTCAGGACGTATGGTTTCAGGAATTAAAAGGACTTCTATCAAGACTTAATGAGACTTTCTCGCTGGATCTCAAGATAGACGGAGTGACGAACGGAGGAGAAGTCTTAAGTCTATTCGTGGAGAATCTCGGACACATCAACTACGGTGCGCGTATTGTCGGCGATGTAAAGGTAGGCACTGCATTTAGAGGTAATTTACATCCTAATTTACTTGATCGGTTGATGTGTTGTCAGTTCTAAATGAACTGAGAGACACATTTTCATTAACCTCCCTTTTTCCCTTTAAAAAGTGAGGATTAATTTTTTCTATAATTAAACGAAGTTAGGCCACGGTAAACTCAAGAGCATGTTGCACATGCATCAACGGCCGTGAACCAATCGACACCGATTCGATCGACAAATTATTAAAAAAACGGTGTCGATTCGATCGCCATGAATCGATCGGAAAATAAACAAGTTGGTTTTTGCAATCGCTAGCGATAGCAATATTCGTCATGGGAACTTTTGCTTCTGGGATATGAAAATTTTAAGGTACAGTTCGTTTGTAGTATCTTCAGAATTGAAGGGGCTATGTAATTTTGTGTCGACATCTCTTTTTTAACATTTTTAATTTTTTTTCTTTGCATACAAGAAAGCTGTTATTTACCAAGTATTTATTTTCGTTGGATTATGTATGGTTTTTGGAAGTTAACGCATTTAACTTTCAGTTTCGTTTTTTCGGCGTAAAGTATGATATTTTTACTCTACGCATATGCCCGAATACGCATCATAACGACGGTGAAACTACCAAACCACGTATCTCGTTTGCGGTGTTTAAAAATCTCCGCTCACATTTTATTTTTTTGAAGTAGACCAAATCAATATCATTCCTTAAAGTTTTAGCAGAATATTCTTCGCACGAAGAGGAAAAATCACGGAAATTTTCAAGACTGGACGTTAAGTAGCTTTTCATTTAAAAAATAAAGTATGACAGGAAGTCTGTGACGTCGCAAACCGAGATACGTGGTTTGGTAGTTTCACCGTCGATAAGTGACCTATGTGCTTCCTAAGTTGCCATTTTTTTCATTCAAATAGATGTAACCGAAATGTTAGATGTGTACTACCTATACTACTTTCATGTCATTGCTTTATTTATTTATTTACTTTTTGCGTAGGTATAAATTGTTATTTTTTGCTGAATTTTGGAGAAAATATTGCTTTAAGAACGTGGAATGTANCCATAGCCAGCTCAGAAACTCGGCAATTCAGTTTCTCTCACTGCAAAAGGTGGAACCATCCAAAGTACCATCAATGTTAAGTTGAAGGGGTGAATTACTTATTTAAAGAGTGCTAAGTCATTTTGGGACTTTTTCGAAGAGATTTAAAGGAAAAAATTGGAAAATGCTCAACTATAAAATGAACGTAAACAATCCGCCATTGTATCAAAGCTGACGCACAAAAAATGAAACAAGCGCTAAACACAAGGGTAAAAAGTACATACGTAAATTGATTTTGTTTTATAAGGAAAATGGTGAAAAAGTTAGGAAATTCATATTGGAAATTGAAGCTTTAATATATAAAGAACTTCAGATAATTAATACAGTTTATTTAGAAACGGAGTTAAAGAAGGCAAAGTTAAGGAAACTCAGAAGGAACAGGGTATTTTGTAGGAAACGGTTGGTATGTCTAGAATTGAATCGACGTATCGACGTATCGAACAGCGACTATCGCTAGTCTCGAAAAACCCCTGTAAAATACACACTAATACGATAAGCGGTTACATCAGATCTTATGGGAGCGCACTCACACATACAAAAAATCGCTCTTTCAAGCGATTTTTTACAAGAGAACAGAGGAAAAACTCACTAGCGATCGAGATTTTTCGAGATTTTACATTGATTAAACGGCCCAGAGTGAAAGGAAAGTTCTCTCCAGTTGATCACTGGGAGAACAAAAAACTCGCTGAAAGCGAATTTTAGCAATCAACACAACTTGACGTAGAGACATGATTGGCTAAAAAATACAACGGTTTTTGATACATCGGAAAATCAACCAAAAATCGGAGACTGGGCGAAACGCTCAAGGTCGCAGAGGTATAGGGAATCCCATAGCGAAAGCAACGGAACGATTCTAATATCATGGGGAACTCCGTTCCCATGACAAAACGTGAACCGATCGACGTGATTCGATCGATACGGATTCATTCGACAACCGTGAATCGATCGAATAGGCACAAATCCATGCAGAAAATCAGGCCGAAATGACCATCATGCTGTAAAAAAATTGAAATAAGTCATTAATATTGGTTTTTGAAAAAATTCCAATTTGTATTAAAAAAAGTGTTCATAGTGCCGATAAGTCTTAGAAAAACTGTGCATTATGTTACAACATAGGCATTTGTTTCTGTTACTTTCTCGAATGTAATCAAAGTGGTACTTAGTGACAGGAATGTGGTTTCTCTTCCTGCGGAGTGAGAGGATCGAATCACGTCGATCGAATCCATACCCCCGGCTTCGTCGAATCCATGCCCTGCGCTTCGAAAAGGTTCACTGATCAAATTAACTTCATTGCGCGATTTGGAACCAAGATTGCTGGCTTCGTTTGGGAACAACAGTTTCCTTTTGCACACAAATATTTTTAAAGATGAGCCAGAAATTTTAATTCAGAATAGCAAAATGTAGTCTAAATGATCACGCAATTACATCTCTGGGCAACGAGGGAGCCTACACGTAAAAGTTGTTTCACTTGCATGGTTCTACTTAAAACTATTTATAAAAATGTGTAAATGAAGAGAAGAAAATTAGGTGTGTTTTATCTAATTATTTATCATTTGAAATGACAACAATGCCAACAAACTGTACAAAAACTTCAAAATCATAAATTAACACCGCCGCAAATTCGAATAATTGCGTCAAACACAGTGCGGCCGGCGCTAGCGCACACTGCACGGAACGCATAGGCGCCTTACAAGACCGCAGGATACTTCATCATTACGCGTACAGCACGGTGCGCGCACGGCGCATAGTAGCGCCTTACAAGTCTGCAGGATACTGCATGCATAGCGCGTATACTACGGTGCGCGCTCAAGTCGTTGAGAAATCATAAGTTCTTGGTGTCGATTACCCCAATGTACACCATTTCTAAACAGTTCACAGGATTGGACTGCTGTTGGAATGATGATGTTGGAATGCTGTTACGTTCTATCGTCTGGAAAACGCCGAACTTAACTAACTTCCAGGGAGAGGAAGTGGACGCTACTTTGTATCACAAATGTGGCAAAATCATATTCGTCCTCATCACACGCAATTTTATTACATTTATGGTTAATTTGTTTCCTTCATCATTCATACACAATTTTATTTAGGGTCATTTTATCCTTTGACCCGTTTCTATTTTTAAGGCACGAGCTAAAACAAGCCGCGATAAATTGCTGGATTTTATATTATGTTTCTGGTAGATTTACATTCCTATCTTTAGCTTTTGAACCAGGAACATTTTATTTAAATGCCTCACTGACGATTTTATAAAAAATTCTATTTGGACAGCTTTTCATCGAGGAAGGGGGAGGAAGATGTCCATCTAAATGCTAATGAGTTTTTTTTATAATTAATATTATACTTTCTAGGCACACATTACCAACAATCTTTTTTAAAAAAAGTTTACCACCAAGAAATTTCTCATTTGAAGGGGCTATGTATACAGTTGTGATTCTTGTACTTACCTCGCATAAAATGTCTGATCACTCAGGGTATCATTGGCTCGGTGAAACTGAACGAGACGACGCTGTCAAACTGGGAAATGTGTAACTACACTCTGTCCAACATACAAGAGATACAAAAGGCATCCGAGAAAAACGGAGGCAACTTTAGATTTTCATCTCCGACTTTCTTCACCAAGAAGTTCCGCATGGAGGCGAGGGCAGAGCAAAGGGACACTTTCGTCGACTTCTCCGGTTGGGGCAAGGTAAGGTTTCCAATTTTAAATTGTTAAACTTCCGATTTGAGAGAGTAGAGAAAAAGCTCATTAAGGTGAATCCAGGCTCAGAACTTCGCGATTTGGCCACCACGTCGCGCTGCTCAGAATAGCGGTACATATTTGCCAAAATAATAAAAACCGTAATACTTATTCAAGATTGGGGATCCAGGATTGGGGATATAGCAACATACTTGAGGAACATTCAGTGAAAAAATCTTCTCAAAATTCCTAAAAATAAAGTCGTAACTACGGCGGAAAGTAATTCCCATTGCGGCAATGGGAGAGAGAGAGACAGAACATGAGGGAGTCGGTTGTGCGCTCGGCCGCCGCCTCTGAGCTGAAAGTTTCAGCCGTACTTTTTCTGCGCTTGTAATTCTAATTGCCAATATTTTTGGCTCAAAAAATCAAGCAATAAATAATCTATATCTTGTGGATCTGCTTTTTGTAATTTGAGGAATATTATTTCAGTAATCGTAGAAGGAAAGTGAAATTCTCAGTGGTGACTGGTGGCGCTATCTCTAATCTTGAATTATCCCTAATCGAACCCTGGATTCACCTTAATGCCGAGGCATACATGAATCAGCCACTGGATGGCGTTGCCAGAAAAAATAAAAATGTATAAAGCGACAACATTTCCCCGTTGGAAATGAAGGAGACCTTCTTTTCGATGTAAATATAGTTTTAATCACTCATAACATTCCACCGACAAGAGCAACTTCAGCCCGAGGAGGATACACTTCCAGTTAAGCGATGTTTATCGAGTCAGGCGAAAAAATCGGATGTGAGGGTTTCAATAGAAACCTCTCCGTAGTGCCTCAGAGGGCGTTAAGTTGAATCATGATCCGCAAGTAGGATCTCCTAAAATCAGCAAATCAGATTATTTAAGGTGATTCGATGGACGCCTTATTTTGTGTCAAAAGGGCATGCGATGTATCGCATCAATTGGTTCCATTTTTTCAGCTACTCGTCATTTTTCTCCAATTTTGAGATCGCGATTCTGTTGCCAGGAGACTAAAGCACTCACTTCCCAATTTTAACAAAGAAATTCAACGTAATAAAGGCGTGTTTTTTTTAGAGAGAAAACATCGCATTCGATACTGATATCGAAACTGCACTCGAATGCGATATTTTCTCTCTAAAAAAACCACGCCGTTATTACGTTGAATTTCTTTGTTAAAATTGGTAAGTGAGTGCTTTAGTCCCCTGACAACAGAATTGCGATCTCAAAATTGGAGAAAAATGACGAGTACCTGAAAAAATTGAACCAATTGATGCGATATATCGCATGCCGCTCTGACACAAAATATGGCGTCCATCGAATCACCTTCATAGCTTTTTCTCGAAACTACGTTTTTGGAATTGAAAAAATCAAAACGATACAGTTTAGTTTGACATTGTTGAGCATTTTTTGTCCTAGAGGGTCTTTAGAACAGTCCTCTGTGTTTGGGTGCCACTAAGTCAACTTTGAGTTTTTGGGATAAAGGCCCCTTTGCTCGTGGGTGGTCCCTGATAGCCTTCAAATTGAACATTTTTTTTTACATACGCAATAGTACATATAGGTGCGTATTTAATAAATTGACTTGATTCATTCCAGTGTCTTGATATTTGAGCTTCAAAGATTTAGGTCGTGATCAAAGTGTGAATATCAGCTGTTATAACCAACATAAGTTTGCAGTCACCCCTGCATGCCTCCCCATTCTTGAACGTAAAGAGAAATAAATAAGATACTTTAGAAAAGCGCGGCAGCAATATTGTTTAGGACATGCAAAAATGAAAGGAATAAAAACAGATTAATAAGTTTCTACAGAACTACGTATATTTTTCCTGGCTGTTCAATTTTGAGTGGAAACCATTTATGCTCTGTTCCACCCCGCCTCTATGAATATCGTGCGTTTGCTTTCAAGATATTTTTGAAGTCTGGCTTAACTGAAATTGATATTTTGCTTTTTTTTATGACCCCCAGGGCGTCATTTTCATCAACGGGTTCAATTTAGGGCGGTACTGGCCAGTGGTGGGGCCCCAACAAACCTTGTACCTGCCCAGCACACTTTTGAAGCCGTACCCCGAAGTGAATCAAGTGACGCTTTTTGAGATGTATCGCGCTCCAGCCAACCTTACCATCTCATTTGTCGATTATCACTCCTTAAATGACTTGAGACTTGATTTGAGTCAAGAAAAATATTGAGAATACTGCCAAGCGAAGGAAGCTCGCTGCAACTCCATTCTAAATTTTAACATATTTTGTCTCATAAAATGCTATATTACCATGCTATTTGGTTACTTTGGTACCGCATTATTTTAGTTTGAGTTTTCAACAGTAAGACTAGAGTTTTTGAAAATATATACGTGGTGTGTTCAAGAAGTTACCGGACTTATGCCGCCGCGGCCTAAAAAATGGCCCGATCAAGCTAAAATAGGGCCCATTTGAAAGCTCATACTCTCAGAAGTACAGTGATTTTTGGTTTTTTGAAAAATAGCTATTAGTTTTTGTACAACGTCAATAGCTATTAGTTTTTGTACAACGTCCATTTTACAACGGCGTATTCGACCCGTTCGGCGATTTTGTAAGTTCACATACTGGATAAGAAAGCTAGAAAGGCAGTGTGCGAAGTTGTGTGCTTTTAAAATTTCCAAATTTTCTCTGATAACTCCTATTGACGCGATCCACTGTGCGGTACCAGTCCGGTAACTTTTTGAACACACCAGTAGGATGAACACGCTCTTGTCATCTTGAAAAATATTTTTATTTTTATAATTATTCATTAAAAAAAGGGGGAAAAATATTTAGGATGGAGTCCTGGCGTCTCTCGTCTTCCTACGGACGGCAGGAGTAATAAAACACTATGACGTAATATAGTTCAAAAACTGAGTAAAAATGTATGTCTTGTTCAAGCATACAGAAATACTTCAAGTAACTTCAACTTCCAGTATTCATTTAAAAGAAAGTATTGTTTAAAAACGGAGCAATCCGCGTACTTCTGCCTGATAAAATTCTAAATTAGGGCCGAAAAGAATGATTTAAGGAGATCCAAAGATTTTTTTTACAGCTTTAAGAGTGAAACATGTCTCGTATCATTCTGTCGTGGGTCGTAAAAAAATAAAACACTGGAGCTTCTGTTCCCAACCCCTATGTCAAAGGAGGTTTAATACCACGTATTTTTATAGTAGCGCTTAAACATTTCCGTTATCATTTCATATTTTCTTTAAACAATACACTGAGAAAAAGCTATGACTTGTAAACCAATTAGTGATTCATATAGATCACCACTAATTGTAGTGAAAGCAACATATAATAATAGCACACATACCTTTGTGATGGTACGAGGTACCTAAGTATGGTACGAGGTACCTAAGTATGGTACGAGGTACCTAAGTATGGTACGAGGTACCTAAGTATGGTACGAGGTACCTAAGTATGGTACGAAATACCGTAGTATGGTTCACAGACCGAGACTCATTAGTTCATTTACGACTATTAGTGGTGTTCCATATGAGCCACTAATAGGTTTATAAAGCTATAGATTTTTCTACATGTATAATATGTTACACCTCCACACCTATGTGAATTAATATTCTCAAATAGCAATAAAATATAAGTTGAAATTTGCCAAGTCGTCTGTATTTGCCTGCGCAATGCTTATATTTTTAATTGTAATTTGCCTCGGTACAATCATAAAATTAAGCTATGTTAAATAAGCCTTAATATTTTTTTTTCTCTCAGAATAAAACTTCCAACACAATCTTTCTTCATTCTCAATTTTTGAAGGACAAGAAAAATTAACTGCCTAAAATTTTTGTATATATTTTTCTGCTGTCTTAAGTTTAGACAATGTAATTGTTTTATAGTGTTAATAAATTCATTTTTAAGTTTTTCAATAGATTTCAATTTTAATTCTAAGTACGGGTTTGAATTAATTTTTTTCCGAGCATTGGTTAGACGGTTTACCTTTTTGTCGACCTGACATCTTATGGGTGCCTTTTTCAATGCCAAAATACTTTGTTGACACACGTCTAAAGCTTTTTTAAAACGCAAAAGAACTCTGCACTATCAGGGGAAGGGCTGTTATCAGAGATTGAAAATTTCATGAAATTTATTCGAGTGAAATTTCATGAAATTTACTGAAACTTTTGGGGATACATTCAGGAGGCTAAGAAACGCCTAGAAATTGTGATTCTAAATTTTGAAATTTTTTACCCCAAGCCTAAAACATTCGCGCGTTGCAAATGTTTTCGTTTAGTTTAGAGGTCAGGTTGAGGTTTTTCTCTCTAAACTCCCCTTTTTGCCCCCTCTTTGTGTCTGGCACCTTCAGTAGAGTAGCATAATACCGCAGCATCAACAGAAAGACGATCTGAAACGCTTTCAGACCTCCAAAGGTTTAATCAATAATTCTAAAAAAAAATTAATAAATTTCAACTTTTGTGAAATTTATTCGAGCCTTATTTCATGAAATTTCAAAACGTGAAATTTCATTTTCCATCTCTGGCTGTTATCCCATGAAACATCTCAAAACAGGCTAGGCGAGAGGAGTGATTGTAGGGGTGCGGGTGAGATTGTCGAAAAATATGAAGGCTTGTGCGAAAATGAGGGGCTGAAAAAGTGTCGGGCCGAAATAATTATTCTCACAAGTTGAGGGTGGCGGAGAGAGTTGGTGGTGTGGGCACACAATTGAGGCTGCGGGGCTCGTATAAATCACTTTGCAAATTGTTCAGCGCGGATGAGGAACGCAACAAGACCGCTAATTACTCGACACGCCACTAATCCCTTGTTTTTGGCGTAACCATTTGCTGCCGGTTGATACTGGGAGATTAGCTCCTTTCATAATAGTCGGAATATGTAGCTTCATTTATCCACGAAAATCGACAACTGCGAGGGCGAGGTAAAGTTTGCCCGTGGCCACAGAGGTGACGCTTCTGAGGAATCTACACCTTAAGGTGATTCGATGGACGCCATATTTTGTGGCAGAACGGTATGCGATATGGCATCCATTGGTTCAATTTCATTACTTCAGAGCCCACTGTGCGTGGACTTAATTACCCTGCGAATATTCATGTAAAATTTAAGAACTTTTTGAGTCAAATAGGGGACGATTGTTTACATGTTTCAGGTAATAAGATGATTCTAGGGAGGCAGAAAGAGAAATCTATTTACAACAATTTTGGAGCAAATTTATTCAATATAACAGCAATGGGAGACGCAAAAAAAGTAACTTATAAACCTGGGATATGAAGCCAATCGGGGTCAGTCCCGCCTCGCACCTGGGTCCTAGATAACCCCCAAGGAACAAAACGAACTAAAGGGGGGGGGGCAGTGGTGTGGCGTGAATTGCGATATATCGATTGTTATGCCATTTAAACCTATGGAAAAGGATCGATAAACAGGGTGTTCGCAGCGAACACCTTAATAATCGATTCTTTATCATATTTTTAAATGGCATAACAATCGATACATCGCAATACACGCCACGCCTTGCNGGGGGGGGGGGGGGCGTGAGTACGCACGTTCATTGATTTGTCAAATCGCAAAAATCAAAGAAAACAGAGTTCCAAGTTGAAACAACATTCATTAACTCAAGAGGAAAGCTGGACAGCACCCGATATAGCTATTTGCAAACGGCGCGCGGCCGAGTAACAAAAACATTGGCATGGAAAAATATGGAAAAAAAGGATGAATTGAAAGTATGAAAATATGATGCCAGACAATCGTTCCGAGGACAATCGTAAAGACCGCAAAAATCGAAACATTCAATGCATAAACATTTTACGACACACATTTTTCAGTGTGTTTCAATAATCAACGCGTTTTAGTCAGCAAGGGGGTACGATAGGCAAGCACAAAAAACAAATAAGGTTTTTTAGTCAGTATCTAATAAAACAAATATTGTAAAAAATAATTGATGGGATGGGTTTACAACGATGACATAAAGCGAACTAAAAATATTAATTTATTCTAACGCACTCCCCTGATTAAACGAAATTTCGGGGCGCCACATAATTTTGTAACAAGCTTTATGCTAAACATGACAGGTTCAACAAACATAAGAATTCAATTTCGTTCCTGAAATATGGATGCATTTACGCAAAAGAAGGTTGTATGCTATTGATTAATTAGGCAAACATACTTCTTTTAGATAGACGCATCTAACTCGAGTAAATAAAATAATATGTAAAGAAAACATTAAGAGTTTTTATTTGTGTTTAATCCATGATGTGGTAAATTGCACCATTCAGTTTTCTCGAGACACTTGTATATTTTTGAGACGGAGAGAAATATAGCTGTTCATTTTGCAGACGAGGGTAACATTAAATGATAAAATGAAGATTTTAAAAACAACAAGCAGTTGGGTCAGCGTCTATTGATCACACATTAAAATTGGACTTCATTTTTCAATTTGGAACTATAAATTCTAGCCCAGTTTAAAAACAACGATGTGCCGTTAGTTTCCCTATGCACATTAGTGTTTTTCCAGAAGAGCCAGAATTTACAGCTCCACGTTGCAAAATGCAGTCCAATTATCAATGCATTCCTTGCTTCGATCTTAGATCAGATTTTCTATTTAGAATGGCCAACTAGCTCCAGACTGCTGTTGACCAATTTTGCGCACCACGAAAAGTAGCGCGTCCTGGTGCGACTGTTGGCGAATCCAAACTGAAAGGACAAATTGTATACAATAAATGCAAAAGAGGCTTGGAGGAACGTAGTATTGGTTATGTTCTTCGGGGGGGAGGATTGCAGCTGGCACGAGATGATTTCAGCGTCGGCCGAACCTCATGAACATGTGGTCGGGCCTCTTTGCCCCCAGCTGCTGCGGCGGCTCGTCGTCTCCCAGAACTGAAACCCAAAGTAAGTTACACCATCAAATTTTCTTCTTAACACAAAGACCGTTCATAAAATAGGTACAGAACGCTGGAAACGCACACAACACAAATTTGCACATTCTTGAAAAAATTAGGCACGTAACGCTTCGTGCGACCCCCCCCCCTCCACCTCTCAAATTGAATCAGTGAGAACGAAAACACACCAACTCAAAAAAATGAAAATAACCAAGACACACAAAAAAACTGCACAGTACGTGAAGAAGTTAGTGAAAGAAAAATATTTTCGTGCCGTAAGTGCCGAAAGACAGGTACTTAAGAACACTTTAAGGGTCCGAGTTGGAACAGATGCGCTAACTTCACTGACCTTTGTGAAAATTGACTGTCATTCATGAAAATTGAGCATTTTCGAGCTACCGAGTTGGTGTGTTTTCGTTCCCACTAATTCAATTAGCATTTTACGATCAATTTTGATCGAAAAATTACCGACTTCACTGATAAAAATATTTGTGTGAAACACGAACCAGCATTTTCGTGTTCATTTTGGTACAGTTTGCGGAAAATTTAGCGCAGAAACCGATGGAGAGACTAGGAAAATGCATTCCTCCGATTACGACGTTGGTTTCACCACTCATTCTTTTGTTAAATTTCTTCAAGAAAACTGGATGGCACTTTCTCTTGAAATCGTCAACCGAAGAATTAGGTTATTTTGTGTTTTACTTTCCGTATTAACAAAACTTTGATGTTGGAATTTCTCTCTGTGTTGCATCGATTTTTCGTCTTAGATTTGCAACAAAGTGGCGTTACGTACAATCTGAATCAGTCCTGAACGCATCCGTAGCGTAGGCACTACACACGTAAGCGGAGGAACCATGTTCAAATTCGTTCCTGAGACAGATCCTTTCATTAGGGAGGCTCTACATAGATATTAGTGTGATTTGTGGAGTTTTTAAGAGGCCTTTACCGTAGCATTATGAAAAAAGAAAACGTTAAGAAGCGTTAAGATATCAAAAGTAATATAACTAACTTTCTAAATGGTTTCTTACAAAGAATTACACTCATATGACCCCACGAACAATACAGAATATAAGGGAAAGAAAAAAATTCACGATTTCAGAAAACTTGACTAGGGAGGTAAGGACCTACTTTGATTCGCATACCTCGCAATAGACCGCTAGACAAGGTACAAAGTCAACCATTCTGATAAATGTTTCTTAACTAAAATTTTACGTAAAACACGATTCGCATAGCTGAAATTATTGAAATTAACTCCTAACCAAGATGTTTAATTTTTCCTCATGCGTGAATTCAAGCCTTCCGCTCATGAAAACTCAATGGTCTACGTGAGTCAAATTGCGCGTTAAACGTCGCCGTAAAATTTCCGCGATAAGAAAAGATGGCAACCTCAATCTTGATACTTTTTCTCAGATATAGCGAGTTGTACACATCGAGAAACCTGTCAAAACCGTTGTAGTGTGTGATTGAACTCACGCAGAGTATTGCGTTTCTTCTGACCGGGCAATTCAAATTTCCCGTGACCAATGTAAAATAGAAACGTTCATATCTAAGCAACTACTTAGGTGATTTCAGTAATTTTTCATGCAAGAATCGTGTTTTACGTGAGATTCTGGCTACGAAACATGTCAGCATGCTCAAATTGGTACCTTGTCCAGGGGCCCATCATCGTCTTTCTGATGACGCTATGGTAAAGGCCTCAATCAAATCTGCATGTTATGGATTCAGCACCCTTGAAAAAGAAAACACGCATTCGTGCGAAGCAAAAGAAGACTGCGGTTGAACAGGACAGAATCAATGGCAGCGAATATATATTTTTGTTGTGCAGAATATAAAAATCTGGGTCAGAATATCCGACTCTTCAAAAGAACTTACGCTCGGTTGAGCTCTCGTTGAAGCATAATAATATTGTCGATATCTCGAGTGTCTTATGTGTATCCACTTTACTTCTACGGTAATCACACTACATTTTGCAACAAAGAACCACTGTTTCTGGCTTATTTCAGAAAAAACATAAGTACCATTAGTTTTCCTGCAAAGATAAGTACCATTATGGATGAGCAAAAAATAGTAGTTTCTTGGTGCAAAATCAAGCCCAATGGACCTGCATTTGTTCCGATATCTATACTAGTCAACGCGACACGCGGCTTTTTATACATTTTCTCAGCTTCCCTAATAATCAATAGTTCATAATTTTTTGTGAGGAGCCCGCATAAATTCCCCTTGCTGAGTCTACACGCATCCTTACATATCTCGTCGGTTTACAAATTGCATCTTTCAAATTCTCTGGACTCCGGCGTAAATAGCAGAGACATTTAACTTCCATCAAACTGACTAACTAACTATTTTCTATTTTTACTGCACTTTTTTTCCGACTAATTGCCTGGTTTTCAACATCCAACAAGAGAAAAATCATGCGCTTCGTTTGAGACGGGTGGGCATATAAAAGCGAATTCAATATGAAAACGAAACTGAAAGATCTGGAAACTCAAGAATTTCAAACTGCCTACACATGACATTAAAAAAACAGCACCAACTAAATGATTCACTCTTTAATTTTCAATACGTTTGGATCAAGTTACACGTGTTTAAAGGTTACAGTATGCAGGAAAAAGTGCTACGAGTATGAATAAAGGAGGAAAGGGATTTCAATTTTTCTAAGAGAGAAGGGGGGGGGAGGGAGGAATGTTGTGCTGTTGGGTGTGCTGAATGGAATCTTGTGCTGTTGGGTGTGCTGAATGGAATCTTGTGCAGGGTGAAAATGCGTTTCAAGTAAAGTGCAATATTTATTGAGCCATTGTGGTCTATTTTTGGTACAATTTTTAAGACAACTAGGACCCTTTAAATACAACACAATACCAAGACAAGCTGATTTACAACACTAAACTACATTGTTGAGGTGATACTGAAGTAGTAGTGATGCGATGATTTTAAACTCTTGATTAATTATTGGTACCTGTATTTTAAATGTCCTGTAAAGAGAGTTCTGACAATGACTCATTAGATAAGGTCAACATTTTAGCATTATGATATTATTCTGTGAGAATACCCTATTAAATCTAAAAGAAGAAAATTTCTTAAATTATCCTAAGCAAAATGCAAACTTTCTCAAGAGTAATTTGATACATCCAACTCATCAAATCACAAAAATTTGCAAGTATCAAATCGCGCACTAAAGAGATACAGTCAAAATTTTTTAAGTGAGAAAAAATATTCAGCTTAATCTTTTCTAGAAATCTTAGGTAATTACAAAAAAGGGACGTTTTCTAAGTTTGCGTTTCAAAACTTTGTATTCAAACAAACGGAGCTGGGATCATCAATATTTTATGTTGGGGTTACTTCACAAATTAACACTCACAGTGTCATACATTTCTTGCGTGAAATCTTAAGTTAGAATCTTAAAAGAGAACGTTTCCTTTGAAACGTTGCTGTGTGAAGGACATTATATTCGCCTCAACAAAGTATTTTCAATGAAAACAATAGCAGGCTCGTTCACTGAATGGCTCATTGGAATTTGACTAAAATTTATAAATTTTCAGAAGAGTAACGCACCTCTTTTTCGAAGCGAGTTCTCCAAAATTTGTCGGTGGTGACTAAAGACTGCGTCATCTGATAAAATCAAAAAAAGAATCTGGTCAAAACTAATCAAGTTGAGTTATTAAAACAAAAATAAAGAAAATATTACACCTTACTATGCACCTATCGTTGAGTTTTTTAGGTTTGATAGTAAGCTCTTGTCTTTCTACATTGCGAGAATTGCAATGGGCAAACCATCCTTGATAGCACGTAGTTGATGAGAACAAAGGTTTTTTTTATTTTTTTAAGGAAAGATTTGTGATTAACAGGAATAGGTAAGGGCGAATTTTATTATAAGACGCATGGATTTCAGAGTTTCATAGCAGCCCCATCTCTTCATCATGACGCATGCACAACATAACAAGTACAACATAACCAAGTTGCTTGTACAACATAATTAAGGAGATCCCTGATAGCGATTTGTCCCGCTATTTCATTTTCATACGAATTTTTGCAAACACTACAATTTTTGGTAATATTACTTAGAGTTGTGAATGTGAACTGCATTTTAACGTACGTTGACAAAATCGCCAATACTCTCCGGAAAGAATATTTTTTACGATGTAAAACACATTCAGACTAACTTTCTTTCCTGCATGTGTGTTTCTGTCACGCATGTATTCGTATATATAGGACTCATGTTACAATGGAGATAGTTCCTTTTGATTTAAATAAGTTCAATTTAACCTAAGAGCTCAGGAATATTAGTTGTATGTCCAATTTGACTGGACGAGCTAATGCAGAACATCGTAATACGGACCGTATGCCACACATTTTATCTCACAGCACCTAAAATGTGGTACGCACAGCGGTTACAAGAATATGTATTTTGAGAGAATTCCGACACTTATTTTGAATAAAAAGAGGCACGCGGTCTAGAAGGAGAAACACAGTTCATGTTGTACTGACACCTCAGCAGGCATTAAATGTAATTTCGACTAATCAGCTATTTTTTTCATTGATCCCTATGTGTAAATAGCTCATTTCTTCTTATTTTTTTATTGTTAATGTGTGTCTCTGTCTATCAATGAGAGTTTCAGCTGAAAATAACCAGGAATAAAAGGTTTGTTCTTGCAGCAAGTAATATAAACTTCATCACTTTAAAGATATCATCAGAGAAAAATGCGTGGGAGAATCAATAGCGATATACGCTATTGAATATGAAAGACGATAAAAGATTTGCGGGGAAACCAGGGTGGCAACAGCTACTTTAAGCGGAAGGATTATTACAGTGTTCATGTCAATCTCAAGGTGACTCCAGGGTAAATATACATCGATGTGTCGAGACCATTTGGGTCTCATGTGTTTTTCGGTTTATGCGCGCTTTCAAAAAACCAAGTCAATAGGAAGTAAATCCATAACTCAAGAGTTCGATATTATATTTTGGAGCGAATGAGCCCAAAAATAAAAGTCAAATTAGGGCCCAACAAATTTAATTAATCGATCGTTGATATCGACCCATGAGATTTTTTTGGTCATACCTTTGAAAAATATGCTTTTCAGATATGGAGTATGTCGATCCGATCTTTTGAAACAAAACCCTCAAAAATTAGTCGTACACCGCAGCGGTGCGGTGGCGATACAAGAAACCAATACCCTGCGCACACATTAATACACCCAAACTTGAAATGGTTGAAACATTTCTCAGGTTTATAATTTCAACTCGAATTTCGACGACTTAGCAACACTTTCAAGAACTCTTGCGGGGGAATAAATCCACCATCCACCAACCTACTGCGCCGTTGATTCTCCGGAAGAGCAATGTGGCGAGCCGCGTGCATTGAAACGCCAATCGCTCTGAATCAATAAGATTTAAGGATTCTGAGGAGAGCTTTCGACGCTCCTCAAACACGACTGTCTTTCATTTACGCCACTGTTGCTTAGCCGGATAAAAATTTGATTTCATGGGACTTGAAATTCGTCGGTGCTAAATGCGTGTTCGCTGCGAGGCAACTATGTTCGGACGCAAGGATACAAAAGAGCTAAGGATACGTATTAAAGAGACGTTACAAGCGAAAGTCAATATTTGCCATCGCTTGACTTTTGAGTCCTGTCTTTATTTCAACATGCTCCCAGTTTTGCGGAATTCTCGGTTTAAAAGGCCATCAAAGCAACTTGGGACTATTAGTAAAACAAGGTCGCGCATTAACTGAGAATCTAGTACTGGCGTGAGCCACATATGCGTGACTCATTCCTCAATTAATATTGAAACCACAAGCAAGAAAATTCTAAATATTACAGCTCATATGTAAATGCAGGTGGTGTTCGCCAACTGCACCGTGCGTGAAACTAGACATTTTTTGTAAAAAGACGTCGCCATTTGTGCTTTCTCCGAAAGTAACAAAGTAAAGTAATGATAACTTGCTGCGATTCCAACTTTCTTTTGGAAGGAGGTTGATGCGGAATGCTTCGGTCACCTTCTTCTACACCAAGAGAAAAAATAACGCAAAATATCAGTGAATTTGAGAGGAAAAATCCAAATCAACACACGCGTATGGTTAATTTTCGGGGTTTCACTGTTACCGTCAGGAATTACCTGGCGTACTAAATGTGAGCAGGTAATGAGTTAAAATAACTTAGGATTGCACGGCCGGACTGAGCATCACAAGGTATTTTGTCAGTCAAACTATGACATTTTCGCTTGGGCCGCAGAGTCTTAGAGTTCTTTTTACAATTTCATGATCAAATTTTTCACACCACTTCCTGACGCATCACAAGATGATTGATTGTGATTAGGATAATGACAGGATAACGATTTGAATCATGGCGATCGGTGATATGCTAATTACGTCTTAAAACTCCAGATAACTCTCAATACGCTGAGGAGGTTGGTCAAGTACGAGAAAACCAATCTTAAGTCGCCAAGCTGCAATTGAGCCTGCACATTTCTGAACATTTCAAGGGGAAGAGGCAAAAAAAAATCATAGATTACTAGCTCGCATACGCGAATGCATGCCTGATCATTTTAAATACTGAAAATAAAGCTGAAAGTTGCGCGTTTCCGACACACACTGACTGAGTAGCCTCAGTGCCCTACTTTACAACAAAGCGGTGCTAAACGGCAAACTTTAAGCATCAGGATCCAAGAGAGGGGTTCCAATAGGCACTTGAAGGTGAGCGTGGGAGAGAAGAGAGACCAGGCGGGGGAGGGTGGGGAGGCCAATAAAAGAACCTTAACGGTTAGCGGTCAAGCTCGATAAAAATGCAGGAACGGACCACAGCGGCGAAGCGTAAAATCATTTGCTATCGATTTTTTTCCATTTAAAAATATGGTAAAGAATCGATTGTTGGGGTGTACTCTGATAATCGATTATTTTTCATAGATTCAAGGGAAAACTTGAACGTCGTGCGGTACGATGGTTACGTTCAGATGTTGATGCACCGCTCTCACGCACCAAATCATTCTAAAAATAAACCTATTTCTAACAATGATGAGACAGTGTTGTGAGTGTAGCACGAAGTGTCTGATAGTTTTAATCTGTTGGTTTATTAGCTTTTATTTCGTCAGGAGCCTACGATCATCTCTAGTTTCTATTGATTGGCCAAAGGCATCAGACGATGAGCACATCTAGGCTTCTCAAATTTTCGGGGATTGAAGCCAAGTGGGGTCTATTCCAGCAGATCCACTCGTTAGTTCGGTGAAAAGTCGCCACTATACCAGAATTCGACCCGAGACTCGCTGACCTAGAGTCGGACGCGCTAACCTTTAGGCCCAGTCTACCTGGTTGTTCTTACAGATTGATACACTTTTGGATCAACTCATTGATTCAGTTTTCGCCAGGACGCTAACGGGATCAAGTTGAAAAAAAGAGACCATGTTTTTATTTTTTATTTATTTCAGGAACAAGGTACGTACATCCTCTGCTGATTTCTCCGAATGGGTAAGTGCTTGTATGAGCGAGTAAATGTTCTCAATTCCTTTCTCTTAACTTGATCAAAATATTAAAGTCGTAAATAAAGAGAGATGGCGCATACCTACGCCTACGGTGAGACTAGAAAGCCACAGACCTAGATTGTAGTGTTTAGAATTTATGCTGGTAATTTATATTTTTACGGAAAAGATACACATACCGTATTATTTACGTAGAAAAAAACAGAAAAGCGAAAATATTCAGCGAATAACGTTTGTAGTGGTTTGGCATTAAAATCATAAAAATGTACGTATAGTTAGCAGCAGCACAGAATAAGATATGAATCTTCCCAATTCTATAATGTATTTTGAGCAACACAATAAATGACTTCATACGGCATGTCTGTGCGCTCCATGATCTATTTCATCTTACTGACTAACATTGCGTATGGTGCTATCAACGCCATGATGCTACGCATTCAAAATGGGTCGGACAAGAGGCACTGTTACTTCTGAAAAATAGGCATGTAGACTTTTAGAGAGTAAAATTTCAAGATGCGACCGTCCTGCATGAAAATGCAACCACCAGGAGAGAGAGAAAAAGGGTGAGCATTTAAATGACGGCGCGAGACAAGTGCCGTCTAAATCATAGAGGTGAAGAAAAAGAAGCAGAAAAACTGGCTGCTCATTTTCAGTTTCTCTCAGAGTTTTTAATGTGCAATTCGACAACTCCGGAAAGATCAAACGTCGAATGAGGAAGCGGATTTGAAGGCGCTAGCGGCGCGATGGAAGGCGAGAGGGAGTTGCGGGCGAGACGCACGAAGACATAAAGCTGACCATTTCACTCGTCATTACTTTGATTTGATAAAGCACTTATCTTTTATGACGTTCGACGCGCTCTTTTTAGCAGCCTTTCGAGTTTTTTTCGGTTCCGTTGTTTCATCGCCACAACCCCGGAGATAAAACTGATGGGGGTCGTATGCAAAATCGCCCGTAAATAGAATACAGCTGTCGATGTGCCCTTCAGCGGCTCTAAATCGTCGGTTGTTGGGCTGCGCGTTTACACCTAAGACCAGACCATTCGACGATACACGATCTATCCCTTTCTTTCATCGTACGGTCGAGTTTAAAGGCTGGAACAGGATAGAAATGAACGCCGACGATTCGTACCGGCTAATTTTCT